TAGTTTAGTGGTTTAGCGTATGTGAGGTGTAAACGTATACAAAAATAATAAAACATTCAAAAATTTTATTTGTTCTGAACTATTACTAATTACTTAGAAGACTTGGGATAGATCGTAAGAGCCATGAAAACCAGCGTTTTAATTGTAGCGGTGAGTTTATGTCGCTTTATAATAAATACTCGTGATGAGTTTTAATTTTTTATTATAAAATCATAGCAATGGATCATAATGGAATCCATCGAAAGAAAGAGTAAACATATATATAACATTACACTTTATTTATTTATTAGCAAATCGACATATTTGACTTCTTCTCATGTCATGAAACTAGTAGACAATTTAATAAACATATTTACATTATTATCTATTAAACTTATTCGCTTTAAATGATTAGTCTTTGAAACGATGTGCATCTGTATCCATGAGCGATCTTTATTAATTATATAATCAGAAAAAAGTAAGTTTTTAATGAAAAATGATTTACTGAGAATGGTGTAGAATGACTTATAGAATAAGTGTTCGCTGCTAGTCGTGGGTTGGATTCCACATGGAACAAGCATGTGGAATCGTGTGTGTGTCTTCCGCTTATCGTGTGTGTGTCGTCAAGTGTGTCTTCTGGTTGATTCCGGATATGGGAGATGGTTTATGGGTTTATTGCATTAATCAAGTGTTCTTATCGCACAGGACATTTTTATACTACAGTACCTAAGGACGATGAAAAAATTAGACTAACGAAATTTATTATTGTTTTACTTTAGTATTTGCTTACATAACATCATAGAGCAACTGTTGACTTTCTTGTCGGTCTCTTCTCATCAGAAACTGGCTTCCGAACCGGTGGTAACTTAATTACGAACTGGTATATCAATTATTATGTAAAATTCGACGTTTCATAAGAACGCGCAAGTGTCTATTTGAATAAAGATATTTTGAGTTGTTGAATCTTGAACCTAATTATGCCATCGCAATATTAATTTCTAACGGAAACTTAGAAATTAACACAAATGCAATCATGTTAAGTTTCTGTTCATAAAGCAAACGTAACTAGCACTAGCAGCCGGTAACTGTTCAGCAAATAATTCGCCGGCTTCATGACGGGTGTTTTAAACTACTTGTTCTTAGCGTTCTTTTACGTAATATGCATGGCATGTTACACATTCGGTTATTTTAATACAGCAGCAATAAAGGCGCGTAATAAGTATAAGATAAAAAAAGGAAACTGACCTTAAAGAATTATGTAAATATAGAAACCGGCCAAGTGCGAATAGGACTTGCGCACGAAGGATTCCGTAGCAATATAAAATTCCATACCTGTAAAAACGGCAAAAAATCATGTCTGTTGTATGGGATCCTTTCAATATTTTTCTATTCATTATATTTAGTAGGTACTTGTTTTACAGTGGCAACAGAAATACATCATCTGTGAAAATTTCAATTGTCTAACTATCACGGTTCATAAGATACTGCCTGGTGACAGAGGTAGGTACGGAACCTGTGTTCCCCAATTTTGTTTGAGTTATATTTATATTTTATGGTTGCAGCTTATATTGCTGCGAATATTACGCATACACAAAACTGTTTCACGTTTCAATTTCCGCAGACAAAATAAAACGCAGAAAAAAACGAATAATAGTTTTGTAAGACCATAAAATTTCTTATTAATTTAGATAGTAAGGTTATTTTTTTTAATATAAAGTATTTATATAGAAAACGTGAAACGAATGAGCCAGCATTTAATGAGAATGAAAGTAAAATAATAACAAATAACGTATATTTTTGATTTTGCTCAAGAGATTTCGTATAATAATAACCACAGAAGTATGCAAACTCAATACTTTCCATTTCTTATTTATAAATTCCATTTGAAATAATTGTGTGAACGGAACCTAAATCGGCGAGCATGCGTGTAAAATATCTGAATTATTCAGTAAAAAGTTATGAAATCCGACTTTAAATTCCGTTATATGAAAGCGCAGTTGAAAAAAATGCGTTTGGTCTTGGCAAAGTTTATAAAATGGATATATAATTGTAGCGCGAATATACCCAATGTGTTCAATGATTTGAAATAAAGTTATACGAACCAATATTTTTTTTCTTTTAATTTTTTTCAACGTATAAGAATTACCCAGATGTATATATATATGTTTATATAAAGTTAATAGCGGACAAAATTTTAAAATTGCATAGTAAACGTTTTTTTAATTTATAATATATAAGAAATTAATAAATAAATATAACAATATTAGTTTATTTTTGGTAATCAACTTTGCAAAAAAATGTTTTGAGATGGCAATTCTGTATTAATAATGGATTAGGTTCATAGTTCTGATATTTTTAATAGTGGTGTTAGCTTCATTCTAATACTTTTTTATATTAAAATTTGTAAAAAAAGTACGACAAGATTGTTTGAAAAGTTTAATGTTAAATGCAGAGACCTTTTTTACATGTTAAAAGTTGTTAAACTAGTATTGAGTGATTAGGTCGTTGATGAACATCTACAACACCGGGTTGCGTTGCCAACATTAAAGAGTTGCCACACTAACCAGGCGAAACGTGAAAGTGTAATACTTCCACTTTACGCCGGTCTTCTGTGAGCCCGTGGTACTTCTAGAATCCGGACGGTACGGACGAGTTTACCCTTTCGTGCAACGGCCGAAACTGCCAATGCCTGCCACAATTTCTATCCAATTATTTAAAACTAGCGACCCGTCCCGGCTTCACACGGGTGCAATGTATTTTTTTTAAGTGAAAGTTTAAGTAAGTTGCCAACCGAGCAGACGGTTCACCTGATGTTAAGAGAATAATGCCGCCCATTGACATCTGCCACACCCGACGGTTCCAGATGCGTTGACCTTTTGAAAACTGGGCTCCGGCCACCTCACTCACCAGATGAAACGCGAAAGTATTATACTTCCACTTTACGCCGGTCTTCTGTGAGGTCGTGGTACTTACCCGGACGAGCCTGCCCATTAATGCAACAGCCGAGGCTGCTGTGTGGCCCTACCACCGTGAAACATTCTTATACATATAAACGTTCCTCTTGAAGCACTATCTAGTAGAAAAAACCGCATCAAGATCCGTTGCGTAGTTTTAAATATCTAAGTATACGAGAGGCACAATGCAGTGTTCGGGTATAGAATATTTCGGATTGAGTTACAATAAAACCTTTTTTAGAATTTGAATACTGGTCCCTTAGAATCTTAATGATATTCAAACAATTAAAAAAATGTTGTTGTGAAATGTGAAAAAAAAATGAGTTCATGAGTGAACATTTCCGTGACATAATTTATCACAATTTTCGTCGCGTCTTATCTCAAGTCTGCGAACTCAATGTCTCAGCGAAATTGTGTAGATTTATGATGTTGAAGCACTGAGTCAAACGACAATATATGCTGGCATGCCGAGTTCCGACGCGGTCGTGTGTCGGTCAGCACTGTTTCTTTTGCAGATCGACCAAGAACAGCGGTCACGCCTGAAAACATCGCCGCTGTGCGAACTATTAATATTATATTAGATGACCGTCATGTGACATACGAACAGATTCGGGCTGTTATTAGTATCGGAATGACTGCAATTCAGTCGATATTGCATAATGAGCTGCGTGAGCTAGTTTCCCGCTGGGTTCCCCTCAATTTGCCCGAAGAGCACAAAGCGGCTCGTGTAGATTGGTGCCGGAATACTCTTCAACGCTTCAACGGAGGGAAGTCAAATGCTGATACTATACTAACACCTGAGACGATATTATAAAATATGGTGGCGAATCATGGATTTATTTATACGAACCTGAAAGAAAACATCAGTCAGCAGTTTGGGTCTTCGAAGACGAGGTCAAATCAACGTTCGCTCCCGCAGCGTGTCTAAGAAAATGGTCGCTACGTTTGTCTCGAAAAAGGGGCATGTTGCTACAATTCCTTTACAGGAACGCAGAACGGTTACCGCTGAGTGGTATATCACGGTTTACTTGCCAGAAATTATAGCAGAACTCCGAAAAAATAACCCGAAACGTCGCATCATCTTACAGCACGATAAGGCGAGCTCACATACGGCTCGGAAGACAAATGATTTTTTGAAGCAGGAAAACGTTGAGCTGATGAGCCATTCTCCGTACAGTCCTGACCTGAGCCCAAACAATTTCTTTACATTCCCTAGAATGAAAGATTTATTACGCGGTCAACGGTTTGAAGACCCCGAAGCAGCTGTGGAAGCGTACAAATCAACAATTTTGTCAATATCAACTTCAGACTGGAATTACTGTTTTAATGATTGATTTGCATGAATAGAAAAGTGCATTAAGTTGAACGGAGAATACTTCGAAAAACAATAAAATACAATTTAACTATACCGTGCATGTGGTTTTTCTTATTCCCGATCATTTCAGTGTGCCCCTAGGACCCCATACATAGGGACAGTTACGACTTTGTTTTATACTGTGTAGTGATGGTGCCTATAGCGCTATTGGTCAATATTGGAAAATTTGAGAACTGTCAATTTGTTGCAAATCTTACATATTTAATGATATTGAGATGCCGAAACGGCTGTCTATTTCCAAACTACAAATAGACTTGTTTGCGAGATACCCAAGAACATTTTGTAATGTTTGTCGTTAGGTAAAACATTCTAGAAATGATTGAGGTTAAGCACGTTAATTGTTTACGTATTCAAATTTTGTTAGAACAGTCATGTAGCCAGTTTGTGATTAAAGAGCAATTGCCTCGCAAAAATGCTTGAAAACTGATTGCAGTTTGCAAAGGCTGCTCCAAATATCAGTATGTCGAAATAAAATATGCGATTTTCTTAGCATCTAAGCTGATTTAAACATTTTTAAAATTTTCATTAGCATTACTTGTTTGCTCGAATATGCATATTATACGGGTTTTAAAAACATCGTTTTTATTTTTTTAATACCCTTTATAAGCGGCCAGATTCCGGCGAATATTTCTTTGCTGTCACGTTACTTTTTTAATTTCTGCCGCCGTTTCCAGGTGGCCTGCTTTTCGTGTATGGTGCCGAACGCGTTTTCGGCGCCGTTGGTAAATGCGGCTACGTTTGGCGCGGCCGTGGGGGCTTTCAAAGGGGCCTTAAATGGCGCTGCTGTGGCCGGTGCTGGGGCCGCGGTTGCGAAGAACGTCGACGCAATAGTAAAGTTCATTGGCAGCAAGGCCCTGGGTGCGCTCGCGGCGAAAGGAGCTTTCCTAAAAGGTTCAATTCTTTTTGGCTGGATCAACCACTGTTGGTCTTTTCAGATCCACCGGACTTGAGGTGGCCGGGCTCAGAGGACGCCAATATTTTGTCACTCCGTGGAGTACTAGACTAAAGTGACCCCGAGAGGGGACCTCGGTTTGGGCTGTTACTTACTACAATACCCGTTTAAACGGTGACAACGCATTATCAACCCTACGGGTGTTGCAAATGTCTATACGCGGCGATTATCACTTAGCATGATGTGATTATCTCTAATTGTAAGAACAGTTACATAGATTCTTAGCATTTTATTTTTAGATTGTAGATGCTGTATCTTATGTTGGTAATCCTATGAATAAATAAATAAACATCAGGCGAACCGCCAGCTCTAACATAAAAACAACATTACAACAATAACATTCTAACATAAAAAAACATATATCACTACATAGTATAAAACAAAGTCGTCCCGCTGTCTGTCTGTCCCTATGTATCTTTAAAACTTCGCAACCCATCTCTATGTGTTTTTTTTACTGGATAGAGTAATTCAAGAGTAAAGGCCCATTTACACGATGCCATTTTCTTGAACATACAACAGCAATAATTGAATGCAATAAATTGCGCGCAATAATTGTTTAGACCATTTCTTGTTTAGACCATGCAACTCATTTATTGCTTCAATTTAATTGTATACAACAGGCAAGAAACTGGCACCATGTAAATGGGCCTTAATGTTTATATGTGTAAAACATTGCACCGCTGTTACTCGCTGCCCGCGAGGTAATGAAACGTGGAAGCAAGATGCCGCCAGTTGAGAACTAAGAACCGTAAGTGAACTCCGGGCAGCTATTCTTAGATATGTGTAATATCTCTAATAAGGTAACAGTTATGAAATATTAGCGACCCTCCCCGGCTTCGCACAGGTGCAATGTATTATACATATGAACCTTGAATCACTCTATCTAGTAAAAAAAACCGCATCAAGATCCGTTGTGTAGTTTTAAAGATCCAAGCACATACATAGGGACAGACAGACAGCGGGACGACTTTGTTCTATACTATGTAGTGATGCACAGCAAAGAGACGTTTACATTTCAAGTGACATTTTACCACAGTCACTCATTTGTTTTGCTTTCCCGGAACCCCTCCCACTTAAACTTTATGGTATGGTATTAATGTTCAAATTGACTTTTAAGTATTGTTACAAATCTTTTGTACGGGAATATAGAAAAGTGTTGTTTTTAGACAATTTCAATGTCCGGCAATTTTTAAAATTTTTTCACAACAAACAACAAAAAAAAGTAAAATCGGTCCAGCCGTTCACGCGTGATGGCGTGACCAAGAGAAATAGGGAGTCATTTTTAATATACCTATATAAGATAAACTTAGGAGCGACATTATTTTGTATTTGTCGCCAATCATATACAAAAGAGTTGTAGAGAGACAAAAATGTCCAAACCTTTCTCCTATTTGTTATCGAAAGATGGGAATCGATTGGGCGGTCACCTTACGTTAAGCGTATGTCGTCGCCATCACCTGTACGGTCACAGATGTTTTGAAAACGTTAAAAACGACAAAACGCAAGCTTTCTTTTCTTCTCGTGTTAGTTATGAATGATCGCGCGTAAAATAAATGAGTTGCCCATAAATCACGCACTTTTTGAGATAAGTTCAATGAATGTATTTAATTAATTACGAGTGATTTTAAATATTTATCATTTTTTATATTTAACATTATTTATTTATTTAATAAAAAATGGATGCACTTAGAAAAGCTTACCTGTATAACAACGTGGATCTTATTATTATTTAAAAATAAAAATTGTAAGTTGGTTGTCAGTCAGTAGTGAAATTTCAACAAATGTGCCCATTAAAGTTGATCGTCATCGCATTAAAAGATATTTTGCTTGCTTGCTTATGCATTTAGTAATTGCATTTCGTGAAGTATGCGTTCGAATGTTTATGTACATTAGATTTATCGACCTGTGCAAACAGAAATGAGTAGCAATACAAAGTAAGACAACATACCAAGGTACATTTGGCTGTATTACTTATATACTATACGCTGGCTTATATACTATACTATACGCTGACCGTATTAGCTATCGAAAAAATAAATAAAAGATGATGAAATGACAGATTACAATGATACTGCATTTTTATGCAGCATTTAAATGCAACAACAAAATATTGAGTGTATATTCAGGTTCTGAGTACTCTGAGGGCAAATCATGTTCATATTTTTTAATAATGTTTATGATATTATATTACAACATAATAATTTTAAAAACAAATAAGAAAATATGAACTGGAATTGAGCACGGGCCACTCTACTCACTAGTAACAACTATAAGTTAACCAATAGACCATCACGTATATGGAATTAGAATCTATTTTATATCGCCCAAATAATTCGTAACAAATTGGCGTTATTACGAAACATATAAATTTTGCGTTTTACATAATAATGGAGCAGCCGACCATTGCTTGACCGGCTCAGGGTATTTTTTTCTGAGACATTTTCATATTCGATTCTCAACATGAATTATTTGAGCTTTAATAAAGAGCATGGCAGTTAAAAACCTATGAAATGTTTTGTTTTAGAATTTAGTCTGTAGTGTTATAAAAATTATCATTTTAGTTTTATATAGCTGATTCGAATTTTTATGTTGCTATTATTTGCTAGCATTTTTTAAATGTAAATAAAACCGTTTAAAAACTTTTAAGTTAAACGGTTTTATTTTATGTGCACTGAAAACTACAATATTGTATTGTCATCTAAATTAAATGTGTGTACCAAATTTCAGATCAATCTGACAACGGGAAGGTGCTTAAATTTCAATTTCTAATTTTGAACCAAACAAACTAATAAATTCCGTACGGGTCGAGCTAAATAAAACCGTTTAAAAATTGGCAAGCTTACCGCCGGCCAAGAACATATTAAAACTTATGGGGTTGCAGATTCTTTGCCATCTTAAAAAAATACTGGTTACCTCATATATCAGACGAAACTTTTTTTTTGTAAAAAATGGTAAACTGATTTATTAAATTGCTATATTGATCATTGAATTTTGCAAAGGAGTGAATGTAATTGGAGCTAAATATGTGAGAATTGGAGTCACACAGCGGAAATTAAAATTTTTTATTGTTTGCAGCGAATAATTTGCATAACTGCATAATATTATACGCGTAAAGAATTAATTGAAATTAAAAATTAAAAAAAAAAATGTAATTCAAATGCACGCATTGCGATTGTTGTTATAGTCGTAATAAATTAGCGATGCAATAATTAAAGTGTGAAAAAGGTCTCTAAAAAATTAATTTTAATTGAATATAGGTATTATTTTGGATTGTATCGGCTCTATAACAGTTTTTATTATTTAAAACTGTTAAATCATAACTGCTTCCTGCACGTTCACGTGAAGTTCACCATAAAAGATTTAATTGCGAACGCTCTCTTAAATAAACCTATTAATAAGCTCTAAGATGATAACGGTTCTTCTGTAGTTCTACCCACATGCAGCGAACTTCTGAATACTTTCTACTGTAGAATGAACAAAATGATATACTAGCTTGTCCGGGGAAGTAGGACAAAACGATAGATATAAAGTTTTTTTTTATTTTTACCCGACTGCGCCAGAAGAAGGGTTATGTTTTCTAGACTATGTATGTATAATTGTTTGGCATGATCAGCAGCCTGAACGGCTAGATGGATTTTAGCTTGAGAGGTGTCGTTAGATTCGTATTTACTGTGAGAGTGACACCGGGTACCTATATCAAAATAAAAACACAAAAATGGGCTTTTTAGTTTTTTAAATTATATTGTACTTGTTTATAGGCATTGCTCTCAAGTCAGCGGTGCACGGTGCCACTTTAGGAGCTGGTGTTGCCATTGGCGCGGCGGTTGCCTCGCACAAGCCGCACGTCTTTGACCATGGCACAGGGATAGAGCATCACGATGTAAGTCAGGCTTACTTTGCCCTTAGACCCTCAGATTATTTAGGAGTTGCATAATAATGATGATAAGTGTATCGTTCATTGTTAAAATATTATGCTTACAATTAAATTGTATTGGAGAAAGACGTTGGCGAATAGCGTTTACAAATCAGTTTTATGTAGAGTTTTCTGATCTGTCTCTGTTGTTTTTATACCTTCCGTTCTTGACCAAAGATACAAATACAAATTCAAATATTTTTATTCATTACACTTTCTTATTGATTGTCAAAATTCTACCACCGCGGTTCGGAAAAGAAACTGAACTGAGAAGAACCGGCGAAAGAAACTCAGCGGGACAATTTTTTTTACCATTATTTGACAAAAACCATGTTTACTAATGTATTGAAGTCCACTTGAAAGAGCCTGGAGCGATCAATTTATTTCCGGTGTGTGTTATCATTTAAATAATCACTAATATTATAATAGTCTTTACCACAAAAACGTTCCTTTACAATTTTTTTTTAATTTACAAATTGATATATTTGATATATTGATATATTGTGAACGTTTTCTGGAATTTTATTGTAAAAATGTATACATTGCCACATAAATGAATAACTTATTCTACGCAGTCTGGTTATGGGACAAGATTACTCAACAACATCATCGGATAGCAATTGAGCAATGAATATAGAACTATGGCATATAGAACTATGACATACGATCCGCCACTGTGCGCTTTTTACGAAACTTTCTGCCCCGCGCAGCACATTTGTGGAGCCAGTTGTTATCAGCAGTATTTCCAGACCAACACGACTTAGGGACCTTCAATAAGAAAAGCCTATTTAGTAAGTAGGCTACTTAATGCGCTCTCCTCGACGAAGAGAACTCGATTAATAGCCAGCTGCTATCTATTGCATTATACTGGTGCCAGGTTGCAAATCGAGATGGAAACCGTTCAAAGTTATAATTTTTTTGTGTGTGAAATGTTGTAAAACAATAACTTCCTTAATTACCTTTCTCATTTCGGTTCAGCTATTTAGGAGGAGTTCAGTGACATACACGGGCACAGAAGAATTATATACAGCGTGTCGTTACCATCGCGACTATAAATGAACACGCATATAGGGGATAACTTTTTAAAGTTGTATTAAACATTTAAATTCTTTAAACATCAATATTTACAGAGTTATTAAATTTTCCAAAACAAAGAATTTTAAAACATCCTTACCTATAAAAGCGTAACGTAAAGTTCATTTGTAAAGGTCACAAAGCATATGAATGGGTTGAATGAATTTAAAAGAGACAAAACATACTGTTAGAAGGAGAGGCTTGTAATACGACACTGTGACGCGAGTTGTATAGGATGATACAAATTTTGTTTCTTTTTTACTTAATTAGTTTGTTTGAAAAAAAATTTTTTTTAATTATTGTTTTTGTTTAACGTTAATATTTTTTTATGATTATTGGCAAGTAGGGTTAGACGTGTGTTCATTTATTGTCGCGATGGTAACGACACGCTGTATATAAAGATTAAAAGTTTTTACCTGTAATTTGATTTCGTTTCGTATCTTTGTTTGTCCGAACCACGATCCTAGTGGTCGATTCTTGAATAATATTGTTGTTACAGTAAGTTATATAGAAAATTTATATTATAAAACTTCCAAATTAAAAATTCACACATAAAACGCCAAAATGCAATATAAAAATTTTCTTAAATTTTGATAGTCCGACCAGAAATGTGTTGGTAATTAATGTAATGTAACCATTCCGTGCGACCAGATTGCTTTCTTATTTAAAAGTACTTTATTTTATTTATTGCGGTTGGTTTATTTTTTATATTAACTTAAAATGTTTTTGATGGTCGTTCGATTTCGTTTCGTATCTTTGTTTAACGAATTCAAGATAATACACGAATGGGGTCAGTGCCCCCGCTACCCCAAACAGAAGTGCTATGAAACAAAGTGATTAAATTTGAATTAATAACAAATTGAAATAGATAACATGCACGGCTTGTAAACAAGTGTCTTATACACTGAATTAAATTATGAGGAATATCATATCTATTTGTTTTGAACGTTTTATTTTTTTAAAAAGTTGTGATAAATTTATTAGAAAATTATTAAATAAAACGAGCGACCCACCATCCGCTGTTTTGTTATTTTTTTTTCAAATCACTCACTAAAATTTAACACGTTTAACATTTCAGTTCAGATAATGTAATGAATTAATTTAGGTCATGAATTAATTTATCCAGGAGGCAATTAATTTTAATCCAAATTTTTGATATAATTTAGAACAATTTAATAAAAACAAATTTAATGTAAAATGAGGCATTATGCTCGGATTACAGTTAATTTAAATTAAAAACTTTGAATATATCCAAGTAAAAAGAGTAAAGTAACAGCCTATATACATATGCCCCACTGCTGGGCAAAGGCCTCGTCTGTACAGAGGGCAATGCCATGCGACCCCACTGTAAATTGACGGACATCACATATTTTCGAGAATAAGGCATCACTTAAAACTGTAAAATAAAATTACATTGGTGCCGGCACCGGAATTTCAACTCGGGTTACTCGATTAATATGCCTATTAAATTAAAAGCGATCACCCGGACATTTATCTTTGTCACATTTCCGAAATTGTGGTGTTTGTAACCTGTCATAATTTGCCGTATATATTTAATAGCTAGTTGAGGTTTCAGGTAAACTATCGTTATGATTTGTAAATTTATTTTTATGATATAATAAAATAAAATAAAATAAAAATAAAAATGTACCATTATTTATAACCATATTACGCAGTTCAATTGTGAGATTTGAGAGCTACGTCTAGCTGTTTTTAAGCGACTTTAAAAAGGAGGAGATTTTCAATTCGATTGGTGTTTTTTTTATGTATGTACACCGATTACGCAAAAATTTATGATCCGATTTACGTAATTCTTCTTTAGTTTGATGCAGAATAGTTGCCCTTTATCCCATAAAAATTGAACATAGTTTGACCCAGTAGTTTTGGTGTTAGAACTTTACTACATGAGAGATTTATTTTATTCTATGCGTTTATATTTAATGAACATACTTTCCAGGCGCCGATTCTACTGGAAAGCTTTCCGAGTTACCACGAGGAGCATCTGCACGAAAGCGCGCCAGCTCTCGATGCAGCATTGTTCCATCAGCAAACCCATGAAGTACCGTACGGAGAGTTTGCAGCTTATCATGGGTAAGTTATTTTTTAATTTATTAGTGACTGAAGTATGATTGTATCGGTGCTATACAGCTGTTGCATAAATGGCATACTCGTCGAGGTGCGTTACTTCACCATAGAAATTTTTACCTGTGGTAGGCATTGATATTACATACAAATACGAGGTAGATATGACAATATCGCACCGAAATTGAGGCACTCAAATTACACCTGTTGATCTAACTAGATGGTAATTTGATAGAATGGTATCCCTTTCCGTATCATATATTTTTTATCATCTGTTATATAATATAAAGCGGAACAAGCTTTAAACGCTGCGCAGTATGTACATGCGTCAACTTCATTAAAACATCATTGGTGGTACTGCTTCACACTTCTACTGTTTCACAAATGAGCAGGCTCATCCGGGGAAGTACCATGGCCTCACAGAACAGCTAGCGTGAAGTGAAAGTATTATACTTTCGCGTTTCGTCGTTTCTTTTGCTGAGTGAGATAGATAGTGCACGTTTTTGAAATTTTCAATGGCACATAGGCGGCGGTCTTCACTTAACATCAGATAAACCCCCTGCTCGTTTCACAATTTTTCATAAAAAGAAACTTTTAAACCTGTTGTCTATTTTGTTTGTTAGATTATTACGGACAGAATAGTTGAAAAATGGCGGGAAATTGTTTTTTACTTTTTATTTTTCTTTGAAAATCAGCCATATACAAACAGTACAATAAAAGAGATTTTCCTACAACATACTTATATAATACGAAGAGACTATTTCCCCGACCTATTATGTATTTATTTACGAAAACAAACTATGTTTATGTGTTTATCAGTTACCTTGTATCCATAGACTACGTAACTCGATAAGGTTGTGTGAAATGACGTCCTCTAATAAATATTTATTGAAAATACACCCTACATACACTTTACCAACTTTATTAATCCCTTGAGCATAGTCTTTTCTTCGTCGAACTGTCAAGATTTGATTCACGTGAACAAACAATCAAAATAGAAAAATTGTATCGCCATAAAATTGTACACATATCTAGATGCAAATGATTATATTACTTGATAATTATAATGTTTTTATTTCAGGTCTGCACCCTCAACACTCCAGCATCCACAACAATACGTGGAAGATTTTTACAGATAAAAGTCGAAAAGAAGAATTAATACTTTCTCTCTTATGTTAAGTTGTATATAATTAATTGTTATTTTTACAAGTTTTACAGTAAAGTTATAACATAAATGCACGAACTTATTAATCAACCCTTAAAAAAAATTATAACCCAAAATACTTTACACTTTAAACATATTACGTAGTTATAAAAATAATATTTGATAGCACTTTCAGGCTTTTAATTGTTTACACTTTTTTCTATATAAAGCTAAACAGTAAACTATTCAAGAAAACGCTTTAACATCAAATCAACTTCTTTTATATTTTCATTCAAGTTTTATGTACCTACCTATGTGTCAGTTGTTAAAATATTAATTTAGACTATATTTGTGAATATAAAAAAAATATAATATATAATATAAGCCCATACTTATGGATGAGTGTTTACTTGCGTTACGTAATTTATCTAGAGGAATAAGTGAGAGATTTATGATTATATTATGCCAACCCCTTATCGAGCCCTGGCCCCATCGCTCACCTGACGAATCGCAGAAGTATTCACTTCTACTACACGCCGGTCTTCTGTGAGCAAAAGTTTTCATTCGTTCATTCATTCCGCCTCGTCCGGTAGCCCCGTATGACCCAGATAGCCAAAACACCCAGTTTGCGCAAAAGCGTTTGGCTTCGCCTGCGTGGCCCTACCGCAATATAATATAAATAATATACGGTATATTACCCATAGTACCTGGAGGACCGAGCTTTGCTCGGTTTGTTGCTTTTTTGCTAAATCGTGTATTTTGGAAATTACAGTTAGATACAAATTACTGAGTAATGAAATATGCATATTTTTCGACCTTACCGACGTAATAAAAAGAAAATATGAACTGGGGTTTTTCACAAAAGAAAGAACTTTAAAAAAAAGAACAAAATCATCGGGATCGACAAAAATAAAAAATAAAGAAAGCAATGATCTGGAATCGAAAAAAAATGAATAAAAATAAGTGTGTAATAAATGATCGTGACACGAACCGTCGTATTCGAATGATATTTTTCATTCCCTGAAAACTGGGATAAAACGACATTTTCTAAAAATTAAATCTAGCCGGATCGATTTTTCGCCCCCGAATCTACGCACATACTAAATTTCATGAAAATCGCTGGAGCTGTTTCCGAGATTCCGTTTATATCTATATATATACAAGAGTTGCTCGGTTAAAGGTATAAGATATTGTCGTAAGTTACTCGTACCGTACCATATACTTTACCCATACCGCTAAGTATACCTACACGTAATTCGATATTGCTAGTTTTTGCACCATCCCCTCAGTACCTCACCTATATTTGCTGGTTTTAAGGGGTTATTTAACGATTTTTATTTGCGATAGTTATAGTATTTTCAAACTATCGTCATTTACTTAATAATAATTAGTTGTCAAATTTTATCGATTTTAAAACGCCTACACAAAATTTAAAGCAAATTAACTAAATTATGATTTTATAGCGGTACCCCATTAAAACACTGTTTACAGAATAATCAATTGTTCAGATCAGGACACCCAAAAGTCTCTTAGGGCATACAATAATCAAACCATGGAATATCATGTCGAATACCTTTCGCATTTGAGAAATTAATAAAAACATTCAATTTGACCAATTATGCTATCACATCAATATTCAATCAAACAAACAAAAAATTTTTTTTGGGTTTGAGTGTACTTTCATGGGATCATATGCGTTAGTAAGTTTATTTCACAATTTAATTACATTTCAATTTTGTTAATTGTTTCGATTTTGCGAATATTTACATACACCACTATCATCCTCATGTGAATAATTTTGCAGGTGGATTTTATTTCTTTTGGCTAGGTTTTTTACGATCGTCGGTCTGACTGACGCCGACCCCCCTTTGCAACAAACACCTGCGTGTTGGATCTGCATCCAGAACAATTATTTGTGGGTTATACAAATACCCGTCCCGAAAGAAACTGAAATAGGCCCGAGTTAATTAAAACTTATTTTTTATGTGAAAAAGTGGCAAAGGAGCTGGCGTTTCACCGGATGTAAAGTGATAGCCGCCGCCCATGGACATTTGCGACACCGGTTACAGATGTGTTGTCAACTTTTGATGAGGTGGGCCCTGGCTACCTCACTCACCAGACATAACGCACAAGTGTAACACTTCTACTTTACGCCGGTCTTCTGTGAGGTCGTGGTACTAACCCGGACGGACCTGCCTATTCGTGCAACAGGGAATATGTTGCGTGGTCCCACCGCAGTTATTTACCTCAATTTATGCTTCAAGCATATGAAGGTTGAATTACTGTCGTGGGTCTGGGGTGAGGTAGCCGGGGTCAATTTTATTAAATGGGACAACCCTACGGGTGCTGCTTAAAGTCTTTGGCCAACAGTGATGATTCCGTGGCGCATATTTAAACATCCTTACAACACAGGATAATGCTATCCCATCGTAAAGGCAATGTTTTCAAAAATAAAAAGACCGCCAGGTCGCTTGCTATCTTATCCCTTAAAAAAATGCTGGTGTTGTGCCCATGGGCGTCGTTGAATACTTACCACCACGTGGCCCGCCTACTCGTTTGCCACAAAAAAAATCAATCCCCAAATGAACTTTTTTCTTATAAAGACGTATTATAATTACTTAACAAAATATTTTAATTTCACTTTCTGTTTGTAAATTTCAAGTCGGCTGGTCAAATAATGTAAATGTCTGTAAGACTGTAATGTCAGACTTCACAGTAAGTTGTAGTGTGAAAAAAATTATATTGAACACGCGCTAGCTGACGTTACCACACCTTGTTGAACAATAGCATGTAAACAACACGCGATGCCGGTTTTCACGAATAAATAGTATTTTTAACAGGCCTCGTAATATATTTGTCCCGTTTTTTGAATTTGTTATGAAGAGCAGGCGCTAATCACCGGAGATTCATATGGCAGAAAAAATTATCCATTGATGATGTACGGATTTATTTACAGCTGTAATTTGCATGTTTCACAATTAGCGGCTCACAATTTCACATGTCGGTAAGCCGCTGCCTGTTAGAAGAGGGGTGTTAACTTAAATCGAATTGTATTATAAACGCTACGTGCGCGAATAATTGCTTGTAATTGTTTACCAATAACAAAACATCCTATTTTAGGGAGCCGATTTTCCGCAGGATGCGATTACAGCGAATGGATGTGTGGGCATCCGTTTTATCGTAGGTTTTCTGTTCCTACCACACTACACGAGCATGTTCGTGGTGTTATACCAATTAATGATATTCAAATGGGACGCCGGCGAACGCCCGTTTAGAATTGTTAATTCGTTTGCAACAATTTTTCAGCGGCGTATAAAAGCGATTGCGCTTTTGCTGCAGGCATAATTGCATTCAGTCCAACCCGGTGGCTCATCGTAGGTAGAAAAGAGTACAACATAACAGCTATGTCCCGCCTTACGGTAAGACCATGTGGAGAACAAGACAATACTTTTAAATACCCCGCGGAGTGCAAACACTTTGAATTTAAAAAAAAAAACTCACTAAAACATTGGCGACTCTGGCCACAAGAGGCTGTTTGTTATCTTGCTAAAAATTAAGGACAAACCTTTAATAATAGTAATCCTTTATGGATCGTATTGTTGCTTGCTTTCTTGAAATAATGTCCCGAGGAGTAAATTAAAAGTAAAAGTATTTTAAGTTATTTATACGAATCTTGTATGCTAATAAAAATGGATTGGAATATCAATACGATTAAGACAATTTAACTTTGATGTTTCGTGGTTCCGATAGGATTTATATTCATTTGATTTTATTTTCAGATATTCTTTGTTATCGCCGTGGCGTACGAAGTATTGGGAGAAGGTTAGTGTTGAGATAAGGACATTATCACATCACATTTCACATTTGGGTCGAATTTGAACTGTATTGTAAAGTATGTAACAAACATGCTTGCTTCGTCGTGAGAGGGTATTAATATAGAGAAATATTAATTTTTCATTACATTACATTATTAATTACATTATTGTTTTCGTGAATATAATATTTGTATTCATAACTTCACATTTAGCAATTTCATTACAGTAACATTCAGCACTTTCCTTAGACATATATTGATAATTGTTTCTTCGACGTATACTGTTTTGTACCATCAGACGAAAAGTTCGGTTGGTAATTTTGAGTAACATTTAAAACCGATGCATCAGTTTCATATTATTCTATTACATTCAACGTACATACATATTACATAAAAACTAACAAAAATAACACTATTTATAATATTAATATACAAGAAATAATCAATGTCTGGTGGTTTCAGTTAAAGATGTCAAGGACTCCCGTGCCGCGTCATCGGGGTTGTACTCGAGTGTCATCAGTCCCGGCCTAGGGGGCGGGTCGCTCATCGGTGGCGGGCTCGCGCCAGCCGGGATCGTCACCGGCGGCGGCTCCGGCCTGTCTAGCGGGGCCGCCCTCAACAACGCCGCCGCCGTCGGAGCGGCCCAGCTGAGCGCCATCCAGAACGCGCAGGCGGTGCAAGCCGCACAGATAGCCAACGCCGCCGCCGCCGCCATCCAGGGCGCCCGTGTCGCAGAGGCTGAGGCGCGCGCCAGACAGGCGAGCGCGATCCAAAACGCGCAGGCCTTGGACGCCGCGCGCATCGCCAACCTGCAGAGGGCGCAGGCCGCCGCCCTGGAGAACGCTAGGGCCAACGAAGCGGCTAGGAGGGCGGCTTCCGCCGGCGCGTTGGAGCTGGCACGCGCCGCGGAGGCGGACCGCATCGCAAACGCAGCGCGCGTTCAGGCGGTCGCGTACGCGAACACCAGAGCGGTGGAGGCATCCCGTATTGCCAACGCGGCGAGGGCCCAGTCCGCGGCTGTAGCGACGAGCGCCGCTCAGGCGCAAGCCGTCGCCGATGCCGTAGCTAGGAACGCACAGGAGGGCCTCCTCGGTGGCGGTAATGCCGCCATCGTCGGCGTGGCACCGGCATCCACCGGCGTTGTTATTGGATCTTCCCTTGGCGGACTTAGCGGCCTAGGTAGCTACGGCGGCTATGGAAGCTATGGCGGCTATGGCTACGGGCAGGGCTGGGGTCTCGGCGGCAGCGCTCTATACGGCAAACACTAATAGGCCCAGCTAATACTCGATATGATAGGCAATGTATTATTAGAATTCTACATCCATTTCGTCACTTCGCTCAGAAATGGTTAGCGGCAGATAAATTTGGACTGATTGTGTAAATAACATTTGAAACCAATAAATACATTTAATGCATCAATAACTGCTCCTTTTTTAAACGGTTTTATTTAGCTCGACCCGTACATTTGGGAAACCTTCCCGTTGTCAGATTGATCTGAAATTTGGTACACACATTTAGTTTAGATGACAATACAATATTGTAGTTTTCAGTGCACATAAAATAAAACCGTTTAACTTTAAAGTTTTTAAACGGTTTTATTTAACACTAACTATTATTAGCTTCACACTATTTTTACCCAAACGCTATTTTCACCCATTTCAAAATGTCAGGCTAATTTAAAAATATTGCACACTTATCGAGGACTGATGACAATTAAATAATTTATTAAGTTTTCCCCATTATCCCGACCTGATCAATTATTCGAGGAGCCCGAGAAATGGTTACTACATACAAGAAAGGCAGCAGGCGCAAAAATTACCCACCTCTGGCACGGCGGAGTGGCGACGAAATCGGCACAAATATTATGCTCGACATCAATTGTTATAATATTTCTATTTCAAAATTGCGAGTTAGTGTAAGAATTCTGACAAAGCACCCCACTCTATGTTTTACAATTACATTAACTTTCGCGTTAATCACTTTATTCTTATATTCAAATTTCTTTTTTACTTTTTAGTTCGGTTCACGATGAAATCGTGTTCTTTAGTTTTTTAAACCTTTATTTAAGTTTTCATTGGATGCAAATTATAGTATTGTGTCATTATGATTAAAATTTTTTGAGTTATTTCATATCCTATTTGGAAAAAAACTATTTTCTCGGAAATAATTCGTCTTCCGATAAAATATCTGAAATAAGATAAACATATCCAAGAGGTAAACAAATACATTAATCTTACACATGAGAGGTCGAAAGCCAACACAACACATTACAGATAAGTTTGTTATAAAAGCTTAAGAATTTGATGGATGTCATCATAATTCAGTAGTAGTTCAATATTATAGTACATCGAAATATGGCGTTCAAAGTGAGTATTGCATTGCAAGTTCTCTTGAAACACATTTTACATTAATTCTGGCATTATTAACTTAGATTACTTCTTCTATTAAATTGATCAGTAAATGAAATCAGGATTGGAAAACAATTAGTCATAATGAAGTTTTAATTCTTTTTTCTTCAGTCCTTTAATAGAAGATATGTATTTTGTTATGTAGATTGTTTCTGACGAAAGGTATAGCCTTAAGTTCATAACGAGACACATTGTACTCTTTTATGTGTAATACAAAATCATTGGTAATACAAAATTATCAGGCAAACGCAAAATAACTTACTAAATAATTATTATCATTTGTAATAATTGTTAATATTTTAACAGATTATATGCTTGGTTTTGGCTGTGGCAGCTCTTAGTAACGGTAAGTCTCGTCTCAGCATGCATTACGTTATTACGTACTTAGTTAACGTAATTACTTAACGTTTCGGGTTAATTCTTGAGAAGTAATTAAAGAGTCATTATTTTTTTTATTTTAAACGGGTAGCTTCTGCGACGAACAACATCAATATGTTAGAAAGGATTTTACAAAATAAGGCCCATTTTGTACATGGAAAGTTTTATCATTCGCTATTGGGTACGGCTCTGTACGGCTAAGGAATGGAACATCCTGCCGGCGTCGGTGTTCCCATCCGATTATAACGTAGGCGTCTTCAAGGCAAGAGTGAATAGGCTTTTACTGAGCTAGCGCGCTTACCATCCACGGCTGCATCGCCACTTACCATCAGGTGGGATGGCAGTCAAGCGCTAGTCAGTTCCATATAAAAAAAGGGTGTGTTATAATCCAGTGCAACGAACACTGTATCCACTTTTGATAAATTCCTACAATCGTATTGCATAGGCATTTCATCAATTAACGTTTATTATAATTTTTACCGATTTAATAACCTTGAGACATCTTATAATTTTTTTGAATTTATCGCGTTTATTTTTAATTTTAACTCCTGAAGTTTCAAAAACTTTACAGCGTTCATGGTTACGGGACAGACTGACGCTTTGAACGTCCGAATGTTATAGTTAACCCAGGCTACTGTCAGTTGTTAAATTACTATTTTTGTGTCCGATCTATGGAGAAGGAGCTAATTGTATCGTGTCTTGCACTAGTAGTTTGTATGGGCCTAGATTTATTTTATTGATGTTAGGTTATTACTGCACCCAACCATCTTCTCTATTAAAATTAGGATGTTTTTTTTTAAATTTTAATAGCCTCCTTGGGAGGTATCGGTGTTCTTTTGAGGAATCAAATATTCGTTATAAAATTATCATAGAGGAATCTGTCACGGTGTTTGTAATTGAACTCCTCCGTAACGGCTTGACCGATTTTCGTAAAATTTTGTGTGCATATTGGCCAAGGTGGAGAATCGGACAACATCTATTTTGCATCTCCCTTAATAGTTTAGTAGGTTCAACAGAGTGCAGCCCTGTAGTCCCGGGCTCTAGAATAGGACTAAGGTATCTCCTGCCTGTCGTAAAAGGCGACTAAAAGGGGATATGGATTGGCAGCAGCACGAAGTGGCCTCGAGCTGCTGCAAGATGGTGAGGGAATCGGGGAAGGTTTATCCTTCTCCGCGGCTTGCTCACGCCCAGTACCGAGGGACACCGGTGCGTTCCGTAGGAGATCCCGGAGTCCCTCCAAACGTACAGAAGGTGGCCACCGAGGGGGTTTTACTGGGTAAGAACCCCACATTCTATGACAGGGTATCTTACGAAGATTTCCCCCGCAATACCAAAAAAAAAGGTTCAACAGAGTGACGGCTATGGGAGGGGGATGTCTTATCCTACATAGAAATACCGTAAAATTAACAGAAATAAAAATTATATTGTTGTATATTCTGTTGAACGACTATGTGAGATCACTTTTACAGAGACAGTAGATTATTAATTAATGTAGACCGAGGTAGGTCCGTTTTATCAAACTTTTAATTTGTTTCGACTTATTAATTGTGTCTTCAAAGACCCCCCAAAGAAGAGTAGAGTCCCCATCCTGTGCCTCTTTTGTAGATAATATTGAGTAAATTGTAAAGTCTTTATTGATTTCTTGATTTTACGCGAATATTCTACATTGTGAAATAAAAATGTTTCACGGTTTTACCGCGTTTAATTTGTTTTTTAAATTCACGACGTTTCGAACCCTTTCCAGCGTTCATGGTCATGGGACAAGAAGGGCTTATCAATATGTGCAATTGATTTAACAATCTGTGACATCACATATTCAATACAAGTTTAGACAACAGAAAATTTCCAAATGTAGTTATGCCAGTATATTAATCAGGATCGAGGGTAAATGCTTCTAACTACCGTCCCATCTCTATCTTGCCACTGCCAGCTTTGAGTAAGGTATTTGCGAAAATAATCCTTGAAAAAACGATAGTTCATTTTGGTAAATATAAAATTTAAAACCAGTACCAATGTGGACTTGTTAAAGGTACAACTGATGCAGGAATAGAATTATTATCACATATTCTGCAGTCTTGAAGACGTCTATGGCGCTTTTGGCCATATCTGTTACCTCTCCAATTTATTTGACTGCGTAGATCATACAGTTACTATTTTATAATTAAAATATTATGGTATATTGTCATCGGGTTTAGTAGAACAAACGGGTGTTTCTCAGGGATCGATCCCAGGGTCATTTCTGTTTTAGTTTATATTGAAGATTTGTAAAATGTGGTAGAAAAAGAATTTCAAATAGTTTTGATTGTGGATAACACTTAACAATTGTATAAATTGAAAAAGAAAGTTGAAACACTGGAAAAACCAAAGCAAAATACTAGATGTTGTGTCAGGCTTGTTTGTCACCAATAATTCCCTTTTGAACTTCACTAAAACTAAATGTACCTATCAAATTTACTCTAAGTCAGGAATTTGTATTGCAGGCAAAAACAATTTCAAATATTTCCCTCACACTGATTTCGATTTCGATTTCGAATTGGAACGTCCTTTAAAAACATTTTACTTGATTTTTTTAAACCATCTAGGAAGAAGAAGACCACCCTTTAAAACAAAAAAGAATTTTCCAAAGCGGTTTAGGCTTCTTCCAGCAATTGGTGAACATACATTGGTTTAAAGAATTTATTTCCCAAAAGAACATTACATATGTTATTTATTTACAATAAAAGAAAGAGAGAAAAGTCATAACCAAAGTGGAGTTCGATCTGCCGTAGTTATCTGTAAGGATCAGTTATTAATCAAGTACGTCATCAAAGTATTTTTAAAGGCATTAACGGATACAGATTCTTTTAAATTTTTTGGTAATTTATTATATAGTTGAGCTCCCTCATACTGTATATTTTTCTTTCCGTACATGGTTCTGATCATACATAAAAAATGTCGACGAATTGAGTAATTCCTTTTTGAACTCAGTTAAAAATTAGCAAAGAAGTTGAGTACTGTCATTTTTGCTTTACGTAAGAACTAAATTAGTTTACTAAGCTTATTTTCAGAGTATTTAGTCTTGAATGGTGATTTTTTGACTTTGGGTTTCGCATCCGGCTTAGACACAATTTTTGCATTACAAAAGCACTTTTATCTATCAAAGGCTGTCTATGGCATTTCTTTTTAGCAAAAATACGATTTAACGTTTCTGTAGTTATACATAATCGAGACCAGCATGTATGTTTGAAATTACATCTATCTTTTTACAAACAAACATACCACATCGCTTCTGAACCGTATTGTATTATATTGGCTATTATGAGAAAGTCGTTTATTTGTAGATGTATTTACTTATACAATAAAATTAGTGATGTTCTTTGACAATTAAGTGTAAACAATTTCAAACATTTTGTAAAAGCATGAATACACATCCTTGATATGTGGAAATGATACTTGCAAGTCCCTTGGCTGCTGATTTTATACTTAACAAATTTTGTGTTTCATCAATCACATCAAAGGTACAACAAACAAAGCCTAAATAGTGAAATTTTGAAATTGAAATTTGTCTTTGAAAGGATACCATAAAAAGGCGCAAAATCCCCACCACTTTCAATGGGATATACTTTAGTTGGCAATTTTCAATATTTAATTCTTTCTAAAGTCTTCCTTCCTCAGCTGGTCTCCATTATTTGCTATTAACATTGTCTATATTTAATGATAAAATTATATGTAATAAGAAGGAAAGAAGAAAATTGTGTATGAATGTCTACATTTGAGTTATGCTCCTCAGTATTTGCATTATCTTTGCAGGTTACCCGTACGGTGGCGGCTACGGACAAGGGGGTCAAGGTTTCGGCCCTGGCGGTGGCCAAGGAGGACATGGATCTGGAGGCCAGGGTGGTTTCGGACCCGGCAACCAGGGCTTCGGAACGGGCAACCAAGGGGGTTTCGGCCCGGGTGGGCATGGAGGGCAAGGTGGATTCGGTGGCCAGAATGGTTACGACCAAGGCGGTCAGGGCGGTTTCGGATCAGGCGGAAATAGCGGAGGCTTTGGACCTGGAGGCGGCCAGGGTGGCTTCGGCCAGGGCGGTGGACAGGGACAAGGCTTTGGCGGCCATCGCGGTGGTTACAAGGAACACGGCTATTAGCCACAATAAAGACTGACCTACGAAGCTGACTTGTAATTGTATCTTATTATGATTGTTTGAAATGTAATTTTTTAAGGCGCCTTGTCAAATAAATTTTATACTGAGATTCTGTCGTTATTTTAAAAAAAAGCATCGGAAAAAAATCTTTGTGTAGTTGCTACAAACACATTGTATAAAAACATTTTAAGCAGCGAATCTATTGATGTCCTTTATAGCACACGATTTCAAACAACGGCTTGGTTTGAGTTTTGAGTTTTGAATACCAACGATCCTGCTTTACTCTACTAGGCAACGATATTTAATCTAACATTACCGCATTTTTGACAGTAAGCAGGATTATTTTTGAAATGGTCAGGAATTAAAGCAAAATACTATTAAAATTGAATGAGAACATGGTTGTAGTGCCCTTGTATAATATACCATAATTATAGGCATCAGGAACAACAGGTTAGGTCAAAACTTTAAGGTACACATAGAATTAAAATAAAAACAGCTAAGGGAACATGCGTATCAAGGACTTCGGTCTGCAAATATTTCAGTATAAATGTTACCTTGTTAATTGCATCTTAATATTGGTTCACTTTGTAACATCTCCATTAATGCAGCCACATTCATTGCTTCGCTTTTCTTCCTCAGGAATATGTGCGAAGTGCAATATCCGGCAGAATGTGCAGTCATCTTATTTTTGTGACCTAATTCATATTACTTTATAGTATGTAAAAATAGCATTTTTATTCACAGCCGACCACTTACCGCAGTGCTTGTTCTCATATACCATTTACCATTTTACTAGTTAACGAGTTAACCAAGTTTATTATTATATTGTAATAAATTTATTATAATATATTGTAATAATTTTTTTGCAAAAACTATCAAAGTAAATTTTTAATTCTATAAAGGAATTTTACTCACTACTTAAACGATTTTTTTCTTTACGTTTTGAATTGGGGGGTGCATTTCAATGCATCTCGGATAAACAATTAGATAACTGGACAGAATTTATAACTAAACAGACTTTCGGTGAATTTGTGTTCTATTGTATTCGTGATCTTATGTAGTCGCGTGTGAGCAAAACACGAATTTTAATGAACGTTATTAAATAACAATAACCGGATTAGAGTACCCGTTTGGGAGTATTATGTGATAACTTCACAATACAATAAATCTGTACCGATTATAAAACCCACCGATTTGGAACAGAAATAGGATTATCAGGCCTTACCTTACCGTAAACTTCTGCCAGCTGAAACCGTGCGACTGACTGGACATTTTTTGGAAAATATTGTAATAGCTGTAAAGCCTATAAATATACCAGTCCATCTGCTATACTGTATACAGGGTGAAAAGTAACTGAATAAATACCATTCGCTTTTTACACGGATACCGACAGTTCTAAATCTCCGTTCAACCGTAAGAGTTAAATATGCAACAACCAGTTAGTGTCGTCGCGTTTTAGGAAATGATATTTTAATAAATCGTTCCTTTTTTTTCGTCTCTGTTATAACAATGTATTTTATGTTACACTCATTGCAGTGAGACACCATTATACCAAGGCTCTATGCTAAAGTGTACTAGTATAGTATAATAACGACCAGTTCAATATTAACAGTCCAACGCCCGGTTTCTGAAATACTGGTCATCGTAGAAATTTTTCTTCTTCTTTGTTTAACACATGGCTTCTCTTAAAATAATTCATCGTAGAAATTAAATAATCGGCTGTAAAATGGCTTTTCAAATGTCATTTAAGTTGCCAAAAAGCTGGTTAAACTCTTTGAATTGATCATTGTGATCAATTCAGAAAGTTTAACCATCTTATTGAAAACTCAAATAACATTTGAAAAGTCATTTGACAGCTCATTAGTTGACTTCTACGATGATCAGTGTTTCAGGAACCGGGCCTAAGTCTAATAATACAGAAAAATATATTAATGAAAATACAATACATAATATAAAATGGTATTTAATATATTGAAAGTTTATTTACACAACCAGTCTTAAATAATCTACCACGAACCATTTCTAAGTGAAGTGACGAAATGGACGTAGAAATTTTTTTACATTGACAAATGGAACTGCCAATCTAGTGTTTGCTAATGAGTGCGCCACCGCCATGGCCCCACGATGTTCCGTAGCTAAGTCCTTCGGCCACATGGCCAACTTCGACTCCGGCCGCAGCTGGTCCCACAGCTACCACACTGGGTGCACCACCAACAAGAAGGCCCTCTTGGTTATTCCTTGCTACTGCATCAGCGACGGCCTGCGTCTGAGCGGCGCTGGTGGCGACTGCGGCGGATTGGGCTCTTGCAGCGTTTGCAATACGGGAGGCTTCAATAGCTCTGGTGTTAGCGTAAGCTACAGCTTGGACGCGGGCCGCGTTGGCTGCTCGTTCCGCTTCAGCGGCGCGAGCTAACTCCAAAGCGCTGGCAGCTGCTGCCCTCCTAGCTGCTTCGTTGGCCCTAGCGTTCTCCAGGGCAGCGGCCTGTGCCCTCTGTAGATAGGAAACGCGCGCGGCGTCCAAAGCCTGGGCGTTTTGAATCGCGTTCGCCTGTCTGGCGCGTGCTTCGGCCTCGACAACGCGTGCTCCTTGGATTGCGGCCGCGGCAGCATTCGCAATTTGAGCAGCTTGTACCGCCTGCGCGTTCTGGATGGCGCTTAATTGGGCCGCCCCTACGGCCGCAGCGTTATTTAAGGCCGCGCCGCTAGAGATGGCTGGGCCAGCGACAACTGCCGCCGCCGGTGCTGCGACAACCGCTTGGTTGGTAACAATAGCGGCTGGCGCGTACCCGCCGACGACCACAGCGTCTGAGCCGCGACCTGAGGACAATTTGTTCAATATCCGTTTTCACAAAGAATTGATATTTTTTCTCTTAACTGTCATATGAATGAAAGATAATGCTCGGAATAGTTCAAATACGAACATTTAAATGTAAACACACTGCGGTACAAAAAGCCCATATTGAAATTTCTCCGAGAATACATATTTCGTGATTGTCATGATTCGGCAAAAACAAATAAAAGTATTTACCATCACCAAGCACTCCATACGCCAAGGCGATGACAAAGAAGATCTGTGAAATAAAATGATGAAATAAGAGGTCACGTCCAAACGTTCGAAATATAAATACTTTCCTTGAATATACATGAACAATTCCAAGAATTCACGTCCCATGCGGGATCGAGACAACGACCTGCAATACTGTGTACTACCTGTATTACAAGTACCAATTAATAAATCAACAAAATTAAGGATTGTATTGTAAAACCGCAAGAAAATTATATTTTTAATAATTTAAGAAATACAATATTAAATTATTAAGTACACTATTTGCTAAATACATGTTGTTACCGTAAGTCTAGACATGGCTGTGTTTTGCTATGTAGCCGTCTGAGACTCGCCGCTGAGTTGAGCTGGTTGCAATTGTATCTTTAACTGTATCGGTTTCGCTTTTATACTGCGGTGAAAATATACCGATCCAATTAACTATTCATGAGGCGCGATCGCTGCGGCGCCGGTTAGGATGCTGCTCACCCTGTTTTTCACAGTCGTAACGTATGACGCAAACAATATAAGTATTGGTTGCTCGTTTTACACACGGCAACTGTTAAGTATTTAAATCAGCAGCGAGTTAACTTCTTATGAAAAAGTAACGAATCGAAGATCCATCGAAGAAGGAGACAGCTATGTAAAAAGAATTTTTGCACAACGTTTTCAGTATGCAGTTATTTGTTCATTCCGAATACCATAAAGTGTGAAGACGCTGCACCTTATTGAAATTATTCGTAGACTTCTATCGCGTCGTTAAGCAGTCAATGTGAGTGTTCAAAGTAAAGAACCTGCAATAGCTTTAATATTCTAGACCCTAAAAATTATATTAAAGTTAATAGTGTTACAATTTGTGAAAATATTTTTAAGAAACTTTCTTTCATATTTTATCTTATACTAGCGACCCGCCCCGGCTTCGCACGGGTACAATGTATTAATATATAAAGCTTCCTCTTCAATCACTCTATCTAGTAAAAAAACCGCATCAAGATCAGTTGCGTAGTTTTAAAGATCTAATGTTCATTTTAAAAAGTTATTGGTAGCACTGCGTTTATAAAAGTACGTTGCAATTTCAAATGTTTGACTATAGGTTTTTAAATCACGAACGTTGATATCGTACTTTTATTAAATTAACTTATTTGCTCAACATTTTTTAAGCATAGTTTCTGTTGTTTCGCGGTCGCGAAGATGCTACCCTATATAAAGTGATAAAAGTATCAAAACCCACACAATAATCGCGCTTCTTTAGTTGTTGAGAAGGATTGCAGCCCATGCTTCGTTTCTCAGAGGATAACTGTGAGTCATTTGACTGTCCAAAGAACCAGGCAGCGCTATCGACCCCTGGATGATGGTTTTATGGCGAGTCGAGTGTTACAAATCTATGGACGGTCAAGAGGAGCCTTAAATTGCCTGCCTAGGACTCAAAAATACAGGAATTATTGTTCACCGATGATGGCAACTACTACGTTAACGAGGTGAACACTTCCTAGATACATGTTTTGAAAAAAAAATCACAACAGGTGTCTGTTTTGCGTAGTATGATTTGTTTATCATACGGAGAAAGTCTTTATAGAACAATCGGAACACTTCCTGGTCACCCAGTTCCTCATGTACAATCTGCATTGTTGGATCTTGGCGAAGACTCATTATTTATGAATTACAACGCTCACGGCCACTGGTCTGCGATGGGGAAGAATATTTGTTAGTGGTAGGAATCCGTTTTTTTGATCGACCGCGTTGAAGTTCGAACATTAATTCCATAGAGCATAATCAGTGCAGCTGGAAGCCAGCCACAAGAGTGCGAAAGATTTTAACTGTGGTAGGGCCACGCAGTCTTCGCTTTTGCACGAATGGGCAGGTCCATCCGGGAAAGTGCCACGACCTCGTAGAAGACCATCGTGAAGTAAAATGTTATACTTCTGCCTTTTAGGCTTGTGATTTAGGTAATCGTAGTCCACCTTATTAAAGGTGGCAACGCAATTGCTACTCTACGGGTGTTGCAAAAGTCTACGAGCGGTGGTTATCACCTAAAATCAGGTGAACCACTACCTCGCTTGCCACATTCTCCCATGAAAAAAAAACCAAGCATAAGGTAACAATGTAATGAACAATCTAATACCTTTAAACGAGCAATTCTTGTATATATATAATCGGAATCTCGGAAACGGCTCCAGCGATTTTCATGAAATTTAGTATGTGCGTAGATTCGAGGGCGAAAAATCGATCTAGCTAGGTTCCATTGTTAGAAAATATTATCACTGTTTTCAGGGAATGAAAAAATGGTAAATTTCGCCAAAAAAAAAAAAAAAAAGATTGTAATAGCTCGGTCGGTGATTGGGCGGCCCCGAAACAGAATGCTGCGGTTCGTGTCACGATCATTTACACACTTATTTTTTTCTATACCAGATCATTGCTTTTTTTTATTTCCAAAATATACGATTTACCAAAAAAAAAAAACGAGCAAAGCACGGTCCTCCAGGTAATAAAGGTGGAAACGATTCATCTTTATTGTAAAGGAGTGTTAAGTAATAACAGTTCGTAGAATCCTGCAGATTGTCCTCTTGAAAGCCTTTCTTTTTCAGTATCTAATCCCAATACCGACACAAATGAAGTAGTTTATATATATGCTAAATGCTGATTTACTTGACGGTAAAATAAAACATCGTAATTATTTTAAAGGTACATAAATTGTGTATCTTTAAAGTAATTAAAAGCGATAAAATAATTTCGATATGGGAAATCTGCCAATCCGTAGAGGAGAAATGTGATAAAAGTTGGAAGAAAAAATAAAATGCGGAATACGTCTTCTATGTTGAAAAGATTTCGCCGAGCAACGTCTTTAGCAACGTCAACGATCGCGCCATAGGACAACTGCTTACAATTTTAATCCAGATAATTAAGAAATTAGGAAAACCGATGAAAGACTACATTTCATTGTAGAGGGTATCGCGAAACTGAATTGATAATTGAATACCGGAATTTTATTTGAGTAAAGATACTGTTCATTAATAAGTACTGTTCAGCCTTCAGCGAAATTCATTTTGCCTTATCATAGGATATAATTTCATATTTTCTTCATATTTTTTTTTATTATTTCTGTTATTATATTTTAGTAATACGTTATAACATTGAAATAATACAAAGTAAGAAGTAAAGTACAGTCCATTATATTTTATAGTCACACCCACTTGGCGGACTACAAATATGTTTGAAATATTTTTTTTTGTAACAGTTTTCCTCACGATGTTTTCCTTCGCCGCGAAGCACGTGAAAAGCCAGCATTTAAAATTAACTTTTTCATTGGTGCCGGCACCGGGATTGGAACTCATGTTGCACCCGTATATTGAATGCTAGAATTAGTGCTTAGCACAATTATCAAAGGCTATCTAGCAGGGGAAATTCAATAAAACTGAAGTCATATTGGACACAGCGCTTTTTGTTATTATGAATGTTATAAATTTTTCCATAACGTGTAGTTTTACATTGATCAAACTATTCGATTACAACAATTAAAAATGTTTTCTGAGATACATTTGCTAAATCAGCTTATCTACGGTGGAGTTGTAAAGTTGACTATGCCCTTATACTCTCAGTTCAGACAAGGCATTTGCCCGGCAATGGGTCTACGAAAATTATGGTTTCTTTTTTCATTAGACTTAGAATCTTAAATTTATAATGAATATTACAATTTTATCTTCAACTATATTTTCAGCGCTTGTATTAAGGTAATAATGGTGAATATAGATTTAAGTACAATAAACGGTCACAACAGCAGAATAGAACAAAGAATAAAGTAGATGGTTATAAACAAAAATGCTTCATATAAAACGCTATTTATTACCTTGTAAGAATATTTACACAACCGGTCTTAATTAATCTGACACATTTCCATTTCTCTGTGAAGTGATGAAATGGATGTAGAAATTTTATGCGACTATCATGATAAACGTAACTTGTAACCAGCTAGTGTTTGCTAATAAGAACGCTGCCGCCATGTCCCCAGGATTGTCTATAGCCGACGATACCGTCAATTGAAGGCCCTACTTCAACGGCAGCTGCAGCTGGTGCTACTGCAACGACACCAGGGCCACCACCAAGAAGAAGACCATCCTGGGTGTTCCTTGCCACTGCATCAGCAACGGCCTGGGTCTGAGCGGCACTAGTAGCTACTGCAGCAGATTGGGCTCTTGCAGCGTTTGCAATACGGGAGGCTTCAACAGCCCTAGTGTTGGCGTAAGCCACAGCTTGGACGCGGGCTGCGTTCGCCGCGCGTTCAGCCTCTGCGGCGCGAGCCAACTCCAAGGCGCTGGCAGCTGCCGCTCTCCTAGCGGCTTCTGTGGCTCTAGCGTTCTCCAGGGCAGCGGCCTGCGCCCTCTGAAGATTGGCGACTCGGGTGGCGTCTAAAGCTTGAGCGTTCTGAATTGCGTTTGCCTGCCTGGCGCGCGCTTCTGCCTCCACAACGCGTGCGCCTTGGATGGCAGCTGCGGCGGCGTTCGCTATCTGAGCGGCTTGTACCGCCTGCGCGTTCTGGATGGCGCTCAGTTGGGCGGCACCTACAGCTGCAGCGTTGTTAAGGGCTGCACCGCTTGAGATAGCGGGCCCAGCGACCACCGCAGCGGCTGGTGCTGCAACCACTTGGTTTGTCACAACCGCAGTCGGCGTATACTCGCCAACGATCACGCTGCCTGAGCCATAACCTAGGAGAAATCGTTTGATCGTTGAGTGATAGATGATACATTCGTGTCATGACTCACTTTTTAGTGTCGTAACTCAAACGGAGGAGAAGTTATATTAGGGCTTAGGGCTCATCAACCATCGTTGAGAAATTCATTTCCATGCCGTAGTGGAAGTCAATTTTAATTGGAATTAAAAGAAAAAATCTTCTGTTAAATATTTAAGAACACTCAGGAGATTTAACCTATTTGAAATTTTGTATAATTAACATTAAAAAATAATAAAAAATATTACCATCACCGAGTACACCACACGCCAAGGCGGTGACAAAAAAGATCTGTGAATCAAAGCGGAGAATTATGAATTAGCTTGAAGATTTTATTGCACTTTAAATCAAAATTAAAAAGTACAAATAAAAAGAAGTAATCTATGAAGTATAATATTTTCTGCTATATTATTAAATATACAAAACAATTTTAGATTAAATATAGTTTTACCGTAAGTCGAGACATTGTTGTGTTTTCCTGTTTAGCCGCCTCCGACTTGCCACCGGGTAGAAGCTGGTTGCAATTATATTTTAACAGTATCGCTTGCGCTTTTATACTGCAGTGAAATTATACCACGCGAATTAACAATTCATGAGACGCAATGGGTGAAGCGTAGGGTTGGATGCTGTTAACTCCGTTTTTTATAATTATAACGTAAACAATGTATATCAATTATTAGAACAAGTTACAGACAAATTAGAACGATAAAAAAATTCAAGAATGCGTTGGTATAAGTATAATTATAAATAAATATATTATATAGTATAATTTCTTTCTACTTTCTGTATTTCTCGGCATTTAAATGTTTATTATTTCGGAGCGTTCATTTCAAATTACTACGACACATTTTTTTCGATTTGAGCAAGGCATTTGATCGCGATTCCCATACTTTTTTAACGTTTTACTGGCATGGGGATTGATCGATAAAAATCTAAATAAAAATAATGGACGCGGCTGAATCATTTATTGCATTTAACACAGGAGGTGTTCCGCAAGGTTTAATCCAAACTTATTTAACATTTTTGTTAACGGCATCTCTACTTTTTTAACTATTTTTTGTGCAGATGACCTAAAAATTGTAATAAGTGAATTAAATGATACCGAATTTGTATTAATAACATTAAAGACAATCGTTTTACTGGATAATAAACTAACGATCTTCCCGAAAATATAAATAAAAAAGCATCTAATGATATATTAGAATTTATCGTATGGTTGATATGCTGGTTTGTGAGACAACACAGATAGAGTAAATCTGATAAATTTCTATGTAGGATAAGACGGGGGATGGATCCCATAGCAGTCACTCTGTAGAACCTACTGGCTTCTGAATATTTTTTTATACTTAATGGCATATCATTGAACCATGACTCAGTAAAGCACGAGATATCTGCATTATATCAATTAAAAGTTCTACGTCAATGATCTTACCGAGGGTTTATATTTTGATATAGCAAACTAGTTTTAATGTTTTGTTTCTTATTTATCAGCCTTACATTTCTAAAAAGTATAAATTTCAGTTCAGTGTTAATAGACAATCTAGTTAATACTGCATTGTTATTAATTACTTCCATTATATGCTGACTAGCGACTACCCGGCTTCGCATGGGTGAAATTAAGATGCTAATGTACGGCAGTGTGAAGTGATTAATAATATTATGATTATAATTTGTCTATAATACAGGATATCTTTATATACAATATTTTTATTTATTAGTTGTTTTTGTCACGAGAAAATGCAAAAATATCTTTTCTACGATTTTAAATTTAATTCCGTAGTAAATCGATTTGACCTATCTCGTAAGGTTTAGCCAGCGTTTGCAATTTAATAGCACAAAAAAATGTTTGTTACCACATCACATTAAAAATCTTTAAATTACTCTGGTTTTCTCTACTACGCATGTATACAATGATGTCGTATATATTGCGTTGCGTCCAAAAACTAAAAGTTTCTGGAAATACTATCAAAGGTCAAAAATGAATTTATTGTTTATATAAAATATTTTCCCCTTGCGTTAATGCACTTTTCATACGACTTTTTCGATCAAACTTGTTTTAATTTTGAAAACATTTGCGCCTCTCCTCAGTGGTGACCTCATAAACGTGTTTTTCATACTCTTCTACTTTTTCGTGCAACAGCCGAGGCTTCTGCGTGGCCATACCACCGCTAGGTTATTAAAAAAAGAAGCAATCATAAGCTAAGGTGCACTTTCACGCGGGCCACTTGGTTTCGGCTCATCTTGAAAGACTCACACGCTCGATTGCTGATTTGTTTTGGGATCGAAGGAATAAATCCATCTTTCTTCACGTGTTATTATGTCCCACACCAAATTTGAACCCTTAATTGAATCTGGTAAAATAGCATTGCACCAAGTGAGGCGGTCCGTTTTTTGAGTCTCGGTCAAGTTGTGTGGGATTCATCATTCAGTGATGATTCAATGATGTCTAGGGATGCCCCAATCTCATGGTAGGTCACATGCCTGTCTGTTTCGGTCATACAGCGCACAGCATCGATGTTTTTGCTGTTCACAGCGGTGGACGGGCGACGATTGCGAGATTCGTCATTGAGATTGACACGACCGCGCTCGAATTCCGCAAACCAGCTATAAATAGTCGTCTGGCATGGTTCTTCATCGCCAAAACAGATTGAAGCCGAGCGAGGGTCTGCTGAACTGTCAATTTACTCTTTAAATCGTAGAAAGTCATATTACGAAAACTTTCCCTAGTTAAACCCATGTCAATGTAGACATGCAATTTTTTAAATGGCGCCACAATGTAAAAACAATTGATAGTTAGATGAAACAAACTGCATTCTACTGCCAAAGGGTTCCATTTTCAAATGTTTTAATACTTTTTAAATATTGTTTATGTAAAACGTAAAATTTATAAAAGTAATAAAGTTATAAAATAAACGGTCTATTTTATCGATACGATCATGAAATCATAGACAGAATAGTTCTTGAAGTTTCGAATAACGATTGATTTTCTCATCCTAATATTCAGTATGGGTTTTGCTTTAATAACAGCCTTATTTTTTAACCAGGCAGTATTTCTTTTGGATATTTTTCTGAAGAAGTATAAATTTATCAGAATATTTGTCTAATCCCACTTCCTAGTTGCGTTATATCTGAAAGTTAGCCAGGTTGTAAAGTGACTTTGTTCAGTTATCTAAGGCAACAAATGCGCATAATCACAATTGCATGTGCAGTAATTGTTACGCATGTGTAACATTCAAATCCATTGAACCGTGTCACTAATGTCCTAATTCATTTGCTAAATGACTAACGACTGTTTAATGCACCGTTTCATAACTACATTAGCGAAGTGCATATTTCTAGTATTCGCAATTTCTTAGATATAATGGCGATATCACCTCTGATATAAAATATGAATTCTATAGTCTAGCATCATAGCACCACAAGACCTTCAGTATCAAGTCTTTCTTTGTTTCTCTTCTAGCTATAGCTATAGCTATCTTTACCTAGCTTAATTTTTGAAACGAATTTAGTTAACACGGTTTGCGGGATTGTGCCGTGTGAGTTGGTAGAAATCGTCACGTAAGTAAAAATGGGACATTAATAGGCTGTTATTTTTCCCCTTTCGCATTTATCAACTACTTCTTCGCTTTGAAATCACAAAAATATATCAGCTGCTCCATATATGTATATAAACAAGATACAGTACTATTAAATGTTTCCAGATTTCACAGTCACAGTCATAAATGGATATAACAGTTCGAACTGAACGTGACAGAATGTCAAATCGTGGTAAAATTTGTTCTGCACACTTCAAAGGAGTAAACAAATAAACAACTACAAAAAAGTTTAAAGTCACCCAATCGTATGGGCATGCGTCATCTTTATTATAAGATCATTGTTTACGCTCATGTAAATTGACAACGTGTTTTTTTTTTATAAATGTGTCATCGTAGGACTTATCGCATAAACAAAATACTTGTTGCTTCGCCCTTCACACGGGTTAGCCATGTAAATTATTTATTTTATTTATTTATATATTTTGGAATACCAACAGAATTACATGTACACAAAGTTTTATTGTAACAATTTACACGTAATCTCTTTAATAGGTAGTCACAGCATTCACAGAGTACGTGTCGTACTCATAGCTTAATTGTACTCATGGCATTTAGCTAATCTAAAACATAAGAATGTTACGTTCTTATAAACGTAAATAAAGTAAAATATTACAATAAACAAGAACAAAAAAATAACAAAGATAACGTTATTGTTGTGTATACTAAACGGAAAGTTAACTCTGTTTCACCTTTCAACCTGTCAACTTTCTAAGGTATCTTATACTAAAATAAATATTTAAATGACACTCTGGTTACATTGTATAGGCTAATGATTGAGATTTAAATTAAAAAACTGTAGGTCATGCTGTGCAAATTAAAAGATCATAGATGGATGCTTTATAAAACAAAAGAGTAAGTTTGTTTTCTTTCAAATTATGTCGTCTTTCATCATATAACTGTCCAGCTCTACTAAATAGTTGTTCCTTGACGACGCGTGTTGGTGGGGCTGAAAGAAATTTATTAGCTGCTGGCTTCAGAACTTTATATGGAGATAATGGCGATATTCAAACATTTCTTCGAAGTTTTGGCTCGTTTCATATCAGAAATATGTAAATAGATTTCAAATGCCATTTTTCCGTGCTAAGAGTTAAGAAAGAAATTATAAAATAAAAAAAAAAAAACAAAGAGATTTACAATAACTCCTTAATTTGGTTTGCAACACCGTTTAATGTTTTAGTTTACACTTGTATATAGGCGAAACAGCACTGACTTGTATTCATAACAGTCAACATTCACACTTTATTTTTTGTTTTTTTCTTTTTTCTATACAAATATGTCGAGCGAATAAATTATACTGAAAACACAGTAAGCGAGTACACACAATAAGCGATATTCAATGGTACCAAAAATACCATCGATTTTAGACTACATACGCATTTATTTCTACAGAGGTAAGGATATTGAAAAACAAAACAAAAAATTGTTAAAAAAATAACTAAATATCTAACAGGGTGTGCTCGCTAAATGCTTAATGCATATAGTTACTTTATAACGAGAAGAAAAACTGATCCTTGTGTCATTATAACAACAGTTTTTCTAAGATACAATTCTATAAAAAAATTTGAGATGCAGGAAGCCTACAGACTTGAAGACTACAGTGAAAGATCGCAAATACATGATTTACACCAGTTTTACGTGTGTGAAATATAAATAATTAATTGGTATATTAAAGACATTTATACCATCTTAACTGGTTGCATTAATTAATTGTATTTAAAAACTACTAAAATGAAAAAAAATAACAACTACGAAGAAATTATTTAAATTGTCATAAAGCAAAACTTCATACAATCTCATAATTGTTTTTTACAACATTAATAGGGTAGATGGCATATCATACATCTTTCGCTGATTTATAGTCAAAATAATAGTGCTTTCTGTTGAGACCTATAATTTATTTTAAAACTAACACTAATATTTAGTGAATAATTAATTTATTAAAAATACAATCAATACAACTTTTAATAAGTAAAGAGTATTTTATATAGCGTGTCTTTACCATCGCGACAATATATTAACATACATATAGAGGATAATTTTTTAAAATTGTATTAAACATTTAAATTCTTTAAACATCAATATTTACAGAGTTATTAAATTTTCCAAAACAAAGAATTTTAGAACACCCTTACCTATAAAACTGTAACGTAAAGTTCATTTGTCACAAAGCATATGAATGGGTTGAATGAATTTAAAAGAGACAAAACATACTGTTAGCAGGAGATGCTTGTAATACGACGATGCGGCGCGAGTTTTATAGGATGTTACAAATTTTGTTTCTTTTTTAATTAATTAGTATGTTTGAAAAATATTTTTTTTAAATTATGGATTTTGTTTAACGTTAATATTTTTTTATGATTATTGGCAAGTAGCGTTAGACGTGTGTACATTTATTGACGCGGTGGTAACGACACGCTGTATAATTTTAGTGTTTACGGTGGGCGCATACACACTGAAGAAGAAGAAGAAGAAAGAGTAATAATCTAAGTATATCGGGATAACTTCACTGTAACACTAATCACTTTCACTATTATTTTGTTTATTGATTTCTGTACATGTAGTAGTGTTGTGTACATGTGTCTATAATACCCATATTTACAATAGCGTGTACCTCAAACCCTTCTCACTGATCATTGTATTCTCTGTAACATGGTTGCCTGGAATAAATCGCTCCTAAGCGATAAGGTCGCCAATTGTACCTTTATGTAATTGTTTTTTACTTTTGTAATTTTGTCTGGTGTACAATAAAGCGTATTTCATTCATTCATTATGTCTTCAAGAAAAGAGCCTACTCCTTTTTTTGTATAACTGATGTTACGCTTTTAGTCCTTAGTCTATTAAAGCTTCATCGAAAGCAGAACCTGGTTGGCTAGCTAGAACCCACGGGTTTGAGGCCCTTCTCAATGTAATCTTATAAGCCGGTAACGCAATTTCTTTGCCCATGGGCGACGATGATTTCTTAGAATACGGTGATCCGCTTGCTCGTTTGCATACATCTTCCGTTTTGCTACGTTACCTGTCTCAAGTGCTACGCGCTGATTATCCGCACCGCGTAAACGAAGCTGGCAATACAAAATGCAAAACTAATATATAAATAAGAACGTAATGATGGACGACATGCTGATTGAGAGACAAATCGATTTGGTTACCGGTCTTATCTAATTATTTTTGGAATTTCGTTTGCCAGGAGCTTGTTTTCAAAAAGATGCATTCCGCATTTTAATGTTTACGATTTGAATTATTGCCGGTATCTCTAAAGGCAATGCATCTGGTTTAATCCTTATATAGTGAAATATTATTTAATTGACATTGAAATAATGATACAGAATAAAATTCGATATTCAACGTGTTATAAAAAATCATATGGTACAACCATTTTTTCTCCAAGTCGTAACGTACTGCTGTTTTTGAAATTGAAAATAATATTTGCCGATAGGTTTAAGTTTCTATAACTTATCTGTATTGACCGGTCGCTTTAACGGCCAGGTTATCTAAAGTTTTATAAGAATTACACGGCTCATGCTCTCTTAATATACATGTGTCAATTATACTCAATGCACTTGAGATCTGTGCTATTGTAGAAAATGAAAACTGTTGTGGTATGTACCTTCTATATTATAATATTTATATATAAGCAAGATTAACTGTATAAATTACGACTTTTAAGGAGTTATTATTTATTTAATCGAACATAAAATCCAAGTATTTTTAATAAAATGTACATTTCATAGATAATTTTCATGTTACAACAAAATTTAATAAATCTCAGTTATGATCATCTGAACGCTATGAATCGCATTTTTATCGTGTTATATTAGAGAAAATTTAGCATAATTATATATTAAGCAAAAACGTTGCATAACTATTCGTATGTCTAGAATGTAAAAGTCATTCAATATCAAATAGCTTAAGGACGATTTCGGGAGATATTTGCCCCATAAATCTATAGCAAATGCTTGCGAAAAAATTTACTATTTATTGATTAATTATAAAAATCATGATAAAATTATTATTTTTCTAAATATTTATTATATTTTGTGCAATGCTTCATTACGAAGAGACTTATCTCACAGATAAGCAATAACAGTTCTTTTTTAATGTGAAAAGTTGCCAAGCGAGCAGGCGGTTCACCTGATATTAAGTGAATACCGCCGCCCATTGACATCTGCTAAATTCGAGGGTTGCAGATGCGTTGACAACTTTTTGAAAATTGGGCTCCGGATATCTCACTCACCAGACGAAACGCGAAAATATTTATTATACTTCGACTTCACGCCAGTCTTCTGTGAGGTCGTGGTACTTACCCGGCTGAGCCTGTGCATTCATGCAACAGCCGAGGCTGCTGCGCGGCCCTCCCATAATCATTGATCGATTGGTTTGTTTTAGTAATTGATCTCTCGTTGTATTTGGTCATTTAAATGCGAAACATATTCTTCCAGATTGTTTCGCTGACCGCTTTTGCCTACGCCACCTGCCAAGGAGGTATTACATATATTTCACTCATATTGCTAGAACCTTTAGTTTTATAACTAATTTTTTTTTGTGAAAAGTTGCCAAACGATCAGGTGGTTCACCTAATGTTAAGTCAATACCACCGCCCATGGACTTCTGCTACACCCAAGGGTTTGAAGATGCGTTGACACCCTTTTGAAAATTGGGCTCCGGCTACCTCACTCACCAGACGAAACGCGAAAGTATTATACTTCCACTTTACGCCAGTCTTCTGTCCTACCCACTCGCGCAACAGCCGAGGCCGCTGCGTGGCCCTCCACCGTTGAGTTAGAAATGTTTTAGTGTTAAAAATGTTTTAGTTATTTAGATATGTGTACAAAACATGCATTATTTTAACTATTTTACTCTACTGTGTCTTTTAAGTTCTCGTTACACACTTAGGGTCATTGCATTAATTTCTCGAAGATCGTTTACGTTTGTCCTCGAAATTAGTTGTCTTGGGTTCGATCTGCACCTGAAATACTGACGCGCATTCTTGTATCGCTTTTGCGTTTTACTTCGGTTTATTTTTCCAAGCCGAACGTAGGATGTTAAACCAGAATAATATAAACTAAGACACTGAATAATCAGTTTCAAAACTTTGAACACATATTACTTACACGAAACATGTAGTTTGAAAAAATCATGGCAGCAGTTCTAATAAACTGTGATTGTATAACTGTGACTATGAAAAATTAATTATTTCAGGTCCACCAGTTGACAACGCGGAAAAAGGTAGTGTTTTTTTCCGGCTAAACAGTGTAACTAAAAAAGTATTTTTTACAACTAGAACGCTTTCACTACAGAAAGATCCAGACGTAGTTCAAAAATTTTATGGTAATAATTTAAAGTAATATTTTATAAACATCTATGTCTGCGAGAAATACTTAACACGTTTTTATGTTATTTTTGTTTCTAGTCATTTTGCTTTTCGCTGTGAACCTTCGCGTTTTCACCCTCTACACCACTGATTAGTTTACTTCCTAAGTAACGATAACAAGTAAAAGTCACGAGTATCTTTTGTCAACTTCACAACCTAATATAAATCAAAACTTCAAGTAAGAACTTACAGGTGAAGGGACTGCCTTACGAAATCATTCATTTTTCATATCATTTTTCGTGTGATTTATTTTATTTAAATAAACGATATCAAGTTTGAAAAAGAAAGAAGTGCCAATTTTGCTTTAAACGGACGAATTAATTTATAATAATTTATTCGTTCCAAAAATATTAATTTATTTAAAGCTCGTTTATTTAAAGTTTTTTTACCATTAATTTTTTTACGTTTTGTAATATGTGCATCGCACAACGATCTAATTAATCTAATTGATGATCAATCAAATCAAACACTTCCATTTTTATTATTTTTACTAAACTCAAAATGGCCAACTGATTGCCAGCAGTGATTTAGTTTTGTGTTTTAACCGTCAGTTAAACAAGCTAATTGGCAGATGAAGTAGCATGTAAGTTACGGACTAGTTTAACCCTTGGTTAGTGGTACTAGGACATTCGTACGCGCAATTACTGGTGACTTTAACGGGTGATCAGCCTACTTGACACTTTACTTGTAGTTGTTGAACAAAGCCCTCGCATCTACTGCGAAGCCTATTTGCTTCTTGCTAATATTTAGTATCATATGATTTATTATGAACTACCCCACGGTAAAAAACAAACATCACTGAACACATAGTGCTTATAAAAACTGTTGTTTCTGTGTACAACAGTAAGCGATTATAGTCTTCTTGATGATGACTATACTAAGAAAGTTATGGAGAGACTTATGCAGGCGTTCGTTAGGATTTTTCTTGTTTTTAAACGGCTTTATTTAGCTCGACTCGTACGGAATTTATTTGTTTATTTATTTGGGTCAAAATTAGAAATTGAAATTTAAGCACCTTCCCGTTGTCAGATTGATCTGAAATTTGGTACACACATTTAATTTAGATGACAATACAATATTGTAGTTTTCAGTGCACATAAAATAAAACCGTTTAACTTAAAAGTTTTTAAACAGTTTTATTATTATGTTGGATTTGTTTTAAAACTCTATGCACTACGAATAACCATGAAAACTATAAACTTTTTTAAACCTCAGGAATTAAAAATATATAAAACGCTGTAAAGTGCTAACAGGGCACTTGTAATTTTAACATTTGTTTGATTTTCAAGCTTATGCCTGGTACGGGCAAGGCGGTTTCGCCGACAAGGGATACTACGGTGGCGGCCGAGGGGGTTTCGGAGGAGGCCATGGCGATCAAGGGGGATTCGATGACATCCAAGGAGTACAAGTTGATATCGGGGGTGAGAGAGTTTCAGGTGGTTTCAGAGGAGGCCGAGGCGGACGAGCTGGTTCTGGTGGCCAAGGTGGTGCAGGTGGCATCGGAGCACGCGGGGGTTCCGGAGGGTCGGGAGGTTCAGCAGGCTCCGGGGGGTCGGGAGGTGCAGGAGGTTTCGGGGGGGTAGGAGGTGCAGGAGGTGCCGGGGGGCCGGGACGTGAAGGAGGTTCTGGTGGGAAGGGAGGTGCAGGAGGCTCCAGGGGGCCGGGAGGTGACGGGGGTGCCGGGGGGGCGGGAGCTTCAGGAGGTCCCGGTGGAGCGGGAGGTGTAGGAGGTTCCGGGGGGGCTGGAGGTGCAGGAGGTTCCAGAGGGCCAGGAGGTCACAGAGGTGCTGGGATGCCAGGAAGTCCCGGGATGCCAGGAGGTCCAGGAAGTTCAGGGAAGCCGGGAGGCTCAGGAAGCCCCGGGCAGCCGGGAACTGCAGGAGGTGTCGGGGGGGCGGGCGGTGCAGGAGGTGCAGGAGGAAGGGCATAAGAAGTGGTCACCAGGTGACGTCCAAGGCAGGCTTTAGACGTCGTGGAGGCTAGAAACGTTAATATATTTTTAAAAAATACCTTATTGGCAATATTAAAAAAAACTTACACTGGCATTATTGTTATTATAGCATGTTTTTAAGGTACTCGTAATGTCTGTTGTAGATTTGTTACATTTAACAAAATTGTAAATAGTTTTAGTTTTTGATTTTACCAAATGTGTATTTAAATTCAAGCTCTATGAAATTTTATTTATTTGTGTTATTAAGATTGTTTTGATTGTAAAATTATTGATTTACTTTCCCCACCTCTTCCCACCTATATACTCGTACTGCTTTTTATCCAAAGACGAAACTTAATGAAGTTTAATTCTGTTTTTTATTCAACTATGTTTTGTCAATTAGTTTTGTTTCAACTGTTTTTATTTCAATTTAAATACCATATTGCCCCATAAAAGATTAATTATTCTACCTAGTCTAGTTGTGTGTAGGATTGATTTATGTTTGTTCCTAGTAATTATATTATGCACATTAATTACTAGGCTAGACATAAGTTAATAGATTCAGGTTATAAAATTTCGGCCGCTTTATCACCAAGTAGAATGCCATAAGACTTAATACTGTGGTAATAACTAAAATACTCTAAGCGAGCCGCATCTAGATCAGTCAACTGTTTTATTTTTTCACCGCGAAGTGTTTTACATTGGAAATTTTACATTATTCAGTGGTGAGTTTTTAGAACTAAACTAATACATGTCGTCATAATTCAAAAAACGTCGTTTTAAAAACAAAACTATCTCAAGTATGTACTTTAAAAATAATACTTTCACATGATTATAATTAACTAGATAAGTCAGGTAATTTCTGTAAATGAGTAACAGAAAAGGTCATACAATAGATATCTACAGAACACGCATAATTACCAGGGCCTCTGAAGATCTGTTTCCGATCACGTCAACTTTTTGAATTCGATGGCTCAAGTACGATGTCAGAAGATTGAGTTCGGCATCTCTTATACCATAGTGTTGCAGTTTCCTAACCAGAGTTTCATGCTGCTCACAATCAAAAGCTTTAGTTAAGTCATAGAATATACTTAAGGCATCCTGCGACTCTTCCCAGGCTTCAAAAATATTCATAACAAGCTGAACACCCGTATCTGTTGTTGAGCGAACCCTAGTAAACCTTTATTTTTTGTTATGAAATAAATTCTGTATATTATATTTCCATTGACGACCAGATTCTGTCCGATCGCCTCGAATCTTTGGCCTTGTGAAGGGAATGAATGAATGAATATCTTTATTGGCAGAATATGGTAGCACATTGTGATCTTAATTATAATAATTTGGTGCAACATATTCAGCTGACTTCAGCATGCAATTGTCAATTCGATATAAAATTATTTACATTAAAAATATTTAAAACTAAGGGTTGTTGGGAGTTGTCCGAGGAATTCTTCGGGTTGATACCTGCTGATGGATTTTACCATTGCACAAATCGGCAAACCGTCATAACCATCGACACCATCTTAATGGTTGGCGGTCCACCACTGTGCGTTTTTCACGCAATTTTCTGCCCCGTACAGCTACTTTGTGGAACGAGTTGTCGCCATAAGTATTTCCGAACTGATAAAACTTAAGGACCTTCAAGAAGAGAGCCTACTCATAATTACCTACCTGATGTTTGTTTAAATGGAGTGATAACAATTTCAGGTTGTATTTTCTATTGAATACCAAGTGTGCTCTCTCTAAAACTATAATAAATACATTTCAGGGATTGATCAAATCCACGTTTCCGACGTGAGGTATTTGTTCATTCTCAGATGCTTCAAACTTTTTTACTTTCCAATAGGTAATATAATTATGACGGAGTTATGCCCGAACATACATAGAAAAAATATAAACATCCGAAATAATAACCTCCTTTTCGAAGTCTGTTAATTATAGTTTTCAATATTGTCCAATTATCTACTCATCTCACTTATTTAATTCATTCTACAAATACTTCACCTTCTTTTATGTAGGTAATATGAATTCAGTTGAGTGCTGTCGTCAGAGCTAGCATAAGATTTCGAAGTGCTGTTTGTGAAATCGAAATATAGTATTTGTTGATAGGTTTCATGTTTTTCTAACTTATCTGTAATGACCGCCCGTTCGAGGGGCGAGGTTATCTGAAGCTTTATAAGAACTACTAGGCTCAGAGTTTTTTTAATATATATGTGTCAATTAAACCAAATGCACCTGAGATCTGTGACATTGCAGAAAATGAAAACTACTGTGGTATGTACCTACTATTTTCACATAGATAAATTGTTTATTAAAAAGATTAACATTCAAGTACCTATATAGATAATTTAAATTTTTTAACATTTTATTGTGTTAAGTAGGTTTCGATGTCGAAAGTGGGCTTCCCTTTCGTTTTATGTATATATAAAATATCATAGACTGTCAATATCAAACACGTTAAGCACAATTTGTAGAAATATTTGTAGCATAAAGTTAAGCCTATGCTCGCCAAGGACACAGGGATTATTAATTATAAAAAAAAAATACCACGCATTACCTTTTGTTTTATTGCATTCTTATCTGGTATGTAAGCCGCCCTGGACAAGGCTTCAATAAAACAGTTTTGTTTTCCAATAATCAGTGTTTGTGTTTCTCCATAAAAATGCGGAATATATAAAATATTCTTCTAGATTGTTTTGCTGGCTGTTGTTGCCTTCGCCACCTGCCAAGGAGGTATGTATGTACATATATCTCAGTCACAGAAGTTGCTATAAACTTTTAGTTTAAAACTAAATGTTTTATTTATTAAGCTGTGTATACTTATAAATATATGTCGTATGTTTTCCAACTTCTGGAGATTCTAGAGCGCTATGTAATATCATGGATGATGTAATGTTTTTTCAACCTCAGGAATTTAAAAATATACGAATAATTAAAATTATATGCAGGTATATTATTTCATGATGCGTAGCATTCGAAAAAAAAAATGACTACATATTTATTTGGCTTTAAAGTTTACAGCATAGTATAAAATTAAAATTATAATGATAAACACAGGAATCAAAATATTAGATGTTAAACTCAAAATGATTATTTAAAGTACGAACTGATTTCAATATGCTAACAGGGCACTAACTTGTAGTTTTTGTTGTTTCAGGTGGTTTCAGAGGAGGCCAAGGCGGACGGGGCGGTACCGGAGGTCGAGCTGGTGCAGGTGGCTCTGGAGGTCATGGAGGTTTCGGCGGGCCGGGTGGCGTAGCAAGTTACAGGGGGGAGGGGGGTGCAGGAGGCTTCGGGGCGGGAGGAGGTGACGGGGGCGCCGGGGGGCCGGGAGGTGTAGGAGGCTCCGGCGGTAAGGGAGGTGCTGGAGGTTCCTGGGGGCCGGGAGGTGACGCGGGTGCCGGGGGCATGGGAGGTGCTGGAGGTCCCGGGGGAGCGGGAGGTCCTGGAGGTAACGGGGGGGAGGGAGGTGCAGGAGATTCCGCGGGGCTGGGAGGTGGAGGTTTCGGGGGAAGTGCATAAAAAGTGGCGGACAGAGGTGGAGTCGGAGACGTCCGGTGGTTTCGGAGGTCGCGGAGGCTGCGGAGGCCACGGCTAATCAGAAACGTTAAAAAAATATATTTTTAAGATACATTATTAGCTATATTTAAATAAAATACACTCGAAAGCATTTTCTTAAATGTGAATTTACGATGTAGATTATTGTTTTAAAATATTTAATGTTTCCAATTTTACTAAATGTGTGTTTAAATTAAATTATTTAAAAAAATTTTTGTGAAATTTTATTTGTGTCATCAATATTGTTTTTATTATTTTTTGACTGCTGTTCCCCACCTCTTCCCACCTAAAATCGTCGTACTATCATTTATGCAAAGACCTTAAGCTAAAGAACTTAAGCTTATTTCTGTTCTGTTTAATTAAAATGCATAAGTGTTTGTACATCATTCTCCCAAGTTTGTCGTCAAACTTTGCTACAAATAGGCGCGGTGTATGTACCTACTTATTTCCAAAGGTGTTTATATACATAAGGTATATGTTTTAAAGGTAAAAATCTCTGCAAATAGTAAATTCTTTATTGAATGAAATTATTTTTACCATTTTTTTTTATTGTGTAAAAGCGCAGTGGAATACCTGGTATTTGGTTATATTTCCTATATTGATGCAGCGATAGAGCAAAGGGACATCATACATAAACTGTTCTTAAGGTTAGTTTATACGCCGCATTGGTACGTACGAGTATGCTCTAAAAATCATATCCTTTTGTAAAAAAGGATATGGTTCCCAGTTTCTAATATGAATAAACAGGTCTCTAGTACAAAACAGTCATGGGTAGTTCTATACCGCATACGCTAAACATGAACGCTACGACTACTAAGAGCGACTAATAATTAGCGAAAGTATGCAGCTAATGTTAAGTCCTCCTGTTAGGTCATCTGTCCACGGACGAAAGAGGCAGCCCTGAATCTCGGGGTCACTTGGACTTGTTCTCGAGACAGACTCCCCACAGTGCTGTCTCTATGAATTCTAAATGCTCTATTTAGAATATTAATATTCAATAACTATAATGAGAAACCAATTCGTATGTTTGTAATTTGTCGAACTATGGTGTTTGTTGATGCACTCCGAGTTTGTAGTGTTATTTGGCGGGACCCCCGACTGTGGGTCCGATGCACTTAATGTTAAGTCAGCAGGCATGGAGGTCATGGAGGTTTTGGGGGGCCGGGAGGCACGCGAGGTGCTGGGATGCCGGGAGGCGCAGGAAGTCCCGGGCAGCCGGGAACTGCAGGAGGTGTCGGGGGGGCAGGCGGTGCAGGTGGTTTCGAGGGAAGTGCACAGAAAGTGGTGGCCAAGGGGGACTCTGTGCCCTCCTTGTGGCTGCGGAGGTCGCGGAAGCAACGAAAGCCTCGGCTGAATCAGAAAAGTCAATCAAAATATTTAAAAAACACACAAAATCACGGAGAAATCAGAAACATTAATATATATTTTAAAGGAAGCAATATTCGAAAAAATACACTGGAAAGGATGTTCTTAAGAGTTAATTTATGTTCTAGATTTATTGCATTTAACACCTATGTAAATAGTTAATGTTTCCGATTTTACTAAATGTATGTTAAAATTCGATCTCTATGAAACTTTATTTGTGTCATTGATATTATTTTGTTTATTTATTGACTGCTTTACTGTCCCCACTTCTCAATTACTCATACATACTCGTACTATCTTTTATCCAAAAACGAAACTTAATGAAGCTTATTTCTATTCTGTTGAATTAAAATTCAAATTTTATTTGGTTTGTCCATCATTCACAATAAATTGGCGCGGTGTGCTTATTTTCATAAAGTTATTAGGTATATGTATTTTTTTACCAATTTTTTGGCGTTTTTTTTGTATTGTAGTGTCTAGGACATCAGAATCCCTTCTACTTCGTTACTTTTTCCTATTTTAATGCAGCGACGGAGAAAGTGTCATAATGGTTATCATTTAAGGATAGCTTATAGGCCGTAGTGACAGACGTAGACACTAAAAATCAGTTCCTTTTGTAAAGAAGATTAAGGTGGCCCAGTTTTTAATGAGAATAAATAAAAGTCTATAGTAGTATGTCGTATGCGCATAAATTGAGCGCTGCTAGTAGTCTGTATATTTTTTCTATAACACGCTTTAAAATAATTTGATAGTGTACGGCAAGTCCATGGATGCTGGTTTGTCAGGATCGTGCTTCATGGCAGTGTGTGAGGGAGGGATCTGTTCATCGGTGGATCAAACAGGCTGAAATGATGATGATGATGAAAATGATTTCGTATTAAAACAAATAATACTATACTGCTTAGCAATCAGCGAAAATCTCATTTGCTTTTTAGAAAAGTGACCAAAGGCATCTTCCAAATTAAGATTTGAGGAATTGAAGAAAGAAATTTTGGAAAATCGAAGTATTTGTCAAAATTTCTTTATATCGTCAAACTCGTTCAACACTACATTACAGTAGTAAGATTTCTCATTACTACATAATATCCATCCCAAATGCGTTTGTTGGCAAATAGGTATTCCCTTATAATACCATGTAACATAATTTCGTAATATTCTTAAGTACCGATCAACAGAGCTACGAGACGGCTTTGGTTTAACTCGGGGTCTGCGAGTTGTAAGCCACTGAAGTAAGACCAAGATGGCTTTGGAATTGGTTAAGCAATCTTTTATTTCAATAATCGTAATAAATGCATGTACCTATGTTCATGTAAATTTGTTGTATAGTGGAGATAAAGTTATTGTTATAAATCCTACAACATAATATTTATTATATAAAAACGTAATATTTCTTTTTATTATAATAATATTTCTTTTGCTCCTATATTTTTTGCCTTTGGAACTTTGCAAGGAGATACCGAGAAGTTCTACGTTTTCAGAGATAATAGACTTCTGAGACCCTTGATATATTAAGGCTCTTAATATTTTATATGTTCCATTCGCTGCTAAAATCAGCAGTTGCTATCAGAACATCGGTCATCAAACGTTCGTCATTTGACACGTGTGGCACTAATTTAGCCTGATGGGCAAAATTATTAGTAACGTAGTCATTGTGCAACAGGTAATTATGCTTTTCGTTGCAATGACGACATGTTTTTTATGAAGTGCAGTCTTTGCCATTATGATATCCCAAACATGGATTTTATTTGAGGACATGATAACACTTAAAATTAACAATTTCATTGGTGCCGGTACCGGGGATCAAACTCAGGTTGCACGGGAATATTGATTTATTATTAGTGTTGCAAAATCAAATTCAATTGTTGACGTGGATCCATGTCTCGGAATTTTTTACATTTGTACAACTCGATAATTTGAACAGACTAACGTTACTTCATAGTAGTAACGTTCAGACTACATCCTAGTTCATACTAGGGTTTGCATATTTTTGTGGCACTATGATTATTAAATGGTTTGTTTTCAACTAATTTTGTGTGGTGTGAATTTGGCGGCATAAAGGAGATGCCTTTTAGACTTTTATATTGATACTATATTGATGTCAGTATGTTTGCTATCATTATTTTTTCCGTCAATCAGTCTCCAATGGAATGAATTTTCTTTCCGTATATGATAATTATCTCGTAAATATGGTTTAACTTAAAAATTGCATTTTATGATATTGAAACATAGCCTAGTCTTATGAATAGATTCTTCGAAAAGATATTTAAAAGATGCCCATTACTGTTAGTTTCCACTGAAAGTCGATATATTCGTTTGTGGTGTGGATTTGTCTCCGTGACGTGCATCCTACATTTTATTGAACTGAACTGCTCTTATGAACATATTATAAAGTAGATCTAAATAATATGATGACTACGCATTCTGACGTACGTTACCAGGCAGAACGCACATCACTTTGTACAGAAAGTGATGACTGCAGGATTCACTTATTAATAACTTTTCACATAAAATAATGGATATTGAAACAAAAGTATTACACAATAAAATTCTTCATTCGGTTTGTTATAAAAACACATATCGCCTCATTTAAAGTCTTAGGAGCCACACACAACCCATTTTTCTCCAAGTCTTAACGCGCTGCTATTTGTTAAATCGATAAATAATATCTCTTGATAGGTTTTATGTTTCTCCAACTTATCTGTAATGACCGGTCACTTGGAAGGCGAGGTTATCTGAAGCTTTATAAGAACTACACGGCTCAGAGTCTTTTAATATGTTTGTGTCAATTAAACCAAATACACCTGAGATCTGTGATACTGTAGAAAATGAAAACTGTTTTGGTAAGGACCTACTATTTTCACATATTAATATTACTCACTCTACATACTATTATACATACTCAATTGTACAAAATTTAATTTTAAAGCTACGTAAATATTTGTTAATTCGAACATAACTAGCAAGTATAAAATAAAATAAGAAAAGATAATTTTCATGTTTTTAAAATTTTATGGAGTTGAGGTTTCGTCGTCGAAAGCGATCTTATGCAACAAAATTTGAGAAATCTCAGTTATGATCATCAACGCTATGAACCATATTTTGAACGTGTCATATTGGGGAAAATTTACAATATACTAGCAGATCCGATAGACGTTGTCCTGTATACAGGTCTTAAATTCGAAAATATCAAACTTTTTTGAATAACTTTGTGAATTTAAACCATTTTCAATCCACCTGAACACACACAAAAAATTTCATTAAAATCGGTCCAGTCGTTTAGGTGGAGTTCAGTGGCACACGTACAGAAGAATTATATATATAAAGAAGAAGAAAGGCAAAAACGTTTCCTAACGATTTATTTATGGACACAACGGCCTATGGAGCTTTCCATGCTGGGCTTCGGGTTAAGAGATTGCATCCGCAATACCGAAATCCGCCTTAAACGAAGGTCTAGTGTGTAGACGGATAATGCGGCTTAAATCATAACGGACACGTTGCTAGACAGATAGAAGACGCCCTAGAAGGAAGACGTGGCGTGGGCACACTGCCCACCCGATGGGTCGACGATATAATAACGATTGCAACTTGAGCAACGTTGAAAAAACGTTGATGCGATCCAGGAGCCCTATGCTCAGCAGTGGGCTACTACGGGCTGACGACGATGATCATGATGATGATAGCCATTCAATAATAGATAAAGTAATTTAATGTTTAGATACACGTAAGGTTTTTTTTAGTTTATTAAAAGGTATCTATGCCTGTAATTGGCAAGCATATATGCAATGTTATTGTTCTTTGAACTAATCTTATGTATTTTCATATTCATATTTCGCTGTTGGAGTACTTAATAAAAAAATAATAATAATATAAAACAAGGTACGAATGATTTCAAAAAACATTTGCAGGATCAATCTGTATTTTTTTTATTGATTAATTATAAAAATCACGATCAAATTATGCATTACCTTTAGTTTAGTTCATTCCGTATTATCTCGCAGATAAGCCGCTCGGGACAATGCTTCAATATAACATAACAGTTTGTTTTCGTAATTGATCAGACGTTGCATTTGATCAATAAAATGCGGAAAATATTCTTTCAGATTGTTTTGCTGATCGTTGTTGCCTTCGCCACCTGCCAAGGAGGTATGTAGATTACACACTCATAGAACTTGCTAGAACTTTTACTTTTAAAAGTAAATGTTTTAGTTATTAAGCTACGAGTACATGTACAAAACGTGCATTATTTTTTACTATTTTACTCCAGTAATTAAAACTTGGTCTGTCGGGTAGCGCATTATGAAAAATGCGCTGTCTGTCGGTGAAAAACACAGGCGCGCAATTTTGCAACTCCGTCTTTCTTCGGAACAATATTTGTAGTGAAAACCATAATCTATACGATTCAAGTTAAACGTTCTGTAGCTACCATAAAACTGTGTCTTTTGAAGTTCTCATTTCACACTTAAACAGGGCTCCTGATTGAAATTGTTTATTTCTCGGAAATCGTTTACGTATGTGCTTGAAATGAGCTGAATTGATTTTATGCGTAATGGAGCGGTACTTAATCGGATCTGTGGTAACATGATCTTTAGGAACCAAATGAGTAAATCCAGTAGTGAAGAGACTTCTGTTCGAGAGCTACTTAAAACTGTCGGGCGAGCACAGCATAACGCGCGCCCATAGAGTCCCGGATTTTTTCTATTCGGAGCTCTAGATTGCCTTAAAATTGTCGTCGAGTGTTATGATGATGGGGTCTATGGGTCATCATCAACATCTGTACATTGGCTCGTCACGACTTGCGTTCAAGGGCCATCGATGAGGTTTACGGGCTCCGCTCGCGAGGTGGCGATATTATTATTATTTTTGTGCAGGTGTGGGCGGTGATGGCGGTCCCGGGGGGCCGGGTGGTGCAGGAAGTTCAGGGAATCCGGGAGGTGAAGGACGTCCTGGGCAGCCAGGAAGTCCAGGAGGGGCGGGAGGGGCGGGTGGTGAAGGAGGTTTTGGGGGAAGGGCATAAGAAGTGACTGCCAAGGGGTTTCGGTGACGTCCAAGGCGGGCCTCAGACAACGTGGAGGCCACGGAAGACACAGCTAATCAGGAACGTTAATCTTTTTTTTTAAATTACATTATTAGTGATACTTAAAGAATTAACATTGCAAAGCATGTTCTTAAGAGTAAAATTTTTTGTTTTAGAGTAGTTGCACTTAACAAATTTGTAAATAGTTAACTTTCCGATTTTACTAAATACATCATTTATATCTCTAAGAAATTTTATTTGTGTAATGTATTATCCCCACCTAGCTTATCGAGTGAAAGAGTTTGGTATTGGGGGCGTTGTCGAGACAGGATTCCCACCTAACCTGTGAATACTGTAATTAATCAATAATTATACTGAGATGCCCTCTCGTATTGTGTTCCATTCCTCATAAAGAGAAGAGGTTGTTATCGGGTGTGAGAGGTATGATCCTTGAGGAAACCCAGATTTACGGGGAAAGATCGTGAAGAATGCGGCGCGTCTATAACGAAAAAGGCACTTTGACAAACACACCCGGATGGTGCAAACGAGCATGTTTAGCATAATGAGTGCCGGCATCTTGTAAAGTAAGCTTGTGTGAAAGATTTCTTTAAATTTCTAAAAAAGTAAAGTAAAGTACCAGCCTATACATGTCCCACTGCTGGGCAAAGGCCTCCTCTATACAGAGGGTATTAGAGCATAGTCCACCACGCGGCCCCACTGCGGATTGGCGGACATCACATATCTTCGAAATATATATATTTTTTTGTTATTATTTCGAAAATATGCAGGTTTCCTCACGATGTTTTCCTTCACCGCGGAGCACGTAATAAGTCAGCACTTAAAGTTAAAAACTTCATTGGTGCCGGCACCGGGGATCGAACTCAGGTTGCTCGATTATATCGAGGTGAGCGCCCTGACACAGAGCTATCACGGCTCGGTAATTTCTAAAACCTGTTGAGAATTAGTTGCTCGTACAGTTTTTCTTATAGTCTTTTTTATAGTCGAGGAGGATATTCTGGCAATAAAATTTTCTTTCACTTTTGTTTTCTTGCAGTTTTTATTCGTTAACGTTTTAAATGGAATTAAAACTGCATTTCCAATAATTGGTAACTCGTAAAAGCTCAATTGTTTTTTCGAGTTGTGACCAAACTGCAAAAGGCTTCCAAGGTGGGTTATCTTAAAATATTTTAAAGCAAATTTGATGATGTAGAATATTACTTACTGTGATAGGGACACGCAACAACTTCTGTTGTTACACGAATGCGCAGGCTCGTCAGGGAAGTACCATGGCGTCACAGAAGTGGACTTATCTATTAAACTTTCGCATTTCATCTGGTGATGAGGTAACTGGGATCCACATTTTTAAAGGTTGTCAACTCATCACTAAGCTATCGAGTGTTGTATATGTCCATAGGCGATGGTATTCATTTAACATCAGGTGAACCGCCTTCTCGCTTGACAACATGTCCCATAGTAAAATATTTGGAAAGTGAAGATCTTTGGTTAAATAAAGAAATTCATGCAACCTTGGCGTTTAATGCCTTCCGTCTTAATGGATGGAAGTTGAGATGCAGTGAGTATCAGAGACATAGTTTGCTGTACGATTTAACCGAACTGACAACTGCACAATAAGTAAAAAAAAAAAATGTTTAGTCATTGCCGGCTGTGGTTTATTGTCAAAGGATTTTCCAGACACCTTAGATAGAGACACCCAGATAGGGGAGATTATGAGCCTCTTGGGCGTTTCGAAGTCCGGCATCGAAGTCCTGCTTGCTCTTTTCGGGATTCGACTCTTGGTCATCGTTAGGCAACGTAGCCGCTAGCACTAGGAAACTGACAAAAATCTGATAACTTTCATTATATCAATAAGGCTCTTTGATGCCTTTGTGTTTTAAACTCTCTCGGTTAAACAATAGTTTATATGTTATAAATATTTGTATACATTTTCTAATGCTCGTTATGTATATATCATTTCATTCTTTTGTTTTCTTTTGGAATATCTTCCTTAAAGTGGCTATCATCACGCAAGGAAGAAGCGTCATCTTTGAATTTTACGCAAATTTACTCTATTATATTCGTTAAAGGTATATTTTATGTGAAATATTTATGAGGAAAATAGTATTAGTATTAATTAAGACTTGTTGTGTAAATAATCTTTCAATACGGGGTGTTACAAAACTACCCGAAAGCCGAAAGGAGATTAAATGGGGCCTTATAACGAATACATTTTCAATATTTAAGAACAGTACTAACGCTGTAGAACGTACCCCAAAAAGAATTTAAAAAAAATATTATTATTTTCACTGATGTGCAAACCCTATTTCAGTAAAATTAAAGAGTAAACTACGCAGAATGTACCTACATTTGTACCTAATTCGCGGAACGACAAACATTTTAAAAGACTTAACCTAACGGAACAATCTAAACGAACACTTACTTTTTCACAGTAAACGTCAAATTTAGAGAAACGGCTCAAAGTGTGCTCCGCCTTGCTCAATACACGACCTCACTTGTCGGAATATGGCTTGTTTCCATCTCGGCAACCGTTGAGCAATCGGAGAAATACACTCTGTCCTTTACATAACCCCACAAAATAAGTCCGGCGAACGAGCAGGCCATAGCACCAGTCGCCCGCGGCCGATCCATCCTCGCGGAAAGCAAAAGTTAAGATGTTCTAGTACGTTGCGAGCAAAATGTGCTGGAGCTCCGTCATGCTGAAACACCATGTTTCTTTGGTTCTCAAATTAATCCCTGTCAGCCAAAGGAAAGTCGCAAATCGCCTCTTTGAATTCTGTTTGTAAAAACTTTAGATAGTTGCTACCGTTCAGACGGGACCGTTATGCATATTAATTGAGCGTCATCGTTATGCATATTTGAAAGGCCAGGAACCTCGTGAATGTTGCCTCGTCCTTCCAAAGAACATAGTTTACCTTATTAGGGTTTTCTTCTAACTGCCTGAGGTACCACTCCCAGAAGTTCCCCCTGGGTGCAAAATCGGTATTAGTTTCTTTAAGTTTCCGGGTGCCTTTCGACGTAAAAAAAATGTAATTAGGTACAGAAAAATCATTATTAAAATACTCACCAAGCAGAATTTGTCGGTCGCTTATAGTTTTCGAGAATTTTTTTTATTTAAAACGTAATTTTCACTAAGAAAGTTCACCATTTTACCAATTTGACTTCAAAAACTGAATACACAGTACTGCCAACATGACAAATATAGGAAGTGGGCGAAGATTAATTTTCTTTTAATTTAAAGAGTGACAGATCCGATACAGAGCGATCCGACTCGGATAGGTTAGGTTAGAACTATATAGGTTAGGTTGGAGCTGCGCTCCCGCCTTAGCCTTCGTGGTTATTTTTTTTATAACTACCCAGAAAACTTTAGTGTAAAAGTACTTTTCGTATTTTTAAAGACTCTTTTTTTAATAATGCGAAGGTTATAATTTGGAAAAGTGTGTGAATTCGCAAATTTATACATGTTGTCAAACGGAAAAAGGCGGATTAATTTAGTAAAATAACAAGTTTTAAATTTTTTTCTCGAAAACTATAAGCGACCGACAAATTCTGCTTGTTGATTGTTTCATTAGTGATTTTTCTTAACCGAATAAAAATTTTGTTTGGTCGAAACACCCGGAAACTTAGGAAACTTATGGAAATTTTTATCACAAAATCTGAGGGTGTCAGCTCCTGTGTACGGAGATAGTGTTAAGGGTGACGATTGTCGTCACGAAGAATTCGCCAAACATGGTTTATATCGAATCTTGTTCCGGCTCGCCTTGTACTTGTGCTCGGCTCTTCTTCAAAATGCTCTAACACTAATTCTGCCTGCCTGGTGTTGACTGTGCTTGGACGACCACTTCGTTCAGTCACGGATACAGTTCACGAGCATGATTTAAATTGCTATCTTCCTGGCCTACGAATAACATCATATCGTAATATTCCGAGTTAGAAAGCATCGTTATTTTGCAAAAAATGCTGGAAAAAAACTCGAAACAGTTGTAGGACATCGTTTAGATTTGAGATTGACAACATATTTCTTTTTTCAATTTACATTTTTTGAAGCCAGTACTTGAGTATAATGACATCCTTGTATTGAGGTAGCAAACATTTATGACAAATTGAAAAACTATTAAAGTAGCCAATTATTAGGTAACATAGGTACGTAGGCCTTTCTGTTAAATAATCTGGTTCCCTGACATGACAGCTTACTAGGGTTGACAAAATTTTTGGGTTTGATAATTAATTATATTTTAAGGGGTATTTTATAACACGTTGTATATTATATATTAAATTATATATTATATATTTTTCTCCTAGTGCCAGTGTTAGGTATTTTCTAGGAAGGGAATATGTTTAATTATTGAGATAGCAAATGTTGCAATATACTATATATTGCAATATATATATATACATACTTAATTACTGCCATACGGGTACTCAACAATCGTTCAGCACATGATAATAGTTACGAATGAAATGCCACTGTAGCAAATGTCTTCTGACGAACCGGAAAAGCGATATTATAGAGGATAACTTTTTATAAACTTCAATATTTACCGAGTTATAAAATTTTACAAAACAAACATTTTTAGAACACCCTTACGTATAAAACTGTAACGTAAAGTTCATTTGTAAAGGTCACAAAGCATATGAATGGGTTGAATGAATTTAAAAGAGATAAAACATACTGTTAGAAGGAGAGGCTTGTAATGTGACGCTGTGGCGCGAGTTGTATAGGATGTTACAAAATTTGTTTCTTTTTTACTTAATTAGTTTGTTTGAAAAATATATTTTTTTAATTATAAATTTTTTTAACGTTTCATATTTTTTTGTTTATTGGCGAGTAGCGTTAGACGTGTGTTCGTTTATTAACGCGGTTGTAACGACAAGCTGTATACTTAAATATAATAAATATAAAGAATATACAACATATATACTGGTTTTCTCTAAACGTGTTCTTATGTATAGAATTGTCGTAGTAGTTCACTAGTGGTACAAGAGATGGCTCTTAATTAAAAAAGCGTCTTTGAGTGGGTAAAATTCTTGAAAAAGTACAGTTTTCTTATAATTAAAATTTAATCGATATATGTATGTATGTCACAGTTGGCTAGTAACTCCGAACTGAAAACATTATTAGATTATAAACTAACGGAATATAAATTTTATATAATATATTTAAATGGAGATAAAAAACTGTCGAAAAAACATCGATATAATTATCGTTCATAAAGTTAGATATTTTTGATATCGATGTTTCTAATATCGATGTTTGTTACCTATAATCGATTACCTAAGAACCGGTCGCTCGAATAGTTACGATACATGGCTTAGTCACTGAATATTTAATGCGTCAATTATTCCAAATACATTTGAGTTATTTGTTATTGTATAAAATGAAAACTGTTGTGGTATGTACCTACTATTTTCTCACATTAAAATATACGTAACCTCAATTGCAGAAATTTCGATTTTATAGGAGTAATTATTTGTTAAATCGAACATAACATGCAACGAGTAGTATCAAGTGCATTTAATAGATAATTTTCATGTTTTTAACATTTTATCCAGTTACAGTTGAGTTGATTTCGTTCTTGAAAGCGGACTTATGCAACAATGAGGAATCGTATTTAGGTAACAGGTCATATTAAAAATATATAATATTAATTAGGCAAAAACATTGCTTATCGATTTGTGATTGTATTGATTAATTATAAAAATCACGATTAAATTCTGTTGAATAATCTTATCTACAAGATAAGCCGCTGGGCATTACTTTAAAACATGACAGTTTTCTTTAGCCGTTGTATTTGATCATTAAAATGCGGAAAATATTCTTCCAGATTGTTTTGCTGGCTACTATTGCCTTTGGCACCTGCCGAGGAGGTATGTACGTATATGTCACTTACAGAAAGTGCTAGAACCTTGAGTTTTAAAAGTAAATGTTTTGTAATTTATTGTTTGTACATGGTTTTATTTGGCTTTTATTGGCTAGGGTCATTAAAATTATTTAATTCTAAAACGTTTACTTCTGTCCTCAAAATTAGTTGTTATAGATTTTATCTGTATGCTGGAAAGGATATAACAATGGATGCGCCAAGCATTGCTTCAAATGCTAAAAAACAATGTGGATAAAATACGTTGAGAGTTTCGTCGGTGCGGCAATCTGTTTAGCTTAGTGGCTAAAGCGCCAGGCCGCGAATGCCGAAGACGTGGGTTCGATTCCCACAGCGACGACAATCTTTTCGTATTTTTTCTACAAATATGAGTGTTTAATCTTAAGTGCAGAGATTAGCACTATAAAAATTTAAATTTCGCACGTAGGATTTTAAATCAAGGTAATATTTAAACTAAGAAACTTAATAATCAGTTTGAAAACATATTTTATAATCACTAGGTGCATATTTTAAAATCACTTCAATAAAAATTTAGTTCAATAAAACAATATTCCACCAGCTCTAATTAACTGAGTAATTAATTATTTCAGGTCAACCAGGTGACGACACGGAGGAAGGTAGTGTTTTTTTTGTAGCCTAATAGAGTAACATGATCACATCTATCTATAAAAACTAAAATTAAAAAATATTGTATGTTTTAAGAAATTTATAGTTATATTAGTCTTAGTAGTCTTGTTTATAACTATTAAAAGGCAGGTACTATAACAAATACTATGTTATCAAAATCAAAATTACACGTAGGTGTCTGCGATAATAGACATAACACGATTATGATACGTCGTTGTTGTTTCTAGTGATTTTCTTTATTCGTTGTGAGCCTTAGACTTCGTTTGCGTTGCTTATTATATTAACAACCAAACCGCTTGCTCCACGGCACGGCAATAAAACCAAATATGAACACGTAGTGCATAAAAGCCGTCGTTTCATAAAACATTAACAACTTTACATTAAATGGAGATATCACCACAATTTTTTAGCTAAGAAATAAAATTTAGGACAATTAATTGAAATTCATCCAGTAGTTTTGCCGTAATACATGCATCGGTATATCCCTTATCATTTTACTTATTTATAAATAAGTTGGACATGTTTCAATTTCAGTTTCGTTATCTACTTTAAATATGAGCTTGGAATAAAAAAGCATTTCATTATGTTTTCTTTAACATGTCAGTTTGGTGAACATAAAAATAAGTACTTGTTTCTCGTAAATGTTCTTACAAACGTGCTTGCAATGTTTAACAGATTCATAAACTTTTATATGAGTTGTCATATCTGTCGATTGCGGCAAAGATAAAAGGAAACATACGTATCGTTTGTATTGTTATGAACACACAAAGGAACTAACGCCATCTAGCGTTAACTATTAAAACCACTAAAGAACAAAGACGACATAAAACCCCCTATTCAATACTAGCCTAACACGTAACAGTATTTAACGACTTTTCACCGTAGTGTAGCGCCTAAACTACTTATCCGATTGTCAGGGTGACAGGCTACTTTAAATACAAAGTTACTAGATCCCATAGAGTAACTTACTCGGGTAACTTCTACAACAAGATCGTAGTAAATGCCCAAAGCCTGCCAATTAATAGGTATAAAAATTTTATAAATAAAATTATAAAAAGGGTTATTATAATTAAAATTAAAACATTGATGATAATAACCCCTGGAAATTACCTGATCGCTCCCAAGCTATTTATAAAAAAAATGGCTATCGATAGATGAAATTTATTTTTCATATGTCCATGAATAAATGATTTGATTTGATTTAAACAAAATACGGTGGTACAATACGGTGGATTTTCAACCAAAAATGTGGTTGAAAATCCACCGGTTTTTGGTTCCAATGGTTTTTTATGATTCAAATTAAAGATAAATTGTGTGTAATTTACTTTCATTTCATTAATTCATTCAGTTCTTTCTTTTTCAGTTTATGTAGTCGACTACAACCCAACTGGAGGTATGTCCATTTCCATATTTTTAAGTTTAAAAAAGTGCGGAGAAAAGTTACAAGTTTTTAAACCTCAGGAATTCAAGAAGATTATTTTATTTCACGTTGCTTAGCATTCGTTTAAACAAATGACCTACATATTTATTTAACGTTAAAATTAACGGAATAGTATAAATTTAATTTTTTTATAATAGCTGTGATAGATCAGCGAGCCGTGATCTCAGTCAGCCGTATTAGCTTAGCGGCGCTCGCCTTTAATTCAATATACGCGAGCAACCGGAGTTCTATCCCTGGTGCTCGAGCCAATGAAATTGTTAATTTTAAGTGCTGACATCTCACGTGCTCAGCGATGAAGGAAAACATCGTGAGGAAACCTTGCATATTTTCGAAATAATAACAAAAAAAAACATTTCAAAGATATGTGAAGTCCGCCAATTCACAGTGGGGCAATTCATGTACTCTGTATAGACGAGACCTTTGCCCAGCAATGGGATATGTAAAGGCAATTAAAATTTACAGAAAAAAGTACGAAAAGTTTTTCACCGCTGTGGGAATCGAACCGACGTCTTTCGGGATTCGCGCCCTGACGCTTAAACCACTAAGCTAAACGGCTGATTGGCACACCGACGAAAATCTCAGTCTTTTATCTACATTGTTTTGTTGTATTCTCCTATATGTTATATGTTTTATCTAAAGTGCAGAGATTAGCATTTATTTTTTAATTTTAAACCATAGTATAAAATTAATATTACCGAGGTAAACACTGGACTCTATATAAGTATTTGATGTTAAAATCAAAATTAATACTTAATGCACGAACCGATTTCTAAATGTTAAGAGGACACTAGTAATTATAGCATTTGTTTAATTTTCATGCTTATCCCCGGTATGGACAAGGCGATATCGGCGACAAGGGAGACTACGGTGGCGGCCGAGGGGGATTCGGTGGAGGCCATGGCGAACAGGGGGGAATCGATGACAGCCAAATCGGACAAGGCGGTTTCGGGCGCCAGTGTCGTTCAAGTGGTTTCGCAGGAGGCACAGGTGGCCGGGGCGGTGCCGCGGGTTCAGCTAGTTTAGGTGGCTCCGGAGGTCATGGAGGTGCAGGGGGGGCTGGAGGTGCAGCAGGCCCGGGGGGGCCGGGAGGCGCAGCAGGTGCCGGCGGGGCTGGAGGCGCAGGAGGTGCCCGGGGGCCGGGAGGTTCTGGAGGTGCCGGGGGGAAGGGAGGTGCGGGAGGTTCCAGGGGGCCGGGAGGTGTAGGAGGTGACGGAGGAGCGGGAGGGGCCGCAGGTCCCGGCGGGGCGGGCGGTAGAGGAGGTTCCGGGGGGCATGGAGGTAATGCAGGTTTTGGGGGGGCGCCGGGAGGTCACGGAGGTGCCGGCATGCCAGGAGGTGCAGGAGGTTCAGGAAACCCTGGAGCTGCAGGAAGTCCGGGGCAGCCGGGAACTGCAGATGGTGTTGGGGGGGCGGGCGGTGCAGGAGGTGCAGGAGGAAGTGGATAAGAAGTGGCGGCCCGGGGACGTCCGGGTGGCTTCGGATGTCCCGGAGGCCACGGCTAAGCTGAAACGTTAATACATTTTTTAAAGATACATAATTATCAATACTTAAGATGTAGATGTAGATTTGTTGCACTTAAGACATTTGTAAATAGTTAAGGTTTTCGATTTTATTAAATGTTGGTTTAAATTCAATCTCTATGGAATTTAATTTATGTCATAAATATTGTTTTAATTTTTTAATGACAGTTTGGCTTCAGAAAAGGCAAATCAACAGAAGATGCTATCTCCCTGCTAACCACAATCTTGGCGTCACATCTCGATAATAAAAGAGCAGCAATAGGCATCTTCCTAGATTTGAAGAAAGCTTTTGACACTGTTTCTATCCCTATCCTACTCAGAAAGTTGCAAGACCAGTTTGGTATAAGAGGCACATCTCTTGAATGGTTCAAAAGTTACTTGAGTAATAGAAAAAAATCTCGGATTATCGCAGTGGTGAAAAGAGGATTAGTTTTGAGTTCCACAGGGTAGCATCTTAGGCCCAACACTCTTCATAATGTATATGAACTGCATACTTGACATAACCAAAGCAGAAACCATATGTTACGCAGATGATACTGTAATAGTGTTCGATGGCTCTTCCTGGCGTGAAGCGTTTGAGAATGCAATTTGAAATGAAGGAATGAAGGTAGTGCATACGTGGCTGCAAAAAAATTTACTTACACTGAATATTAAGAAAACTAAATACGTATGCTTTCACAAAACTGCAGCGACTGTTCCAAATATTATATCAAACATCACTATACACGACTGTGGAAACCAAGAAAGCTGTGACTGTAATCACATACAAAGAGCGGAAAATATAAAATATTTAGGCATTATTATTGATCATAACTTGAATTTTAAGGCACATATAAATTTACTCTCAAATAGAGTTCGTAAAACAGCTAATATAATAAAATTACTTCACCCATCAGCTCAAATATCCACGTTAAGATTAGTTTATTTCGCACTTTGTCAATCAATCATAACGTATTGCATAACTTGCTGGGGATGTGCATCAAAAACCTCAATGTTACCTGTAGAAAGAGCACAGAGGTCCGTATTAAAAACGATGCTTAACAGGCCTTTCAGATATCCGACAGCTATAGAGAAATATAATACCTATAAAGAAAGCGAAGTTTTGAGTGTTCGACAATTATTTATTCTGAAAACCATTGTTAAGGTTCATCATACCGTTGTCAATTGCAGTAGATATCACGGATTACTTAACCAACGCAATTTTAGACTCCCTCTTCCTAAAATCAGAACGAATTTTGCTAAACGGTTTAGCCCTTTTAAAGACCACTTTGTGTATAACAGGTACTCTGCTCCTGCGAAATAAAGCGTAGTTCAGTAAAGGATGCGAAACTGACTTCTAAGTGGCTTGCTTCTTTAACGTATGATTCAACGAAAAAGTACTTGACCATATATTTTTGATGATTTTATTTTTGCATTTTTTTAAGCAATATGCCCTTCTTTATGTATATATATATTTATGTTACTGTTCTTCTTATTTTTGCTATGTATATATGTATATATATAAATATTTAACTTCTTCTTATTTTTGCTCATATTAAATTTATAAAATTTGCTAGTTTTAGTAATATTTATTAAAGTTTTAGTATTTCAGTAGTGAAGCGATCTTTCGACTGGCAAATTTGTAAAATAGATGGAAATCGCAATTAGACGGCAACCTCAGGACAGGCTTTGCCTAGTGTGGTGCCAACGCACAATGTACTTAAGGGTAATTCTGTTTGTCAATAAACATATTTTCATTTTCATTTTCAATGACTTTTTACTGTCCTTAACCTCTTCCCGTCTCTTAACACCTATATACTCGTATTATCTTTTATTCCAAAGAGTTATATAACTTAATGAAGCTACGTCTGTTTTGTTGATTTGAAATGCGTAAGTGTGTTTGTTGGTTTTTTTATCTTTCGAACTTTGTCGACGTTGTAAAGTATAAAAACCAAAGTTACAAAAATTATCCTTTATGTAGTGAGTTTGGATATTCGCATCGTATAAATAAAATTCAATTACATTTACAAGCCTTCATTAAATTACAAAAATTTAACATTGACCTAGAAATTGATAACTGCATAATAAGTTCTCCTAATAAAACAGAGGGAAAGTAGTTTAAAAAACTTTTCACATAAAACAATGCATATAAAAATACAAAAATATTACATAACAAAAATTCTATACTCAGTTTGTTATAAATACCCATATCGGCTTACTTAAAGTTATAAAGCCACACACGACCAAGTTTTTCTCCAGGTCGAAACGCGCTGTGAAATCGAAAAATAATATTTGTCAATAGGTTATAATATGTTTCTCTAACTTATCTGTAATGACTGCGCTTGAATGGCGAGGTTATCTGAAGCTTTATAAAAACTTTACGGACCAGAGTATTTTAATATACATTTGTCAATTATACCAAATGCACTTCTGTGTTAAATGAGTTCTGTGTTATTGTAGAAAATGAAAACTGTTGTGGTATGTACTTACTATTTTCAGATATTAATAAAGGTATAATGTATATAATAATCTAAACCCGCAGATAATCCGGCCGGGGCGAGGCTTCAATAAAACTTAACAGTTTCTTTTATAAATTGATCAGCCGTTGCATTTGACCATTAAAATGTGGAAAATCTTCTTGCAGATTGTTTTGCTGTCCGCTGTTCCCCTTGCCACCTGCCTGCGAGGTATGTATATGTATTTATTTCACTCACAGAAATATTGCTAGAACCTTTAGTTTTAAAACTAAATGTTTTCGTTTTTAGTTATGTATATAAAACGTAGTTTATTTTAACTATTTTACTCGATGAATTAAACGCTTAAAGCTGCCATAACACTTTACCTTTTGAAGTTCTCATTATACTCCTACTCAGGGCTAGGGATTATTGAAATTATTTGTTTCTCGGAAATTGTTTACTTTTGTCCTCGAAATTAATTGTGTACGATCTACACCTGAGATACTAACGCGTCTTCTTGTAGCGCTTTGGCGTTTTGCTTCGGTTTATTTTTTTAATACCGGACTCTAAGCCGAATGTAGCCTATACCATCCTAGCCCGGAATGCACTCCGAGATCTTTTTAAAGAGATTAATATACTCACTGTTGCGTCTCAATACATTTACTGTAATATTTTGTATGTTCGACATAATCTTAATTATTACTTAAAGAATAGTGACAGACATAAATTAAATTCTAGAAATAAGGACAAAGTAACCACGTCATTGTTTCGACTACAATAAGTAAATAGGTCGTTCATGGGGCAAAGTGTGCGCATGTACAATAAAATCTCACAGTCGATAATAAGTATGTAATAAGTATGTCACTCGATCAATTTAAACACAATTTTTTAAGAGAAACTGCTTTCCGAACCGATGGTAACTTACATACGAACTTTGTATTCATTTTTATGTAAAATTTGACGTTTAATAAGAACGGGCAAGCGTCTATTTGAATAATTTTTAACAAAAAACCGACTTCAAACAGGAAACTATAAAAACATTGTTAATATCTATATAAACCTCGATTTCTCTCGGGATGCCACCATCAGATCTGGGCCTCCTCGCCGATAAAAAAAGAATCATCAAAATCGGTTCATAAACGACGAAGTTATCCGCAAACACACATAAAAAAATTAAAAGTATATACAGTCGAATTGAGAAACCTCCTTCTTTTTTGAAGTCGGTTAATAAAGATATTTTCAGTTTGAGTTTGTAGGACTTTAAATCAGGATGATAATATGTAAACTAAGGAACTGAATAACCAATTTAAAACTTTAATACATATTTAAAAATAATTTCAAAATAACACGTAATTTGAAAACATCATTGCACCAGCTCTAATTAACTGTGAATATTTCAGGTCCACCAGGTGACAACCCGGAGAAAGGTTGGTTTCATTTTTATTTTGTTGCTTAATATACGAGGCTTGTACTAATATAGTCATATCTTAAAAATAAAATAAAAAAATAAGGACAAAGTAACCACGTCATTGTTTCGACTACAATAAGTAATTAAGAAATTTATTGTAACATTATAGTCGTTTATAAATATGTAAACGTAGGTACTTTTATGTAGTATGTAATGTAATAGGTATAATCAAAATTACCGTATTATATAAGTCAGTTCTAAAAATACACGTAGTTGTCAGTGATAAAAGACTTAACAGTTTTTACAGCAAAAAAAGTGTTCATTTAGTATGAACACTTTTTTTTGATAAAGACCAAGTGTCTAAGAAATTAAATAAAAAAGATGCTATAGAAATTAAAGATGTCTAAGAAATTAAATTTCTACATGTTTTAATAAATAAAAAAGAATTTATTGAAATCCACCCAGTAGTTCTTTCGTGGTGCGCGCACATCGGCAGCTCTCTATCATTTACATATATACTAGCGGACTAAGCAGACGTTGTCCTGTACACACGACTTAAATCCGATAACTTAAAAATATAACAAAAAAATTTTTAATCTAAACCATTCTCGAATCGACCTGAAGAGACACAAAAAATTTCATTAAAATCGGTCCAGCCGTTTAGGAGGAGTTTAGCGCCTTACACACGTACAATATAATTATACAGGCTGATTTCTAGACGAAGTACATACTTTGATATTCTGTTAATTAAGCATTCCATAATTCAAAAAAAAATATTGATATTTTATTTTGAAAAGAAATAACCAGGCAAATATCAATTCAAACATTGTTCGTTTATCCCGTTAGAAGTGGTCACCCTACAGATAGCAACAAATCAAACAGCGAATATCAACGGCACAGTGAGATCAGCGGCTAGGTTATTATATTGACCTAAGGCAGGAATTTCTACTAGGGTGTTTGAAAAAATTTAAATTATCTTTGAAAAAAAAAAAAAAAGAACCATAATGTTTGAAATAAAATGTGTTCACAAGTCCTTACCAGATTTAGATTAAAATTAAATTCTACGTATGCTAATGTGTTCGTCGTCTATATAATCAACCTGTAAATATAGGTAAAGAAGCTGAATATGTTTCAGTTTCAACATCGTTATTTGCTTTAAATATGACCTTGGACTAATATTATTACAGAGTAATGTAATTATTATTTCGGTTATTTATTTCTTGTTTTCTTTTTCAGTTTATGTAGTCCACAACAACCCGTTTGGAGGTATGTCCATCATATCTATAATTTTTTAGTTAGAAGAGGTAGAAGAAATCATCCAGGATTGACTTTGTTGCATATTTAGATGATACTAATAATAATAATTAAGGTTCATTTAAACTAAAAGTTTGTCTTCGTTCGTGTTTTTCGAGTATTCCTAGATTTTGTTTCATAATAGAAAAATTTTACCCTCAAAGGCAGACATGACATTTTTTGTTTTTATTTACCTATTATAATCGCCTAGAAATTGTAAATTAACGTTATTAAACATTTTAAAAAAGCCTGTAAAATAAGCGACGTCATTTTGGGACGCATTCAAGTTTCCGCGCAGTTGAACATCTCTTCATGTCATTTTCAAGAAAGTCCTGAAAAAGCGATTCAGGCAAACACCTTTCGAGAGCCATCGTGCTTCTGTATGCAGCAGCAAGCAATTATAGTCTATATCATTTTCAGTACAAAGTTGACCAAATGATTCATTCAATGAATTGCTTCTTATCTTGTTGATAAAGGCCCATTTACACGATGCCATTTTCTTGTACATACAAGAGCAATAATTGAATGCAATAAGTTGCACGCAATAATTGACCATCAAGAATTGTAAGCCACAGTTTACACGCAGATATAGTAAAAAAAAATTGAATGCGATTATTGAATGCAAGTCTTGACAGGAAATAATTGCAAAGGTCTTTTGTTTACACCAATGCAATTATGTTTAGGCGATTATTGCTTTCAAGTTTTGACTTGTCTAAACACATGCTTGTATGTGCGTGTACAATTTATTGGCGTGTTGCTTCAAGTACTGCACGTATTTGCGTTGACAAATTTTTCATGCAAGTGTTGAACGTTTTACAAATGGCTGTTTTTTTTAAAAATGGCTCAATAATAAGTGTTCAAGTTAGATTATGCCGATTAAATATATTTCATTGAGATTTATTTATTATGATCCATATATTATTATTCATATTTTTATCCAAACTTTTTTTAAGACCTTTTCTCAATATTTCTATCCTCAAAAGAACAGCAATGATTAAATACCGTCACTCATTGCACTAATTTTTGCAAAGGAAGAGAGAATGCAATTGAATACAAGAATTGCTTAAGAAATTATTGTGTGTGCTGTTTACACCAAGGAAAGTTTTGAAACAAAACTTGAAGCAAGTCTTGTTCAACAGTCAAGAATGTTATGTGCTGTTTAGACAATGCAACTCATTTATTGCTTCAATTTAATTGTATATAACAGGCAAGAAACTTGCACCGTGTAAATGGGCCTTAAAACTCTTATTCTGGAATGGAGCGACGAATGCAGGCGTTCATTACGATTTTTTTTTCATGAAATTTGATTTGTTTTTAGATTCCATCCACTCTGGATAAAAATGTATGCTGTAAATTTTAAACCTCAAAAATTTAAAAATATGTGAAACGTGGTAAAATAAGTAAAATTATTTTATTTCACGTTGCGTAGCATTCGTTTAAACAAATGAACAATTCATAAAAATTAACAGCTTAGTATAAAGTTAATATAAACGAGCAATTCTTGTATATATATATATATATATATATAATTGGAATCTCGGAAACGGCTCCTGCGATTTTCATTAAATTTAGAATGTGCGTTGATGCGGGGGCGAAAAATCGATCTAGCTAGGTTTCATTTTTAGAAAATGTCCTTTTATCCCTGTTTTCAGGGAATGAAAAATATTATTCGAATACGACGGTAAATTAAGCCGCAAAAAAAATGTTATAATAGCTCGGTCGGTAATCCGGCGGCCCCGAAACAAAAGGCCGTGGTTCGTGTCACAATCATTTTTTTCACACATTTTTTTTTTTTCTTTTTTTTCGATTCCATATCATTGCTTTCTTTATTTTAAATTTTTTGTCGATTTAGTATTTTGTTATTTTTTTCCCTTTTTTTTTAAAGTTCTTTCTTTTGTGAAAAACATCAGTTCATATTTTCTTATTATTACGTCGGTAAGATCGAAAAATATTATGCATATTTCATTACTCCGTAATTTGTATCTAAATGTAATTTCCAAAACACACGATTTACCAAAAAAAAAAAAAACAAACCGAGCAAAGCTCCTCCGGGTACTATAAAGTTAATATTACCAAAGTAAACACAGGAGTTAATATATTTTTAAAGCAAGTACCGATTTCAATGTTTTAACAGGGCACTAGTAATTTTATCATTTGTTTGATTTTCAAGCTTATTCCTGGTACGGGCAAGGCGGTGTCAGCGACAAGGGAGACTATCGCGGCAACAAGGGGGACTGCGGCGGCGGCCGAGGGGGTTTCGGTCGAGGCTATGGCGATCAGGGGGAATTGCATGACGGCCAAGACGGACAAGGTGGTATCGGGGGTCGGGGTGTTTCAGGTGGCTTTAGTGGAGGCCCAGGCGGACGGGGCGGTGCCGGAGGTTACGCTGGTTCAGGTGGCGCCGGAGGTCACGGAGGGGCCGGGGGGCCGGGAGGTGCAGCAGGTTTCAGAGGGATGGGAGGTGCCGGTGGTGCCGGGGGGAGAGGAGGAGCAGGAGGTTCCGGGGGGCCAGGGGGATCGGGAGGCTCGGGGGGGGGCGGGAGGTTCTGGAGGCACCTGGGGGCCGGGTGGTTCAGGAGGTTCCGGGGGAGTGGGAGGTGCAGGAGGTTCCGGGGGCGCGGGAGGTGAAGGAGGTGCCGGGGGGGCGGGAGGTCATGGAGGTTACGGCGGGCCGGGAGGTCACGGAGAACCCGGGAGGCCGGGAGGAGCAGGACATTTAGGGAGTCCAGGAGGAGCGGGAAGTCCCGGGCAGCCGGGAACAGCAGATGGTGTTGGGGGGGGGCGGGAGGTGCAGGAGGTGCAGGGGGAAGTCCATAAGAAGTGGTGGCCTGGGGTACTCGGTGACGGCCAAGGGTGGCATCGGAGGTCACGGGGGCCACACTAGCCATGGCTTAAAAGAAACGTTAATACATTTTATAAAGAAAAACTTCTAGTATATAAAAAAGCATGTTCTTAACAGGTTATTTATTTTGTAGTTTAGTAGTAAGTTGCACCTTTGTAAAAGTAAACGTTTCCGATTTTACTAAATATATGTTTCAATCATATATCTATGAAGTTTTATCTGTGTCATTAATATTATTTTGATTATTTATTGACTAGTTTACTGTAACCACTTCTTCCCACCTATATACTCTTAAGGCCCATTTACATGGTGCCAGTTTCTTGCCTGTTGTATACAATTAAATTGAAGCAATAAATGAGTTGCATGGTCTAAACAACAAATTGTCTAAACAATTATTGCGCGCAATTTATTGCATACAATTATTGCTCTTGTATGTACAAGAAAATGGCATCGTGTAAATGGGCCTTTACTATCTTTTATCCATACATGTGAATTATTTTCCAAATCAATGTTCAATCCAAATTTTCACCCCTGTACAAATATTGCTCAATTTTCATAATTTCATTTATAGCATTTTTTACTTTATCTTAATAATATTTTTCTAATATTTAACTTATAGTACGATAGTTTTAGCACATAAACATCGTATCCGCGCATTTAAAGCTTTTGAGTTACGGCTTTTAAGTTACCATTATTTTCCCAAAATAATATAAACAAAGCAGTGGAATCAGTTTTATTATTAACATTATTGTTTATGGTGACTCCAATCATCTATCATCCGGTAGCTATTTTTGAATTTAATTTTTTAGTGGGTACCGAATTTTCATTGCCAAGAAAAGTTTTTCTTTGGTTATTTCAATAATTGCAAATAAGTCTAAAATAACTCTCTAGTAATTCCAAATTTATACAATATCGTTAAAACCCTTAAAAAAAAATCAAAAAATTATCATACAACCGTGTCTGCAGTTTTGCTGAACTGAAACCAACTTACGAAACTAAAATAATTTTTAATAAGTATGCGGTCGCTTTAAGTCGATGTAATTTTTAAAATTTTGAAGTCCTAGGTTACTTTGGTAAATTTTTACCGCTTCATGTAGTGTTTTATTTTTCTGCTTTTCAGTTGAAGGATCTACCCAAACCTAAATAACTTTATAGATAAGTTACAGCCTATACTTGTCCCACTGTTGGGCAAAGACCACTTTTGTACAGAGGGTATTAGTGCATAGTCCATCTCGCGACCCCACTGCGGATTAGCTGACTTCACATATCTTCGAAATACTTTTTTTCTTATTATTTCGATAATATGCAGGTTTCCTCAAGATGTTTTCCTCCCCCGCTGAGCACGTGATAGGTCAGCACTTAAAATTATCAATTTCATTGTTGCCGACACGGGTGTTCAAACTCAGGTTGCTAGACTATATTTAATTAAAAGCGAGCGTCCGGACACTGAGAGTTTTGAAGAGTTTTGAAGTAAATTGTATTTGATAAGTTGATCAGATTTTGAAACGCTAAAAACAGTTTACATTATGTTAAAAAAGTAGTAAGTAAAAAGCAGTAGTTGCTATGCTATTATCTTCGGCCTCGGGGGTTCGATACTCACACGCGACAAGTATCTGTGTGTGTACAACAAAAAAATTAATACAGAAATTAATATAAAAAAAAAATATTTTTTTATTGCGAATACGGCTTGACGAAACTTTTATGTTCCTTTATAGTTACCGGTTCGGTTTTACTTTAAAGTTAAGTAAATAAATTTTTCGGCCTTACACAAATATTTTTATGAAAAACTCATTTGTGATGTATCATATTATTTGAAAATAAATATGTTTGGTCAGATAAAGAAATATCATTCATGCAACCTTGACGATTAATGGCATCCGTCTTAATGCGTGGAAGTTAAGATACAGAAAGCATCAGAAACTTACGCCCTGATACTGAAACACTGATCATCGTAGATTTTTTTTTATGTGAAAAGTTGCCAAGCGAGCAGACGGTTCACCTGATGTTAAGTGAATACCGTCGCCCATGGACATCCGCTACACCCGAGGGTTGCTGATGCGTTGACAACCTTTTGAAAATTGGGCTCCGGACACCTCACTCACCAGACGAAACGCGAAAGTATTATACTTCCACTTTACGCTGGTCTTCTGTGGTCGTGGTACTTACCCGAACGAGCCTGCCCATTCGTGCAACAGCCGAGGTTGCGTGGCCCTACCACCGTTAAACTGATTGCACTGACTGTTGCAGTAGTCAACCAATCAGCTGTCAAATTTTATTTGAGTTGCCAAGGATGGTTAAACTCTTTGAATTGATCATTTGGTCATTAAGAAGATCATTTTAGTCAATTCAGAGAGTTTAACCATCCTTTTGGCAACTAAAATCAAATTTGTCAGCTGATTGGTTGACATCTACGATCATCAGTGTTTCAGAAACCGGGCGTTAGGTAGCTAAAGGATTAAACAAAGATGACAACTGCACGAATCATACATTTAAAACGAAATTGTGTCAAAAAGACAAGAATTCTTTAAAAGTGGCATATATTTTTCATTATTCATTAAATTGTGTGTTAATCTTATATTTAATACGCTCTTCACAGCTGTTGTTAGTTTTTCTGTTCATTATGTCCAGTCATTACCGGTGCAGGTTTACTGTCTGACGGCTTTCCAGACACCTTGGGCGTGTCATGACTCTTGGGCGTTTCGGAGACCGGCATATTGGAATGCTTGTCCTCTTCATGTTTCGGCTCTTGGCCGTCGTTAGGTAACGCAGCCGCTAGCGTGAAGAAACAGAAAATAATCTGAAATAGATAACTTTTGTTATATCAACGTGATATGTAAGAGCTTTTATGTTGTAATCTCTCTCGGTTTATACTAATTTATATGTCATAACGGTTTGTATACATTTTCTAATGCTCGTTTTGTATGAGTTACCTTATGTTCCTTCTACAAGTATCTTTTTTTTTCTTTCAGAATGAAGTTCCTACCGAACGAACGAAGAGTGAATTTGCTACCAGGCCCCATCTATTAAGCGGCCCACATTATAAAATTTGAACTCTTAAAAGTACGCTTAAATGGTCATAAATGTGCAGAGGTTTTTAGAAATTGGAAAATTCTTTGACACTAAGAACAGAGTTTAAAATTCCTTGATCATCTGAAAAAGTTTAGCGACTCAAATTATTACGAGCGATTTCATTTATAATTATTTTAATTGGTCACTAGTTGTCAATTAATTTTGCTAATTGGTCAATGTTATTATGGGATTAATCATAAAAATTAAAGGCGAAAAATTATTGATTTAAATCGTGTATTTAAATGTCATAGAAACAGTATATATTTATATGAACAAGTGATAACAGGGATAAATTAAATCTACGTTTCCGACGTGAAGTCTTTGTCTGTCTCATATTACTTTTTCACAACTGTTGAGTACTTTTTCACTCTCATTTTCTGATTGAATTGAATGTGTGCCTTTCCCACATATTTTTTAAATGCACACGGTGCACAAGGCACACGGCTCGATGAAAACAATTCACCGACGCCGTGTACGGTGAGCGCCAACTAATCCTCGCCCTCCCCCCGCAGAGAAACGTGAAATTGGGAAAAATACCTTAGGTCTATTGTAAAACTAGCGGACCGCCATAAAGAGGGCTTGTTCTCTTGTTAGTGCGTTAACACAAAAGGCTAAAATCTCAGCGTTACTTTTGAGAAGTTTTTATCCTGGGCCGCCTCACGTGTGCCTATGATCAAGGTAACTAGATCGAGGCTGTTTGTTGCATCGGTTGGACCTTAACGTAGATTAGGTAATTTCCTTCCCATACTAACTAAAATTATACCTGCACCAATACTCCTATTACCAAATTCTCACACACATTCTTTTTATTTTATACTGTGTTCTATTCAATCCCACTACCCCTCTTTATCAAAAATAAAGAGCGACTTGAGTCACTCACGTTGACACTCACTGTCTTCGCTCTGATAATAACCTGGCCTTAAAAAATCCTCCTCGTAATACTTCCTTCTATTCCAAATCCTTTTCTGTCGAAGCGGTCAATCTTCGGAACTCCGTACCGCTTATTCGGTGGACGCAAACTCTTAAAAGACTTGTTGAAGCACACTTCTTTCCTACCTGAGCATTAATTCCCTTATCTATTTGTTATGAACTATTTTATGCCGACCAAAAAGAGATAAATATTAATTAAGTAACACAAATATAACGGTATAACGAAAGCATCTATAAAACGAAGTACTCACGATAATACGGGACATGCTGAGGTTTGGCTTTGGCTGAGCTATCTGGAGTGAAAAAAATCCAAAGTGATAACTAAATGGATCAACTGGCCCTTTTATACTCCATCCTATCCTATTGCAAAGTTGTCATTCCAATGAAGTTTGTAATTGCCAAAGCCTCGCCTATTACAGCAATCATAAGTAATTGACTATGTGTATGGAGATGGTGTCAATTAAAAGTTTCCCAATCAATTGATTTGTTATCCGCCTATTGTTGCAGAGTTCCTAAGAACATTATTTTTCTCTGCCCTTTTTTTAATGTGAGAGCATAGTAATTGTCCTCGCGTTAACGTACGTGTGACGAACAATTAGCGACTCTGTGAAATTTGTTTATATCAATTTCATTGTTGCCGATATTTGCTATGTGGTCGAAATTAGAACAATCATTATCGAAAATATGAATATAAACATGTATTCATTTTAATTTTTTCTATTTATTATTTTATTCTTTATATTTGTAGCTTATAATTTAATACCATAGTAAAGTTAATAAGGGACCTGTTAATTGTTTTAATTAATACCTTTAAATTGTTAAAACCACAATGGCTTGTACGTGCTTATGCTTCATCTTCCTTACATATTTTCCAATTGCTTAGGCATATGCCTAACGATTGGAACGTTTAGCCAGCCCCGAATCAAAAGACGTCATCCTGTTATGAATTGTGAATAACACATATCCTATCAACTCGTATTATTTCCAGAAAGGCACTAGCAATAAGCGATTTATATAATATTATGCTTCATTAAAACACATCGACACAGTTACGTGTTTGAAGAGACCAGGCCGCCCTTGTATGACTAGAGAAGCTGAAATTCGAGTATTGAAGTACAAATGAGTGATTAATAGTAGTTTCTATAAGGGAAATTCTAAAATATTAAATGTTTTTAATTTAAATTAAAAATAATAAATGACTTGATTTGCCCATAACGGGAATATTAACGATTAAAAATAAAAAAGTGCTTGTTGTACGAGCGAATTTATTTTTAAATGTTTAGTTACAATGTTATTCAGCACGCTTATTATTGTAAAATGTAAACAACGTTTAGCACGACGATGGAGATTTTTCTAATAGATGCTTTTTAGTTTGGTTTACTTTCCACCTCGAAGATATGGGGAGTCATCTGAAATCAAAGAGAATTTATTGAAGAATATTGTAAAAAAATCCGATAGTATAGTTTCATCGTGGCAGAGGCGCGCCGCAATTGGGCGAAAAGGTAAGTTTGTCTGGAGAAATATTTTTGCGTCTCGTCTGATGAGGAAAAACGACCTACTTTTTAAGGGTAGGTTCATATATAACGCATTTGTAAAACAAAGTAAAGTAAAGTAACAGTCCCAATGTCCCTCCCGAAGTCCTCCCCTGTATATAGGGTAATAGTCCACCACGCGATCTCACTGTAATTTGACGGACTTCACACATATACTTATTTCTTTTATCAAATATTATTTAGAAAATATACAGGTTTCCTCACTTTTTCCTTCACCGGTTTGTAATAAGTCCACCGAGAGGTAATAAGTCGAGTAACCTGATGCCAGCCTAAATTCAAATACCGGCGCTGGCATCGGTGAACTCAGATTTTTGAGTATATGGAATTAAAAGCTAACGCCCGGATACTGAGCTACTACAGATTTATGTCCGTGGCTGCAGTCAATCGTATTACATCAGCTGAAATACTTGCTCATTCACAGTCTACTTTTTTATGTAAAAAGAACTTCAGATATTACGGTACGTTTCTTAGTATCACGCATTATCATTGTTTGTTAAGTTTATTTTCATAATATAATACAGACAATTAGAATTAAATAGTATTCGTGTCGTTATTGTAATGCACTCCCTTCCCTCTCCCTTGTCTCCGCGGCCGAAACATGTCGAGTATAGGCAGTTGCTCCAAGATAACAAAAAAAAAATAGAAGGCACAGCGGCTGAGATGTTGGAATTGAAGGTGGCGGTTTTTGAATCTCAGTGGCAAATGTTTTTCTCACTTTGTCGAGTTTCTTTCGAGCAAAAATTTCTATCTCAAATTCATCCTGTGTATAATGATAGGCTTATGATACATGCCTGTTATCATGTCTATCTCTGTCTTCATTGTTATGTTAAGTAAATAAAATAACTACAGTAGAATACTTACATTTCTTAGGAGGGTATGGCAAATTTTGAGGTGTACCATTGTCAGCAGGGCCGCCTGTGAAAACAAAATAAAAATAATTAGTGTATTTTTATTTTTACTTTGTTTTTTGTAATTATTACTTTGGTACTTTGATGTGGATTCGATTCCCAAATGATAATATAAAAAAATGATAATGTTTGTCCGAACCATAGGTAATTGTGTCGAATCTGGGTAGTACGATTATGCATGCACTTACAATGAAACAATAGTAACTTATGATTGTAATAACGATATCACACATAATGATGGCAGTTTCAAATTTGCACTTACTGTTTCCAGGCTTGTAAAAGTAATTGTCCGGAACAACTGTAAAAGAAAACATAACACATTTTTACAAATAAAGTATAGCAGGGCTACGTAACGTAACAGAAGTGGAAGTACCCGTTAAACTTTCGCATTTCATCTGGTGAGTGAGGTAACTGGGTGCGTTGTCGTACTAGTGATACGTTGACAATCTTTAAACACTATTTTTAAAGATTGTCAACGCATCGTTAACGCATTTTTACTGTGGCAGGACCACGCAACAGTATTCGCTGTTTCGAATGGACAAGTACCACGACCTTGCAGAAGACTGGCGTAAAGTGTAAGTGTTACTTCTGCTTCTCGTCTGATAAGTGAGGTAGCCGGCGCCCACTTTATTAAAAGTTGGCAACGCATCTGCAATCCCACAAAGGTGTTGCAAATGTCTATGGGCGGGGGTTATCACTTAACACCTTGTGAACGGCAAGCTCGCTTGCCACCTTCTCACATAAAAAAGAAATTAACGCATACAAGTAATAAAAACAACATAATTTTCAACAAACAAAACAAATGGACTTAAAACCGGAAACTAAAAAACATTGTTGATAACTATAACATTTGAGGATTGCCCTTGATTTCTCTAGGAAGCCATCATCAATCCGGGTTTCCTTATCATGGCACCACCCTTGGGATATCCCCCTTCCAACAAAAAAATAATCATTAAAATCGGTTCATAAACGACGAAGTTATCCGCGAACACACATAAAAAAAATAAAAATATATACGGTCGTATTGAGAAACCTCCTTTTTTAAGTCGGTTTAAAAATAAATCGCGTTATGAGATATTTGTAGACCATAAACAATAAGATATATGAATACTTACATTTATCAGGGTTGTTGTTGTAAACTTGATCTGAAACATCGGGCAATTATAACATTAATACGTATATTACCTTTATCATCGAAATTTAAATTTGATTTCTCATATCACACATATTTATTGGATACGACTAAAATCTTAAAAGATGTTATGATTTGATTATCTTTGACTTATTACTCCGTGTTGATTTTATTAACGGTTCATTTTAATGCGTCTCAGATAGACGTGTTAAATTTTACGTGTTTCTATGACTTCACCGTTCTCGCTTTGCATGGACTTTTTTATATTTTCAGTCTATTCTTCTGTGGAATGCTACATCTCCAAAATAGCGTTTATTCTATTTATTTAGAGAAAAAACACAAACTCACTTTTGTACTTGGTTTCCGATGGACATGTCTCCTTTCATACATAAATATATAAACACTCGCGACTCGATAGATTTAGAATTTTATAGGTAGGATTATGGGTTTTAAATTCAGACGGTCCTTTCGCACAATTCTTCATCCACATCTATATTTGCACCTAAGTGGTCGATGTCGATCCTGGCTTCTCTAGGCTTTACTCTACTTGTCTTCTAACTAAAATAATATGGATATGGGCATACCTCCAATCGGGTTGTAGTCGACTACATGAACTGAAAAAGAAAACAAGAACTAAATAATTGAATGGATAAATGAAATTGGAGTAACTAACTAACTTACAATTGTTCTCAATGACGATGTAATAGCGTAAGTTTTGTCGAAATATTATAGATTTTTTTATAATTACAGGCTAATAATTATTATTAAAAATAATTTGCAAAGGAATGACTGAAGATCGGTTAGTGTTTATTATTAGCGAGTTGTAACCAAATTGGTATAGGATTACATTAAGTGTACAAGATATATGCAATTATAAAAGTAATTACTAGTAAAATACTTATTTAGTTTTTGTAGATATATAAAATAGGTACACGTTTCAGGATAATTTATGTATAGTCATTTATATCATTTTCGAATATTTTTATTCAATAAAAAGCCTATATGGAATAAGGTAAAATAATGTATTAGTAAAATGAAATTTAAAAAAATGACTGTTTTGATTAAACATCCGTCGTATATTAAGTAGTATATGTCACCCTGACCATAATAACGAATCGGCTAATATCATACATAAAAATAGCGTGAGTAATTTAAACGCTACAGTGAAACCTACTTAAATACAGCCTTTCGTTTTGGCTTTGCCGCAATTGGACAAATATAATCAAGTATTTGTGCATCCTAAATATTACAAAACTTTTGCAATGTTTAAGAGATACTTATTTTTTTGTCCACCAAAATGACAAGTATAAATCACGAAATGATTTTTAGGAATTTTTAAGAGGGTTCAAATAGGTACTTCTTTTTATGTTCACCAAAGTGACATTTTTAAGTAGGAATCACAAATGATTTTGTCAATGCTCATATTTAAAACAAATAACGATATGATAATTTAAAGATATCCAACTTCTTTATAAATATGTACAATCTGTCGATGTGCGCGCTTCACGGAAAAAAACACTTGACCCTTATCTTACAAAAACATTGTTGTGATATGTTCATTTAAAGAAGAGTTATTAAAATTTAAGAAACAAAATTTTTATAACCACTACGTGTTCAGTGATGTTTGGGTTTTTTTTTCCGTGAAGTGGGGCCAGCAGCGTAGTTGTCAATATAATAAGCAACGCAGATGAAATCGCGGGTACCATCTAGTTCATAATAAATCAACATTTGCGAGACGCAAATAGAGTAATGCGCAAAGCGAAAAGCAAAATGGATATAAACAAGAATGACATAAAAAGTCTTAGGTATATCGCAAACACCTACGTGTATTTTTAAGTATTTTTAATATAGTAATTTGGATTTTATTACCTACATAGTGCATATTACAGTAACTTTTTTTAAATATTTATAAACTTCTATATTGTTACTATAAAATTCTTCAAGTACCTATATCTGGATTTGTCTGTAGCGTAAGCATTCTAATTGTAAATGAAATATAATTTATTGTTTATTATTAAGATATGATCATGTTAATCTCTTAAGCAAAAAAAGAAAAGTTAACTGTACCTTTTTCCGGGTTGTCATCTGGTTGACCTGAAATAATCAGTTAATTAGAGATGGCGCCATAACGTTTTCCAATTACACGTCATTGTAGTAATTTTTAAATGTGTAATAAAGTGTTTAAACCGATTATTCGGTATCATAGTTTACATATAATCATGCAGTTCCGTCCGGCTGGGAACCACGACCTCATAGAAGACTGATGTGCACTGGCAATGTTATATCTAGATCTGGATTTCGCCTGGTGAGTGAGGTAACTAAAGCCCACTTTATTAAAAAGTGGCAACGCATTTGCAACAACACGGATGTTGAAAATGTCCATGGGCGGCGGTTATCACTTTAAAGTAGGTGAAGCTAAAGCCCGCTTTCCACTTTCTTATATGTATAAAAAAAAGAAAACTCTACAAGGAGGAACGTCAGTATCTCACGTGCAGATAGAACCTACAACTACTAATTTGAGATAAAAGTAAAAGTGATTTGCGAGTAATAAATAATTTCAATGATAGGATACCCCGATTTAGTGTCAAACAAAACTTCAAAAAGTGATAGTTTTATGGCACCTATAAAGCGCTGAAAACTTAGCGAATTCTATAACTGCGATAAAATTGATGAAGTAAAATTGTTAAAACAATTTACGTTATACATACATTAATAACTAATATAACGTTAAAAGTAGGTTCTAACAATATCTGAGAGTGAAATATGTGTACATACCTCCTTGGCAGTTGACAATGGCAACAGCGGCCAGCAAAACAATCTGGAAGAATATTTTCCGCATTTTAATGATTAAATACAACTATTGATCGATTGCTAAAACAAACTGCTACGTTTTATTGAAGTCTCGTCCAGGGCGTCTTATCTGCTTGATAAGATTATTCAACGGAATGAAGCATTGGACTAAACAAAAGGCAATGCGTCATTTATTCGTGATTTTTCTAATAAATCTGTGAAATGATAAACAAATGTTAAAATTAGTAATATTATCTGTTAAATTTAATTGATGCAATTTGCAAGCAATGTTTCCATTAAGAAATAATTCCTCCTTGAAAATCAAAATTTTTACAATTGAGATCGCTTAGATATGAGAAAATAGTACATACCAAAAAAGTTTTCATTTTCTACAATATCACAGATTTCAAGTGTAATCAGTATAATTGACACAAATATATTAAAATAGCTCTGAGCCGTGTAGTTCTTATAAAGCTTTGGATAACCTTGTTGTTCAAACGAGGGTCAATACAGATAAGTTATAGAAACTTTAAAAATATCGGTAAATTCTTTTTTTCGAATTCGACGACTTGGAGGAAAAACGATTGTGCCTCTTCTAAGAATTTAAGTGCCGTAATGGGTTTTTATAACAAAAAAACTGAACATATTGAATTTTACTGTTATGTATTTGTAGTATGAATATTTAAATAATTTGAATATGAATTGTGAAAAAGAGGTCAAAAGTTATTTAATGAACTCAATTCATTTTTTAAGAGTACTTATTACGCAGTCACTATAAATTAATAATTTTAAAGAAATGATAACATTGAATGAGTATTTGTTGGTAATGAAATGTTTCTTTGTTTTATTTGTTGGTAATAAATGTTCAATGGCAATTGTTCGATTCAAAAATCTAGCCTCTTTGTAAAGTTAGCCATTCTAAATAATAATTTTTCACCCATTTAACTGTTAAACTATTATTAACTCTTGACGTATGATCAAATCGAAATCCACATTTACACGTACAAAACAAAATAAATGACATGTACCACGAAATTAAAGTCTATTTAGAACTACTCCGAAAACTTATCACAATTAATTTACTATCGCAGGTGTTGAAGTATTTGAAATTGCGCGTCGTGGGTATGCGCCGTGATAAGCCAATAAGAACGCGTTACGTATATCGCATCACATACGCGAGTTGCAATTAGCGATGCCACTTATTTGAAGATCAATAGCAAATTTGAATTGTAACCGTGCACACCTACCCTTCTTGTAATTTGAAACGTTTTGTAAAATTAGAAAAAATATATTTATTTTCTCAGCCAGTACACAAAATACGCATCATATTTTGTGGTTCTTCTTCGCCGGACAATCTACTTACGCATTAAGAACATATTTGGACCAGACGATAAACGCAAAGTTGGCCGAGGAAATACCTGATTCGCAGTGCTTTTGGTAAGGTGTGCTAACCAGTATCCTTCAAACCTCTCCACTTCACTTGTTTAATACTGTGCCTTTCTCGGAATTCCAGTGCATTGCCTAGGTGTTAGCGGACAAGTGTACGCTTCATATCGCAACATCAGTTTAACTGTAAGTACTGCTTACTCTTGCCCACACAATGGCGACATCAGAACATAAATTAGATATCAATATCTTGAAGAAAAAACGCGGATCTTTAAAGTGTCGGTTAACTAATTTTAAAAAGTATGTGAATTCATTCGAGGGTATAGAATTAAATGCTCATCAGCGAGCAGAGCTTAAATTACGCACAGTAGCGTCACAAAATCTTATGGACAATTTCAACCATGTTCAGACTCAAATTGAGGACATGAGTCACGAATCTGAGATGGAAGAACAACTAGAATCGCGCGAAATGTTTGAACGTGAATATTATCTTATTTTAGGTTTAGCTGAGTGTTTAACTAGTTGTGATGAAAGGTCTGAGTCGCCGGCAGCAATTAATGCCGCTGTTAAATTACCTACCATATCCATCCCTTGCTTCGACGGTTTATATGAACATTGGTTAGAGTTCCGTGATACTTTTGTGTCCCTAGTTCATAACTGTAAAACGATTCCGCAAATTCAAAAATTTCATTATTTAAAATCGTCATTGTCGGGTACCGCTAAATCTGTTATCGATTCACTAGAATTTTCTGCCGACAACTATGAAGTAGCATGGGAATTATTAATGAATCGTTTTGATAATACCAAATTATTAGTCCATAATCATTAAAAGTCAATATTTTCAATTCAGCCGTTACACAAAGAATCCCCCGCACAGTTACGTAAGGTGATTGATGGTATTTTAAAAAATTTAAGGGCATTAAAGCTGTTAGGCGAACCTACTGATTATTGGGATACCATAATTATTTATATTATTAGCACAAAACTAGATCCTGTCTCTGAACGCGAGTGGGAACAATATAAATGTAGTGGGAATAACAGCCATAAATCGAATAAAAACCTTAAATTGAAGGATTTGTTGCAATTCCTTAAAAATAGGGCAGATATTTTAGAAACGTTAATACTATCCCATACCAAGTCTAGTATATTTAACGCCCATAACACGAAAAAACAGTCTCTTAACCAAGCTTCTACATCTAAGGTTCATTGTAACGTAACAACAAATAAATTTACGAACAAATCTGTTAACAAAAACGTTCGTATAAGTAAAGCATGTCTAATGTGCAACGCATTACATCCATTATATTCGTGTCAAAAATTTCTCGACCTTAGTGTACAAGATAGGTTTAAGTTCGTAAAAGATAAGCAATTATGTACTAATTGTTTGCGTGCGGGCCACACTGCTGATTCTTGTTTATTCGGTCCGTGTAGGAAATGCGAGCGAAAACATAATACGCTAATTTGTTATACGGTTAACTCGAAAGATAACAATTCGTCCGCAGTTACGCTTACATCTTACGATCAAGCTGTCAACGACACAAATGGTGTGAAATTATATAACGCACAAAATCAGAGTCAATCATTACACGCAAACAATGTAAATACAAATAGGGCGGTAGATCGACCGAGATCAGCTGTTTTACTGTCAACGGCGATCGTACTTGTACGTAGCCGGTCGGGAGAATACCTTCAAGCGCGCGCGGTACTCGACAGTGGCAGTGAACGTACATTTATTACGCAATCACTTTGTGAGAAATTAAATTCGCAAATTATACAGTCCACTTATCAAACTCACGGGGTAGGTAATTACGTCACGCAGTGTACCCAATCCTGTAACATAGATTTAAAATCACGAATAGGTAACTACACCACACGCATTAGGTGTTTAATTTTATCAAAAATAACGTCTAACTTACCTTTATCTTCGTTAAACGGAATTAATTTCAACATACCAGACAATATTATTCTCGCAGACCCGACGTTCTACGACAGTCAGCCGATTGACATGTTAATAGGCGCAGATTTGTTTTGGGAGTTGATTAAAGAAGGTAAAATTCAAGTTAAAAATGGGCCTTACATCCAAAATACGCATCTTGGTTGGGTAGTGTCTGGCTCATTCCCACATCTTACGCATAAACAAATGAAAGTTATAAATTGTAATTTTACACAGTTCAATGACGGGGATACATGCTCATTGGATTATTTAGTATGCCGGTTTTGGGAAATCGAGGAATTACCTACTAGCTCGCATAAAGTAGGCAACAATGAGGAGCGTGCGTGCGAGGAACATTTTGTTCGAACGACCCGAAGGGAAGCTGACGGGCGGTTCAAGGTTCGATTCCCGTTCAAACAGTCACCTACTGCTTTATGTGAAACTCGTACGCAAGCTGAACGTCGATTTTATGCTCTAGAAAGGAAGCTGCAAAATAATCCCACGTATAAAAAACTATATTCGGAGTTCATACATGAATATATTAATTTAGGCCATATGAGTCTTGTGGATACGTATGATACACCTCATTATTTTTTACCGCATCATGGTGTCTTTCGCGAACACGCCGCTACAACAAAATTAAGGGTTGTATTTGATGCAAGTACCGCGTCAAGTTCTGGGGTGTCACTAAATGACATACAAATGTTAGGACCGGCCATACAAGGAGACTTAATTGCAATTTTACTAAAATTTCGAGAAAATCGATACGTAGCATGTGCGGACATCGAAAAGATGTATCCTCAAGTATTAATTGAGGAATATGAACGAAATCTTTAATTAATATTGTGGCGCGATAGTCCATCTGATCCATTACAGGTGTATCGTTTAAATACTGTGACGTACGGGACCGCTTCTGCACCATTTCTAAGTTGTAGATGTTTAAAAGAATTAGCTAAGAAATGTGAGGTTCCGTACGTAAAGGAAACTTTGAACAATAATTTTTACGTAGACGATTTAATTTGCGGAGCAAACAGTATTCCGGAATTAATGCGAATTTGCGAAGGTACAGATTAAGTATTGAAATCAGGGTGTTTATTTTTGCGTAAATGGGTTTTTAAATTTGACTGCGCGAACCCTAGAGACTCACACAATGTTATCGATGCTACGAAGCGGCTTGCGCTCGGGGAGAATGTACAAAATAAAACGTTAGGTATTGGATGGAATAATAAAGAGGATGAATTAATATTTTTTTCTCAAATTACGCATGATTCGAATAACATAACGAAACGTATTATTTTATCGAGTGCATCACAAATTTATGATCCGTTAGGTCTTCTTAGTCCGGTAATTACGATCGCTAAAACATTATTACAAAGGTGTTGGTTATTAAGGCTTGAATGGGATGAACAGGTGCCATGTGATGTCGCGCAGGTCTGGCGTAGGTTTGTCAATGGCATCTCTTCGCTTAGCAGTTTACGCATACCACGCTATACGCTGTGCATTGAGCCGACATGTATAGAACTTCACATATTTACGGACGCTTCGCAAACGGCGTACGGCGCTTGCGCATATGTTCGCACAATTAATAAAGAGTCTATAGTTACTGTTCGTTTATTGTGTTCTAAGGGTAAGGTTGCACCAACGAAACCTACAACTATTCCAAGATTAGAATTATGCGGCGCGTTAATTGGTGCAAGATTATATGCAAAGATTAGGCAATCGATGAACTCTAAATTTAATAAAGTTGTATTCTGGATAGATTCTACCATTGTTCTAGGATGGTTAGGTATGCCGATTAATTTATTAAAACCGTACTTTCAGAATAGAACTTCGGAAATTCACAGCCTGGGAAACAGAATCCTGCCGATTTAGTTTCGCGAGGGCTAAATCTAGATGCACTTAGTGTCTTATCACTATGGTGGGGAGGCCCGCAATTTTTACGAAATTTTAATTTTGAATTGCCTAATTTATCAAACTTAAATTATACAAACATAGATTTACCAGAAATAAAGTCAACAGTTTCGTGTCAGATAGCTACTCAAACAAATGATAACGTGTTATTTCCATTCTCAAGATTTTCATTTCCAATCGGCTCACCAGATACCAGAGGGTGGAGCAATTACGCCAGCATTTTTGGAGTCGCTGGGCTAAAGAATACGTCTCAGAGATGCAGACCAGAAGCAAATGGTATCAAAACAAAGGAGACCTAAAAGAAAATGCCTTAGTCTTAATTAAGGATGACAACCTGCCGCCATTGAGATGGAGTTTAGGGCGGATCGTCAAGACCTATCCAGGAAAAGACGGCATCTCACGAGTTGCCGACATTCGCAAAGCTGACGGCATTGTACGACGACCATTTTCTAAGATCTGTCCTCTTCCACTGCACGACGAATGACTGCCAGAAGAAGATGGGAGCTGCCAGGATTCGATGCGTTCATTCAACCGTTGGAAGCTAGTGCTTCCAAGGCCGGGAGCATGTTGAAGTATTTGAAATTGCGCGTCGTGGGTATGCGCCGTGATAAGCCAATAAGAACGCGTTTCGTATATCGCATCACATACGCGAGTTGTAATTAGCGATGCCACTTATTTGAAGATCAATAGCAAATTTGAATTGTAACCGTGCACACCTACCCTTCTTGTAATTTGAATACCAGTAAACGTTTTGTAAAATTAGAAAAAATCTATTTATTTTCTCTGCCAGTACACAAAATACGCATCAGCAGGGTACCATAAAAAACCCTTAAAAGGCACAAACTCGGGTCAAGACCTTTACAATGCCACTAAATTTAACAAATAAAAACAATTTTATTATGTTATATAAAAAAAACACTGGAGACAAAATTTACCTTATTCTTTAAATAATATACATATGTACTAGAATGTTGATTTATCGATTTTTTTTTACGTAATTGTAAACCTTGCATTGAAATACGAATAACAATTAATTGCAATAAAATTAGCACTCACTTAATATAATTATTGTTTATATCAGATATTTCTAGCAACAATAGCAAATTGCAATTTGCAATAGCAAATTGATAAATATAACTACTTTTAGTGTGATGTGGCTGTAAATAAAAACAGAAATATTTTTAATGAAAATTATATTTATCTGTTACATCTGTATGTTAAGAAAATTGTTAATAGTTTACTGAATATTTAAAAATCTTAATTTTTATTTCTTCTTTTAAATTATTGACAGTATTTTGTATTCTCGTATGAAGTAGTCTCATTTTCCACCTTGCAAGTTGGGATTGTCTGTAACAAACAAAATAAGCATTTATCTGGATAATGTTGCCAATGACTACGCTTGTTATCGTTTATACTCCAATCTCAAATTGGGAAGTCGATGCAGATTTCTCTTCTTAAAATAAAACATTAAAAAGTAAATTTTAAAAAATATTGTTAGAAGGAGAGACTTGTAATTCGACGTTGTGCCAATGAATTAAAAAGTCTCTGAATGTATTATTCAGTCAGTTGTAGTTGTATAGGATGTTACACATTTTGTTTTTAATTATTTTATTTGTTTGTTTGAAAAATAATTTTTTTTGATGGATTTTTTTAACGTTTTATATTTTTTTATTATTATTGGCAAGTAGCGTTAGACGTGTGTTCATTTATTGACGCGGTTGTACGCACTACCGCAGTTTAATGAGACGCCTGCGGATGTGTGTACCACCAGCGACTTGGCTCATCGGGCGAAATGCACGAGTATAATAGTTCTAATTTACACCGGTCTTTAATGAGAAGCTGAGGAAGAATTCCTCGCTAAAGTTGATTTGTGTAGTAGGATTTGTTCAGTAAGTTGTTATTGCTCCAGCACTATAATTCCTTCTGCAGTACGATAATTTCCAATTTGAATTGGATTCCATTTCAAAACGCTGCTACTTTTGCCTCTTATTTTCCTTTGTCTGCAAATTTTCTACACAAACAGTCCCGAAAATCAAACTCACGTTGTGTTCCAGAGGATGGTTCAGTCTGGTTTCCAAAGTCAACCAAAGCCGGTTCACGGTCTGAAAATTATTAAAAAAAAAGTTACCCGCTGTGATATCAGTGCACGTTAATCCAAACAAATTACATTTCGGAGAACTAAATAGTGTTGGAGTATCCGTTATGCATTTTTGCTAGTAAAGATATGCACTATATATAGTGTGGATATCTTTACGATAGGTATTCCGCCCACTAAAGACCAGTTAAATAATGTTTTAACTGCTCTGTAGTTAGGCGGGTTACCTAAAAATTCGAGGCATAACTTTATGACATATTATAGACTCACATCATACCTATTTCCTCATATCCATCATTAGGAGCTGAAACAAAAAATCATATTTATTCTTAATTTTTTCGTTAAGGTAAATTCTTAAAACCTCAACAAAGATCAAACTTAAAATTTGTAGATAAAATTGTCGAAAATTTTCGCCTCTGTCAGGATTCGAACCTACACTTTATACGATATACTTTCTTTTTATTGAATTTTTAGCGATGCTTAGCATCATCTAATGTAAAGCGCATCAAACACTTCTCAAAAGACATTTTTACAATGAACATTTGAATTCAAACACTAAAGCGGTAAAACATAAAAAGTAAATTTTAATAGCAAAGACAACAGGTCTAGTTTTCGTCTAATTTATTGATTCTTAACAGACAATATCAAGATGGTTGCTTAGTAAACTATTGGTAAAAGATACGAACAACCTACAGTTTTACGTGATTTATAGATTCATAATCAGTCCTGTCTGATAACAAACAATTAATTGTACGACTATACTATGTAATACTTACGGTTGCCTGACCTGCTCGCAGCTGAGTTGTTAACAACTGAAATAAAGTAAAATGTTTCTCATATCAAAATTGGAACAGTATGATAAAAAGTTCGATGTAGAAACTCAAATACTAGGCTCTATAATTGTAAATAAAGATTTGAACAGTTATGAATTTAAAATTCAATCAGTGAATTCAATAAATTAAGCATTTTATAAGGGTAAGTAAGTAGTATATTTGAAGAAATATACATAGTATATAAGTAGTATTTTGATAGCTGTCAAAACGTAACTTCGTAATAAATATTTGATATTTCTAAATACATTGGAAGCGTTGCAACAATAGCTGTATACTTGAGTTTTATGAACAAGAGCATTATTACATATAAGAGACATTAGATATCAATAAACCTCGAAGTTACGGAAGAGTTAATAATAGACAAAAGCATGTCCCCTTAATTTAACTATGTTTTTATTTATTACACGCCAAAGCGTAGGCGCTTTGTAAGTATTAGGATACTTACCTCCTTCGGCATTGTTGAGTTGGTCTGAAAATATAAAGATTCTTGTTATAGGTACACCAATGCAAGTTATTTTAGGGACATAAATAATTGAATTCTTAACAATAACAACAATTTAAAATGAACAGTTGTGTAAAATAAGAAACAGGTTTTTGAATTTATTTATGATTTTAATTTTTATACACTAAATCCATTTATCAAATAAATGTGATCCACGAAAGTAGTATTTAGTGATGCTTATATTTGACAACTATGTAATACTTACGGTTGGTTGGCACGTAGAAAGCTGAGTCAATTACAACTGTAATAAAATAAAATGATTTTCGTATTTTTGGTACGCAAATTATTGGCTTTACAATCGTAACTAAAGTTTTGAATAATTATGAATTTCCAAGAACACCAATTGATGAAGAGCCGTGATAGCTCAGTGTCCGGGCGCTCGCCTTTAATTCAATATACTCGAGCAACTTGAGTTCGATCCCCGGTGCCGGCACGAATGAAGTTTTTAACTTTAAGTGCTGACTTATCACGTGCTCAGCGGTGAAGGAAAACATCGTGAGGAAACCTGCATATTTTCGAAATAATAACAAAAAAATGTATTTCGAAGATGTGTGAAGTCCGCCAATCTGCAGTGGGGCCGCGTGGTGGACTATGCCCTGATACCCTCTCTATAGAGGAGGCCTTTGCCCAGCAGTGGGACATGTATAGGCTGTTTGACTTTACTTTTTTTTTAACAATTGATGAAATAACATCAATTGATTAAATAAATTTAAAGTAAAACGTCCTTACAACACATGATAATGTTATCCTAAAGTAAGGGCAATTTTTCTTTAAAAAAAAATATTTTATGAGGGTTGTAGTAAAATTTATAAACTTCAAAAATTTGCGCGCTGCCTAAATGTGTTGCAACTTTATTAAATATTTGATATATCGAAATACATTTAAAACGTTGTAAACATAGCCCCAGATCTTGAGAGAATTAGGTACATGAACTGTAAAACTTTAAGGTGCCTCAAAAGTTCGTCAAAGTCATTGGCTGTGTGTAAATGCGTATTAAATTATTTTGCACCTTACATAATTTTATGAAAAAGGGTTACATATTTGATTTTATATTAGGTTTTATCAGTCGTATGCTAAAGTACAGTGAAGAACTTACATCCTTCTGGATTATTGAGTTGGTCTGAAAATAGAAAAAGTTGATTTTGATATCCATTCACACAATTGAAATGTATTTAAAAATCATGAAAAAAAAAATAATCAATTAAATTACAATTAAAAGCTATTTAAAACAATAAGCTAAATGAAGGTATTTTTAGGGATTTATGGCGTTAATTTTTAATTTTATTCCCGACGGTTCAAACACTTTTGGTCGGTCATGGTTACGGGACAGACAGACTGTCTAATGAAACCAACACGTAACACAACACCGGTATAAAAAGATAAGCGCTCCACATGTAGATCCAAGGTATAATAATTACTATTAAGTTTAAGCATAACTATTCAGGGAGGAGATGAAACTAGCTTCTTGACACCATGACGCGTGTACTAGGACTTAGTTTGTAATATGTATTTTGGCTAGAATTTAATTAAGTCAAATTTTTGGGTGTTATAGGCTAAAAATGAAAGATTTATAACCGTAGAACTGATTAAGTGTGTAATTAGAACTTCAGAACGCTTAGTTTCATTACCATCGGTAGATAGAAGGCGGTTATAATTTAATTTAGTTAGAATTGTTAATCTACAACATAATTATGTCTGATATAAGAATATATTTGGTTTAAAAAGTATGAAATGTACATACATACCTCCATTTGTTTTCTCCATGTTAATCGTCGAACCGATAGAGGATAGACTGATGGATTTGCTAAGATTGACTGTTATAATTTGTAGACGCATTGATTAGGCCTGTGCCGTTATCTGTGAGATAAGATTATTCAACGAAATGAAACAGGCAGTTCACTAAACATCAAAAATTTATATTTTTTTAATTTAAATACCTCATGGTAAGTGATCACCGCCGCCCATAGACACCTGCAACACTAGATGCCGGTAATATGCCATTTAATCTAGAAAATGATAAAATAATCAATGTAAATTTATTAAATGATGCGAGCACATGTGCCGCAAACGTTTCTTGAAATTTGCTTAATTGAATGTGCGTATGAAATTGAAAGACTAACACATTTTAAGATTTTAAAATCGTTATGCAAGGTTTCACTTACTTATAACATAACTATTTTCTATTTCTGTATTAGCATAAAATATCCAAACGAAAGAGTTCGAGCGCAGTGTCGCGTTATACGCTGGAGTTAAATCAAGAATCTATAAAGGGTGTTACAAAAATGTCTTTAAAACCGAAAGGGGATTAAAAGTATCTTGTAAAGAGATAAATTACCTATAAGATTTGAGGATTGCCATTGATTTCTTTGGGATACCATCATCAGATCTGAGGTTCCTTATCATGGTACCATCCTTGGGATATCTCCATACCAAAAAAAAAAGAATCATCAAAATCGGTTTATAAACCACGAAGTTATCCGCGAACACACATAGCTCAGAAGGCTTACTAAGCTGAAGTGGCGATGGGCCGGTCATATAGCTCGTAGAACCGATAACCGTTGAGGATCGCAGTGTGGGACGACCCACCACTAGATGGAGAGACGACCCGTGCAAGTGTGCGGGAAGTCGACTGATGCAGGTGGACCAGGATCGTGCTTCGTATCAGTCTATGAGGGAGGCCTATGTTTGTATTGAGGCAATGGACTGAACTGAAATGATGATGATGATGATATTAGAAAATAATTTCTGGTATATTAAATCAGCATTTTCAAAAGGTTTTTGACTGTAACGGAAAAACTGCGGATGGCTAGGCCAAAACGCGTATAGGGAAACCAGCTTCATGTAGATATATAACTGAGAAAAGCGTTCTTATATGCGTAATTAGTTATGTTTATTTATCTGAATAGTTTGCAAGATTCAGGCCGCCCATGAAAATCTATAACTCCTGATTGCAGAGGCATTGTCGACCATTAAAATTTTGGGCTCTAGGTAACTTGCTCACCAGACGAAACTCGAAAGTATACTAAAGTACTTAAACTTCAAGCCGGTCTTAAGAGGCCGTGGACGAACCTGCCCATTTTTGCAACATTCGCAATCTATTCATATTGCACTAATACGTGCTCTGGTCAGAGCATTCTGTTTGTGTATGTTAGATTGTGTGTAATACGTGTGTATGCCCCGTATATTATTACAAGGCTATAGCAAAAAGCGGCGCATTATTTAAGTTTATTTTTATTTGTGTGAATATTTTTATCTTCTAAATAAATAAATTTTGCAGAATGTCGAATACACATGTTGAAAAGATTAGTGATTAAAAATTTAAACTAAAACATTTTTTCTGTATTTACTTATATAAGCCTCTCTGCCTGCCAGTCAACAGGCTGAAGTGACAGTGGGCAGGGCACATAGCTCGAAGAACCGATGGCCGTTGGGGCAAAAAGGTGGTCTCGAGTGGAGACCACGTGACGGCAAACGTAGCGTAGGAAGGCCTCCCACAAGGTGGACGGACGACCTAGCCAAGATCGCAGGGACGCGTTGGATGCAGGCCGCTAACGACCGGTTGAAGTGGAAGTCAATGGGGGAGGCCTATGTTCAGCAGTGGACGTCCTACGGCTGATATGATGATAAGCCTCTCATTTCATTATATTCAAAGTATTTTCAAATATGGAAAACACTGATATAGATGATATTTTCAAATATGGAAACCACTGATATAGATGATATTTTTAAATATGGAAACACCTTTTTTATGGAGAAAAGGGGCAAACGAGGAGGCTTACCTGATGGTAAGTGGTTACCGCCGCCCATGAACACCTGCAACACCCGAGGGCTCATAAATGCGTTGCTGGCCTTTTAAGAAAGAGTATGCTCTCTTCTTGAAGGTTCCCAGGTCGTAACGGTTCTGAAAGACTGCCGGTGGTAGTTGATTTCACACAGTGGTTGTGCGAGGCAAGAAATGCCTTGAATATGCCTGTTGTGGAACACTGGACATCGAGGTGGTGTGGATGAAATTTTTGGTTCTGGCGTAATGTCCTATGGAATTCAGCCGCCGGAATCAATCCAAACACTCCCCGTGATAAATGCGGTAGAAGATGCAGAGTGATCCAACATCTCTACCCAGAGGCAAAGGATCAAGCCGATCGGAAAGACTTTGATCGCTGATAACCCTAGCCGCCCTACGTTGAATGTGGTCAAATGGAAGAGGCTGGTAATAGGGGGCTCCCGCCCAGAGGTGAGAACAGTACTCAATGTGGGGCCGAATTTGCACCTGATAGAGGTTTTGGCGTTGAGCAGCCGTGAAGTAATGTCTCGCCTTGCTGAGCACACCAAGCTTCTTTGAGTCCAATTTGGATACCTGATATCTGATCCATACTAATATTATAAATGCGAAAGTAACTCTGTCTGCCCGTCTCGCTTTCACGCCAAAATTATTTAACCGATTTTAATGAAATTTGGTACCCAGATAGTCTAGGGCTTGAGAAAGGACATGGACTGTTTTTTTTTAATTGGAAAAATGTGTTGCATTGGGTTGAAAATATCTTACTTTAAAAAATATACATGTTTTTTAAAGAAATATGTTTATTTAAGGTCTTCAACGCGAGCGCACCTCCGGGCGAAAAGCTAGAAAACTCTAGCTAAAGCTCTACTCTTCTTTTGTAGGTTACATTTCTGAAGTTTCACTTCTCGGATGTGTGTGAATTATACACACACCCTTTTTTTAAAATAATGAAACATACATTGTTGACAAATGAGTATTCACATTAATATGGTTCTCGGTATTTACTACAGTGCTTTATTTAAGCTTAAAGGAGTTGTAATCCACAATGAGAATTGTCATGGACTTGAAATTTATAAACATATATTTGACAGTACACAAAATAAAGTATTATCACAAAAACCAACGTTTTATGTGTTTATAGCTCAAAATTCTTATGTAATTTGAGTGGAGGACAAAATTAAAGATGAACATTAAACAATAGGGAATGTGTTCAATTTATGAGTTCTATAATACGACTTGATAGGTCTATTATATAAATAGCTTTACGATGGACACCAGTTAATACAAACATCTTACTTGTTTTGCCAATGCCACATGCCTAAGTAAACATCACGAAATGCCTTTTAGCCTGAGCTCACATTCAAAACAAATAGCGATATTAAAGTTTGACACGTCCAACTTTATTACTAAATCAATAATCTCAATTCGGAAATAGACTTTGAGGCTCACGGCAAAAAACATAAGGACTATGCGTATGACATTGACAAACTTGTTTAGGTCTTGGTGCATGTTGTTTTTTAAACGATTTATTGCAGCACGTTTCCGAAGTTCTGCATTTCTATAAGTATCATAATTAAACCGACCTTAACTTCCAATGAAATACATCAATTCTGATAGTTTTTATATCACCCAATTTAAAAATGTAATTTTATAGAAATTCCTCTAAAAATACTATTAAAAGATTTCAATCTGTCCTTATCTGTGTGTAGAATTACTTGATGTTGTAATCGTTAATTCCAGTCTCATATATGATGTCTTTTTATTTTTGTGAAAAGTTGCCAAGCGAGCAGATGGTTCACCTGATGTTAAGTGAATACCGCCGCCCGTGGATATCTGCTACACCCGAGAGTTCCAGATGCGTTGACAATCTTTTGAAAATTGGGCTCCGGCCACTTCACTCACCAGACGAAACGCGAAAGTATTATACTTCTACTTTACACTGGTCTTCTGCGAGTTCGTGGTACTTACCCGGACGAGCCTGCCCATTCGTGCAACAGCCGAGACTGCTGCGTGGCCCTACCACCGTAATGATGTCAATTTTATTGCACTGTTTCGCATTCTTATGTGCATAAAAGCATTGTTGTAGACTCGAGTCAACTGCATATTGAATGGCATGTATAAGTCAATGTATTTGTATGATTAAATAATAATATTTTTTTTTACTTTTTAACTGTTTAATCAAAAAGAAATGTGAATGTAAGTTTCTTTGTTACGCTTTCACGGCAAAACTACTCAACAGATTATCATGAAACTTTGTACAGATATTCTTAGAGGTATAAAAAGGACATATTATGATGTTTTTATTACAAAAAAATAAAAAAGTAATTTATTTAAGGGCTTCAACGCGGGTGGAGCCGCGGGCGAAAAGCTAGTATAATAATAAATATTCTTAATGAGGATTTTAAAATCTATTTGAATGTTACAAACACTCAAATAACTTTATTGAAATGAATAAATGATAAATGTAATAAAATTGTTGTCTGTAAATCTTGTTTAACAAGAATGAGTCATTCATGCATATACATTTTTTTTTCATATTCAATTTACACAACTATTGTTAAGAACAGTTAGATTTTCCTTACAACAAAAGCAGATTGATGAAGTATCCGGATATGATATTCGTGAGTTTTAAATAAAAACAACGAGAAAGATTTTAAAAAGCATAAAATTTATTAAAGCATTTTAAGATAACTTTTAAAAATATTTAGAACAATTTGAATTTTGAAAATCCTAATTCTTATTTATGTTTATGAACTATTGAAGGTATCTTGTATTCTCGGATGGGAAACCTCATTTTCCCCCGCGTAAGTCGGGCGAGTTGTCTGAAAGTAATTACATAAAAAATATGAAAGTGACATACATAATTTCATCAATAGTTAATTTCATCATTAGTCGATGAAGGAGCTAGCATGAATTACGAATACATTTTTTTCCCGAACGCTGAACAATGTTGACAAAACGACAACACTTAAGGATTATGAAAGCTATTAATATTTCTATTTCTTTCAAAATGGTGCATGTATGTGTTATGAGGACGACCAGGCAAAGCGCCACCATGATTTTCAATACTGCTGCTTTTCACATAAAAAAAGAAACTTATACTTTACTTAAGACAACAGGACAAGCAGTTTCTCTGATGGTAAATAAGGACCTGCACCATTTCTTAGATGACATATACAACATGGACATTTACAACATCAGAGATGTTGCAAACGCCTTGCCGATCGGCCAGCTATGGTAACACTATTTCACGGTGGTCTTCTGTTAAGCCATGGTACTTCCTCGCTAGAGCAAGCTAAGTCGTGTGTGTTAAATTTAGCGATGAATATAGATAGTTACATACATTTTCATATTTTTACAAAACGTTTTTATTTTATGTTTATTATTTATTATTTTATACATTGATATTTATTACGGGGGTAATTTATTTGTTTTCTCGTCTGGTTGGGTTTATAAATAAAAATAAATATATTTATTTATTTATTGTTATGATTACTTTAGTTATTTTCTAAAAATGTACACAAAAATGTACATCCTGTTTTCAAGGGTCTGCTGGAAGAGAACTCTCTTTACGGTTAAACTCGCCTTTGTACATGTTTTTTTGTCATTTTTTCTACCTGTATATTTTAGTATTATTCATTTATTAAACAAACAAAACGTTATCACGTTTCAAAGTAAGCGAAGATTGTAACACTAACTAGGTCACTGATAAACATACTTTTCTTTAAAAATAAAGTAAATAACTACATATTGCGGGGAAATAAAACTCATACACTAGAGAAATACATGTTCATCAGACTATTTTTCTCCGTAAGTAAATGGCGCAAATATGAGTCTTTATGTTCAGATTATGTATTTGTGCCATTTGCTGTTGAAACATTAGGTCCGTGGGGTCCCCGCACATCAAATTTTTTTAAAAGTTTTATGTCCTAGGCTTAACGCCGCGGCTGGTGACAAGAGAGCTGGTTCTTTTCTCGCGCAAAGGTTAAGCATAACTATTCAGCGAGGAAATGCAGCTAGCGTTCTTGGCACCATGCCGCGTGGATTAGGTTTATTAGATAATATGTAATTTTAGATAGATTTAATCTTGTAAATATTAGATCAATAAAGATTGTCTTTTTCTCCGTTACTAGAGATCGAACTCACGTCCTCTGAAACTCACGAAACCATCTTACACAATGATACGTTCTGCATTATTGTATTCGGATTGTTACAGGACAAGTAACTGAACGGGATACTATGACACTCACATTGCTTTCCAGGGTAGGGTCTGTTTTGGTTTCCAAAGTCGACGTAAGCCGGTTCACGGTCTGAAAATTAAAAAAAAATTAAATAACTAATTATTTTTTGCCTTTCGATTTTCGGGAACTAAGCTGTGTTCGAGGACCTCCGTATGGCGTTTGCTATCGGAAAAGATCCAATTATGACTTTTTAAACTCCCATGTCAGACTACCAAAGACATAAGAGGCGTGATTAACTAATACAATTTTATGATATGGTATATAACAGCATCTTACCTATTGGCTCATATCCTCCATTAGGAGCTGAAATTAAAGAAAAAAACATAAATATACTTGTTATACTTACACATTATTAATATATTTATACATTAATATAATTATATATATAATATGCGTTAAGCTAATGCAGTAATTTTCCTACATTACTCGAGATAACTTGTTTAAATAGATAAACGGGCAACCATCAGTTGTTAAGTGCATCAATTTGAGGTTACGGGTTGGGGATTTTCGTCCCGAAGTCAGATAGCCCAAGAACGCAGCACTTCGGAGTAAATCGCTGTTAAATTGGACGCAGTGTGCAATAATAAAGACCTGTATGTGAGAATGATATAATAATTCAACGACTCATCAATGATTAGAATTGGGGATTTCGAGAACCAGGTCGTTGGGAGTTACAAGGACATGAATTTACAAACACAAGATCGAAGTAAAACAAGGCCTCAAGTCAATTGGCCATCATTCGTGTTCATCATTTAATAGCATTAAGCACCATGAATCAACGTGAAGAAATCATCTTCAACGAAAATGTTTGACAACGAGACGTTTAATGAGGATAAACAAAACTGTACCACTTGGAACACCGAAAATCCACAATATCAAACCTAATTCAAAATAAATAAAACGTAGGTAATATAAAACTTATTATTACGTTTTAGATTAGTTTATTTTACTGCGTTTCAACTGAACAGCACCATGTTTAAATTTTAACAACGTGACTCCTTTTTCGTTAAATATTGACCCAAATACGTTGTGAAAACGCCAATACTTACGGTTGCTTGGCCTGTAGAAAGCTTGATCAATTACAACTGAAATAAAATAAAATATATTTTAAGCAAAACTGAAATGAAATCATTAATAGCTTAATCTTGGTTTACCTTAGTAATCTTAGTTTCTATACTTGTATTTCAAATTAAAATATTTTTAATACAACGTGTTATTTGAAACCATAATTTTAAATTACCAGATATTTTACACAAACTGTTGTTTAAACACGTTTTATCTTCGAATTATGTTCACGTTCCAAAGTACAATTGAAGCATTGCTTAAAGGTGCATGAATATTCGCAGATGCCATTAGATAGAGTGCTCAAAAACTCGTCAGTTATTGCGAGTTTAGGTGAAGCCCAGCTTTACCCAAATGTAAATTATGTTTTAATGTTCTGTAATTTACTTGTACATTTTTTACGTCTATAACGTAAGAATTAATAAAATTATTAGACAAGCACTTTGCAGCGTTTTTTTCTACGTTAAACTACTATTTTATTTAAAATGTATTTTTTTTAGTTCATAGACCAAAACTTTCGGCGCTGCGGGATACAAATTCTTCCGGATAATGCATCCCAATAAGCTAAATTAATCATACTTTTTTACTGTTGCAAGCAAATGCGTCTTGATACTTACATCCTTCGGGATTGTTGAGTCCATCTGAAAATTTAAATGATTTTGTTAATTACTTACCCATGCAAACAAAGACAACTTTAAGCTATCGAAGGCAAAGGCTTAAATAAAATTTTATTGAATTTAAAAGCATTCTTGTATAAAATAACAAACATATTTTAATGATTTTATATTTTTTTGATAACTGTATCACATCAAAGGTTGTTTTACTACACGTTGGCAATTACAATTTAGACAAAGTACATTAAATAAGTACGTACTTGAGGCACGTTTGAATTCATGAAAATCTCTTTAATAAAATAATAATATGAGGTGAGATTAATGGATGTGCGGTTGGAATGATCTGTTTATAAAATGACACGATACACTCGTGAATAGATCGTAGCTTAATAGGTTTTCATTAACTAAATAATAGTAATCAGTGTTGTCGATTATTAAAGACTGTAGGTTGGTCGGCTAAAATAAAATAGTGAGGATAGCGTAAACAACTTTATATATTAATTAGACTACTTCCTACTTATTAGGACAGAGTAACGTCCTATACAAAGGATAAAGTGTTCTACCCTATCACTGAAACATTATGAGCTTTTATACAAAAATATAATGAGTCATCACAACTACATTACAAATCAATGCACTTATTAAATTACAAATACAGTTAATAAGATTGACCTATTAAATTATATATTATTATTAAGCATGGTTTATTATATAATATTATACCAGATAATTGATGGTTCAATATTTATTAAGTATAATTGTTATTGCTCGTATATTAAGTAGTGTTGCCAGTGGATTGTAACACGATTCATTATTTAGATTTTAGTTTGTGGTTACGAGTAAATCCTACCTGATGGATTGTTGTCCACAACATGCACTGCAACAAAATTGTTATTTTGAAATTTTTTCATTTCAAGAAAAATATTGTGTCAAAGTGTAACGTTACGACAAAATAGGTTTTGTTTTAATTTTGTTTCCTGTATAATTACTGACGTAGTTATTATTAATTACAAAAAACATAAATATTTTTAATCGTGTAGTAACGTGAACGTACCTTCATATGGATTGTGATCAACAACGTGAACTGTAATGGAAGCGATATTTTAAAAACGTTATGTTTATATATGTCCCGTCATAGATTATATAATTTTATAAAAAAAATAACTAAAAAAAAACAATAAAAATTTATATTTTAAGTATTTGCAACATATTTCTTTATTTATTGGAGTGCAAGCTAGAATTAAAGGTGAATGTTTAAAAATTGATAGAGATTGTTAATTTTAAATCAAAAGTTCTTTAATACGACTAAATGACAATGGTTGTGATCTACCGTGTACAGTTGGGGGTTTAAGCAATAAAATACGTAAAATTAAATGGGAGGTAAGAGTATAACTTTGCGCTACAAATCTTATAAAAAAGATTGTTAATTTCTCGTGATTTATTAATTAAATATATCTATTACAAACCTTCTGATGGGTTGTGGTCTACCACGTGTACTGTAATGATAATAAACAGCATATTGTTTGGGGTTTAAGAAATAAAATTGAATTATATATTTTTTAAATATTAGGGTAAACTCTTACTTTTCACTAGAAACCTTAGAAAAGGATTCTTTATACAATTTCTCATGATTTTAATTTACTATTATGTGTCTTACGAACCTTCTGATGGGTTGTGGTCTACCACGTTTACTGTAAAATCAATAAGGAATGTTATAAAAGAAACCGTCATCTAATATCTGAATAAAATACATATATGTGATACATTGTTGAAATTTCAAAATTTAAACAGCATATTGTTTGGGGTTTAAGAAATAAAATTGAATTATATATTTTTTAAATATTAGGGTAAACTCTTACTTTTCACTACAAACCTTAGAAAAGGATTCTTTATACAATTTCTCATGATTTTAATTTACTATTATGTGTCTTACGAACCTTCTGATGGGTTGTGGTCTACCACGTTTACTGTAAAATCAATAAGGAATGTTATAAAAGAAACCGTCATCTAATATCTGAATAAAATACATATATGTGATACATTGTTGAAATTTCAAAATTTAATTGTACGACTTACGACCCTTCTAATGGGTTCGATCTAGTTACGATTTATTAAGTTTGAATTAATTCATTCTAGAAGTTCAGTCTAAAATACGTCGGTCACATAAATGAATCATTACTGGATAGGCACTAATTAAAGAATAAAGTGCATGAGTACCACGAAGCCGTACTTTTGTCAAAAAAGTTACACCAATATATAAGCCAAAGAAACCTGTCGAGAACCAGAGCACTCTGTTTGACTTTCATAGTATAAAAAGGTCGAAACATAGTCTCAATTTAGACACGAATGATTTTGTAAAGAGAAAGACAATTAACTTTATTGAAGATAAAAGTTTTATGTAACGATTTATTTTACTGACTCGAATTAATTATTACATAAAACTATTTTGCGAATATAATAGTTATGCTATAAATTCCTGATCTTTCGAACTTAAGAAACATTAAAATATGGCTTAGGATATAAATTTTAATAGCCTGTAACACGATTACATCGATTATTTAATGAACGTGTATCTTACGAACCTGCTGACAGATTGTGGTCTACCACGTGTACTGTAAAGATAATAAATAAAGCATATTGAAAAAGATACTGACTTAAAATAATAATAATACTTTTATATTCATAGGTAACAATTACTATTTCTAGAAACTCGATAAATAACTATAAATGTCTTATTCTATTTTGATGAACTAAATGAATATAACATTTAAGAACCTTCTAAAGGATTGTGATCTATAGCGTTTACGGTAAAAAAAATACAGAATTTTGTAAAAATAGACAACAGCCTTGTAATACGACGATGGCTTTAAATGTTCGCGGCCTGACACATAATTATATGTAAAAATTTTTAAGTGGAAGTATAATACTTTCGCGTTTCGTCTAGTGAGTGAGGTGGCCGGAGCCCAATTTCCAAAAAAAGGTTGTCAACACATCTGGAACCCTCGATGTAGCGGATGTCCATGGGCGGCGGTATACATTTAACATCAGGTGAACCGTCTGTTCGTTTGGCAACTTTTCACATAAAAAAACAATTATTTTGACTGATGCTTTTTCTTTCAGTCCTTAGACTGAAAGCGTCAGTAAAAGTAATTGCGTCTTGTTATGTCATTTGAGTGTATGTATGTTTGTATTATGACACTCTTTTAAGTCTTTCGTAACGCCTTTTAGTTAGTTATAACTAAAATTTCATCAATATAATGCTTGCGGATCGCACGACTTTGAATCTAACTCTCTATGGCTCAAATTTCTGTAAACGGAGTTTCGTATTGCACATCTGACTTATCCTCTTGATCTCCTTTGGTAGGATTATGACAATCAATACGAAGTGTAATGCTTCTATATTGAATAAAGATATTTGAATTTGATTATACAGACTTATCTGTTTCAGTACCTAAAAAGACACGCTGTGGGTAAAATATTTCATCGAATGAGGAGGTTGAAGCTGTGAATCACTTTTTTGAAAACATTGAAGAAGAGCTATCATAGCTTAGTGTTCGGGAATATAATTAAATATACTGGAGCAACATTGGGTAGTGAAATTGTTGATTACAGTTTTAAGTGCTGACTTATCACGTGCTCAGCGGTAAACATCTTGAGAAAACCTTATTTTAGAAAAAATAATAAAACCAAATATTTCGAATTTAAAGGAAATCCGCCAATCCGCGGTGGTTTCACGTGTTTGACTGTGCCCTAAAACATAAGATTTGCTCATCTTTGGTTTTATTTTTTTGACTAGGCGCCGCGAACATTTCAGTCTACCTTCGGACATTAGTATTTTATATAGTGCATGAAAAGCATTATTTTTAATTGATACATGTTCTTTAATAATTCCTGTCTTAGTATTGGTAAAAAAAGGCCTTTGGATAGATTTCCATCCACGATATGACCTGCAATGATATCAAGGACGGATTAAAGCAGTAAAACAAAGGCCCTAAATTTAATTAAAATGGAATTGATTTTATTGTATAACATTCACTTTATGAATTTGAAGTATGTCTTCATTAATTCTTTCACGTATTTGTTATCCAATATGATCAAATTTATATTTGATGCCATCGGAAAGCTTTCGAAATACTTTTAGTAAGTAATTGACTTATATTTCATTTTTTTTGTTACCAACAAAATGCTAAGTAATATTTAATAAGTATTTTTAATAATATTCGGTACGTTGCTATCAACATCTGTGAAATTAAAATTTAAATAACATATAATTAATAAGCAAAAACAATGTAGGAGTTGGTCATCTATCTTTGAGGCCCCAATGTATGTAATGTTATAAATGAAACATCAAACAGGTAAATATAATGTGTGGTATGCGATATATGATATATATATATATATATATATATATATATATATATATATATATATATAACAGTGATTTACACATTTGTTATATATTGTTACAATCCACTGGCAACACTACTTAATATACGAGCAATAACAATTATACTTAATAAACATTGAACCAAAACTGGTATAATATTATATAATAAACCATGCTTAATAATAATATATAATTTAATAGGTCAATCTTATTAACTGTATTTGTAATTTAATAAGTGCATTGATTTGTAATGTAGTTGTGATGACTCATTATATTTTTGTATATAAGCGCATAATGTTTCTGTGATAGGGCAGAACTCTCTTAGCCTTAGTATAAGGCGTTACTCTGTCCCTAGTCCGCAGAAAGTAGCCTAATTGGTATATAAATATAAAGTTGCTTACGATATTAGTGCTATTTTATTTCGGCCAACCGACCTAGTCGTTAATATCTCAGTTAATAATATATTCATACAGTTCGTTGAACATAATATATAATATAAATGAAACTTAAGTTTATGGATTTATAGCGTTTATTTTTAATTTTAATTCCCGACGTTTCGAACCCTTTACAGCGTTCATGGTCACGGGACAGCTGAGGCGTTGGACGTCTGATTGTCATAGTTAACCCAGGCTACCGTCAGTTATTAGATCCACTACAGAATAATAAGCGTGCCAAAGACTGCAAACTAATCTACTAGCATTCGCTTACTTCATTAATTTTCTCTCGTTTTATCTGTTTCATAAATTATATAAATCTCCCAAGTAAAGCATCCGAGAATTAGCCATAAATACCATTTAAGTCAAAAATATAAAATCATAGTAAAATATGTTTGTTATTTATGCAACTAGCGAAAATTTTAGGAATACATACCATTTTGGGCTGCAACAATGGCAACCAATGCCAATAGAACGATCTGTAACAATAGAGTGCACAATTAAAAAATGTTCTGTTACATAAATAAAAGCGTATTTGAACATTTTATTCAACTGTGGCATTTTATGTCTGCAACCCTACAGGTATTTCAAATGTCAATGGGCGGTGGTTATCACTACGCATCAGGTGAACCGTCAGCTCGATTTCCTCCTTCTCACATAAAAAATAAGAATATGCGAAGCAATGCTAAAACAAAAAAAAAATAGGTATAAATAGAAGAGATAGCTAGATCGATATTTGGAAATGCGCGTTATCTAATGGATAAGATAATTTTAGTGAAGTGTCAGACACAACGCAACAAATCAATTTTACGGATTATTAAAAAAACAAAAATTCTGTACAGTTAATTGTTTTTCTGTTTATTTTTCTTTTAGCACTGAAATACGCAACCACGCAATAAATATAATATATGAAAACATTTTATTTTTAAAATCAATTAAAATTAAGAATGAGATATAAAATAAAAACAAAAAATAAAAAAAAATTCATTATTATCTAAATTTAATCTTCTTTTTAGTTTTAAATTTAATGTCTCAAATTCAATATTTACACTAATTTACAGTTACCTATACTATCTTCTTACAATGTCCATTAAATCTTAAACAATTCATTACATAAAAAAAGTGTCAATTCCATTAAACAAAACATCCAAATGATTATGTAAATCCTATTTACGCTGCATTATTATTTACAGGACAAAGAAAAAATAAATGTCTTTTAATCAATTTAGAGCTACATATAAATATAATAATCTGATTGACACATACCACGGCGGCTCTCATACTGAATATTAAAAAAATAAACGCTGCGTGTAGATAAGATTCCAATGAAATGTCGATGGTCTGTTTGTTCTCGTTGTTTTATAATCCGGCAGACAGCCTCCCGCCCCGCGCTTCCCGGTCAGGGTCAATATTAGGCAAGTAATAAGTAAATAAATTTGGCGCAAATAATCATTTTCCTGTTTAATTTCTGTTAACTAAATTGAGTTTTGTATTCCAAGAAGACGCGTTCATAATATAATACGCGTTTATTTTTATTCCACATTACGTAACTGGTAATCAGTTTACTTTAATTAGGCAGTTATTTGTATTTCAACAAACCGTGAACACGATTATTATTGATATCACGTATCCACGTGATAATAATCGTGTTTTCCACAAAGTCCACTAAAATGTTTATGTAGATCCATGTAAACATCTCGTGGTCTTTGTGATCGATGAAGCTTCACATGGTCTCTACAACCGAAGATATCCTTGATAAAGCTTGTACCTAGCTTCTTGCGCAGGTCCTTTTGGAAATTTAATGACAATGAAATAGGAGCACTTTCTTAAGTAAAATACAATTGTTCGTCGGGTTTTATGCAATCTGTAATGTTATGCCTCTATACGGCCGAGTATTAGAACAATTGACCCTAATAAAGATAGTTTCAAGGTCTTACGACGAGCACGCGTAAGTAAATATACAACAACTAACTGTCAACGTTTTGAGAGACGAACCAGCAAGCGATCACGTCCTCGGGCTCTAATAGATTGTATGCCGTGGTTTGGTCGCGACTAATAGGACACTAAATAATTTGCCGTTATTACTAAATAATTAATAAAATATACGTTGTTTAGAAACATTACACTGTTCTTTTATACAAAAACTTTATTTACACCGTAGATACGCGTAAACGTCTCAAAGGTTGCAATAGTTTATTAGCCGCAATGAAAAGTTTTAAGTACCTTTAATCAGCTGTTATCCGCTGGTCGTTATTAAAATTTTGAATCAAAAAGAGTGAAGAACGCTTATAAATAAGAAATTTTTATTATTAAACCTATCCTGTCAGTGCTATCAGAGTACATAATTTTATATGCGACGGTCTTCTGTAGCACGAGTCGGCAGGTCCGTCCAGGACATAATACACGCTGTACTAGTGGTGTACGTGGGGAGTTGAGCCACGATTGACCTCTGGGAAAGAAGAGGCGCCCAGCACTAGGGTAAACAATGTATAGTTAAAGTTACTACTACTTTATTATTGTACCAATTATGCTTCTTATTGCTTTTAAAAGAAGCATAAGATATTAAGTTAATCCTAAGATCGTTAATGTTCTCAACAAAAAGTACGAAAAGTCTCGCCGCTGTGGGAATCGAAACTACATCTTCAAGATTCGCGCCCAGACCCTTTAAACACTAAGCTAAACGTTTTTTGATCGATTCCCACACCGTAGAAAATCTAAACATCCTATTGTTTTTTTTTTGTTTTTTACTTTTTAACCTACATTGTTTTTTTTTCGGATTTCAAGTAATGTTTGACGCATGTATTGTTATATCCTTACAGTATACAAACAGTTTCGAATATCGTTTTACAACGATAATTCGAACGAGAGATGTAGCCATTCGATACCTTAATTGGCAAACAAGCTAACTCCATATGGGCAAGTTTTACAGGAGTCACTTAAAACTGTATAATATTTTTTTTAGACTACTTATGAGAAAATCTATTTTATATACTATATTTTATAGTTGGTAGATATTATCGTAAATTGTCATTTTTGATATTATAAAATCCATTATACATTTTCATTACCATACTATAGCGTTTTTTAGGAGTTATCCGTTTTTTCTTTCGTGCAAAAGTATGTGATCTGGGAGTTAGCTGGTTTTCTTGATTGATTTATTTTAAATAAAAACTTTCTTTTTCTTTTTAAGTGTACAACCAAAGCGTCGTAGTGTTTTAAAAATTGGTTATTAACAACCAGAAAAGAGTCAGGTTTATTGGTATCATCAAATTTAATTTAATTTTTTAATATCTGTTGTCATCTTCTTATGAATAGTAATTCTATTGCTAGAATTACTTTATCAACTAAGAAATTGGTTAAAATCGTTGCAAACTAATCAGAACTCAGCCTTTGCCTTCATTCCATAGAAAGGAACACCCATCTCTGCTTTTAATATCATGAATACACACGTTTTGAAGGGTGGTATATAAAAGCGTTAACTTTTTTACATTTTTAAGGGTCTTTCCTATCTCTTTGCCTAATTGTATCTAAAATTTTTATTAAACTATCAACGTAAATTCGTTTTTTATCCCGTCATATTTAAAAATTTATCAAATAATATTTTTGCGTCATTTTCAGAAATATTATGACATTGATTAACACTATTTCTATTTTACTTACAGTAGTCTAGTTTCATGATTTTTTAGTAGTTTCTGTATCAAAGGAACGGCCTAATCGTTATCCGTTTTATCATTACTCGTAGAGAGGTGAGCTGGCTTAAAACTTAGAGGCATTTTCAAGATTGTATTTAAGTATTTAAGTGATGGTGTAGGGTGACCAGATAGCAAACTTGGACTGAATTGTTCTTTATCAAACGGAAATATGTCTTCATTAACAACAATTTCATAATTATGTTTGCGTATACTCCATGGCAGACAGTTCATTTCCAAAACAATAAATGTTGTTATCAAATCATCATCATCATCATTTCAGCCTGTTTAAATCCACTGCTGAACACAGGCCTCCCCCATAGACTGCCACGAAGTAAGATCCTGCGCCACCTGCATCCATCGACTTCCCGCACACTTGCACAAATAAATTCGATGAATTAGAAGCTACGCTATCATGCCCAACCAAAGCATCGTATGGTTTAGAAAATTGGTTATTAAGAACCAGAAAAGAGTCAGGTTTATTGGTATCATCAAATTTAATTAAAATTTTTAATAAACTTTAAAATGTATAACTTCCAACCGTAGCGTAATAAAGTAAGAAGCAAGCCAGCCAACTCAAAGCCAATATTAAATTTTAGAATTGCTCAATTATCTAGCAATGTTTTGTAAGAAATAAAATAAGTATCCATACTGTGTATTAATGTTCAATTGTTTTTCAACACTACCTTTCCTTTTGTTGCGTTTATATATTTTTTTTTCCAAATAACGTAGGGCGGTAACCGTATATGACTCGGACGCCATACGAAATAGCCGACTTGGTGGAGTTGGCTGTTAAAATTGTAACGTTCCGTGACATGCGGAGTTGGCTGATTTGCGAATAGCGATTTATAGAAAGAAATAGTGATTATATCGGAGTTATTGTTTTTGCAAATCAAGCGGAATAATTATAGCGTACAAACAAAGCCAAAAAATATTTTTGACCAAAGGTGAGAGTTAGCTGGTTTGCCAATTAAGGTATCGCATTGCTATACATCCTATTTTCCTATTTCCATATATCCTATTTTCTTCAAACTTTTATTGATTGTTGTTTTTTTCTTTTTTTTAATCAGCATTTGTTTTGGGGTTTCTACTTCTATAAAGCATGGCTTCTTCGCTGTTAGTCCCAGTGACTTAGTGCTGTTTCTTCAGCTAAAATGAGAAAATGTTACCTTTTCAATCAAATTACATATTTGATTAGGACTTGTTCTTCAAGTCACAAAACATGTTTGTTTGGTCGAGGCGAACATTCATAGTTATGATAGCAACGGCGTCACATACAGAAATAGGAACAGCTGACGAGCTAGTTGGCTTGCCATACTAAAAGCCATTAGACTTTCCTGTTATTATTTTGCTCCGTTTGTTTGTTATCAAGCATATGCATATAAACAATTAACATAGCTTAACGTGAACATGAGCTAAAAATTATACAAATAAGTAACATCGGACGTAAAGTAACATCGTTCACGGCAAGCAATTCATTAGCACATTCCATTGTTGTGACAACTGCGGTTGAATTCGCAAAAAACCTGGTTTGCATCTTACTGCGATAAAATCAGATTTATGTAGAACAACAATATTATAAAGAATCACTATCTCAGAATGTGTTATCAGGATAAGCAACTTTCTTTAAACGGTTATCACTTACAGGACACGCAAACAATTCGTGCACAAACACAAATAAAAAACTAAAGTTATTACAAGCGCTCCTACGTTATATCATAGGTTATCTTTGGGGGCGCAATTGAACGCAATATTTAATGTCTTACGGCTTACGCCAGAATTACCTAAATTTGAACATATACAGAATCTTTTTTATTGTTAGTATTAGGATTAAATATGTTTAACCGATAATTTATAGAAAAAAATTCGGCACTGCTAGGATTCGACCCTTCAACTTTTGGGCAACACGTCAATACGCTATTTCCAAATTTATTCAATCCAATCTCGACGAATGTTTACATCATTTGCAGTTTTGGCAATGCTTGGCATCACCTAGTTAGTTAGTTTAGAGCAACATTACGTTATGGTAACACTCAAATAACATTTAACAATGAACGTTTATGTGTGGTAGGACCACGCAACAGTATTCGCTGTTGCACGAATGGGTAGGTCCGTCCGGGTTAGTACCACGACCTCACTGAAGATTAAAGTAGAAAAATATTACACTTTTGCGTTTCGTCTGGTGAGGATGCCGGGGCCCACATTATTAAAAGGTGGCAACACATCTGCAACCGGTGTTGCAAATGTCTGTGGGCGGCGGTTACATCAGGTGAACCGCCAGCTCATTTTCCACTTTCTCACATAAAATAAAACATTTGAACGATGCCTTTGCTTAATTTAATGAATATATTTCAAACCAGAAGACATATTATGGCATTCTTTAATACATTTATTCAGCCAGGCCTAAAATTTCGTGATTGTTTACAAATGCATGTGTTGCGTTCGTAGCGTTCATAAAATCGTTCAGGTCTCTCACCGCGTCCTTTATCTTAGTAAATAGTCTTAATAATAAAATAAAATAAAATAATTTTAATGTACTTTAATGTTACGTTGTTACGCGCACTAGTTCCATAACGAGCAGCCATGTACCTAAACGTTAAATATATCAGAAGATTGTCTGTTTTTATATCATACATTTTATTAAACAACTGTAAAATAATTCATTTAAGAATTTAACATTTTTAGTACTTATATAATAAGACTCTAGGTTGTTTGCCCTGCGTGGGAGTCGGAACGACGGATCCTGGTCCGGAGTATCGGGGAGAAACTTTCTCCACCTCCAGAAGGAGGTCGCCGAACGGGAAAGAGAGAGGGCTGCTCGGAGACAGCGGCGCCAGGCCGGCAGGGGCAGACGTGCTGCCCCGTCAGCCCTGTAGTTCCGGGCTCATAGAACTAAGGTATCTCCTGCCTGTTGTAAAAGGCGACTAAAAGGGGACACGGATTGGCAGCAGCTCGAAGTGGCCTCGAGCTGCTGCAAGATGGCGAGGGAATCTGGGAAGACTCAACCCTTCTCCAAGGCGTGCTCACGCCCAGTACCGAGGGACACCGGTGCGTTCCATAGGAGATCACGAGGTCCCTCCAAACGTACAGAAGGTGGCCACAGAGGGGGTTTTAGTGGGTACGAACCCCACATAACCCTGTCATGTAAGATGACAGGGTATCTTTTGAAGATTTCCCCCCTGATACCAAAAAAAAGGTTGGTTGGCAAAATAAAATAGGGAGTATAGCGTAAACAGCTTAATATAATATTAATTAGGCTACTTCCTACTTATGAGTACAGAATAACGTCCTGTACGAAGGATAGAGAGTTCTTCTCTTATATATTTTGTTTATTGCAGGATATACCACTGCTGGCCTTAGGGGCCTTTTCAGATCCACCGGACTTGAGTTGGCCTCGTAGCCTGAACCTGGATTCCGCGTTATGGTTACTAACATCTAAAATAAGAACGAGGCAATCATCTTTTTTCCAAAACTTCTTCTTTTTTTTAGATTAGAATGTAGACCGTTGAACTTTTCTAAGATTTTGCAACACCAATACAAGCAAAGGCGTTTTTGGTATTGGTCAAATTATAGGGAATCCATCTGGTACAAAACTTCCTGACACCTAAATGATCGTGTCATATAGACCCATTATAATTCAATAATAGTTTTAAATGAAACTAGTTTACGAATTTTATCGCGTTTTTATTTTGATTTGAATTTCCCGACGTTTCGAACCCTTTCCAGTGTTCATGATCACGGAACAGAGAAATTTTAATAGTTTTTCCCATTTTCCTGATCAGGACTTTCAAGATACTTTTCCCGGTAGTGTCCTTGTGCCAAGTATGCATTAAAAAATGTTTATAATTAACATTTCGAATTAGTATAAGGTTTAATACATATTTTCAAATATTTTTGTTAATTAATCAGACCATAGATATGGAATGTCATAATCCTTCTACGTAGCCATCACCAGAGTACTTTTATTTATCTGAAAAGTTAAAGCTATCACAATCACAGAAAGTTCAAACTTCAAAGTTGACAGCAGAATACTGAATACTGATTTACTTACCTAATTATTCGGAAGACTATAATGATTTTAGTTTTTTAGTACAATTTTAAAGTCAAAAAATGACAACAGATTTAGTGACAAGTGTTCATAATGCTCCTTCTTTGGATTTCGATGAAAATTGTTATTTAGTTCGTGGTGCATATCAGTATTATCATTACATTTGTGATGGTTTTGATGATAGGGTAATAATAAATAATAGTATATTTCAGTGCCCAATGATAGATTTAAAAAACTTTCACTTTAGCAGGCGCAGGTGCGAATCGCTTTTCATCATAAATATTTGAAATTTCAGGGCTGGGGTTGTGGTTACAGAACATTACAAACGCTTTGCTCATGGATGAACATTAATTATAAAGACTTAAGAAAGGTACCTTCTGTAAGAGAAATTCAAGAAATTTTAGTTGAATTGGAAGATAAGCCTAAAAATTTTTTGGGGTCTAGACAATGGATTGGCAGTTTTGAGGTAAATTTATAAATTCGCAGAGGTCCATCAAGGTTCGCATTGAGAAACTAGCCAAAATATCAGTTTTGAAGATGTATGCGCAAAGCTGATCACATTTTTATTTTAACATCAAGTTATATTGGCTTATATATGTCGATCAAGATGAATAAAATCCTTTTTTGTAAATATAAAAATATTTTCATAAAAGGCTGTCTTATATCAGCCTATATAAATCACAGTTAAAATTATTGTGATAACCTTTGTACCATGTAATAGATGTTTAGATTATTATTTCCAGTTTCATAATATGTTTACATTATTATTTTTATATAATTTAATTTATTTAGGTTTGCCTTGTAATAGACAAATTGTATGATGTTCCATGTAAAATTTTTCATGTGAACAAAGGAGATGAGTTAACAAATATAACAGAAAAATTGAAATTTCATTTTGAGAATTATGGCAGCCCTATTATGATGGGAGGAGATATTGATTGTTCTTCTAAAGGAGTAATGGGCATCAGGGTTAGTAGCAAGAATACCAGTCTGTTAATAGTGGTATGTTTTGCGGTTCTGTATCTTATTTTTTTAAGAATTTAAGAAAATAATCTTACAACCCTGTTTAATTCTAATATGCCCCTAACACTTAAAAATTAATCTTTCATTTAAAATTCTTTGAATGTATAAAAAATCAAGTTTCATATACAGGCATAAATACTGACCGTTAGGAGTATTTAAATAGGAGGAGTTAAATAGACAACTTTATACATATAATAAAGACCAGAGACCTTCAGATCACCAATTACTCTTATAATTTTTGATTGACATGAATTATTTTTATAGTTTTAGTAACTACATCTTTGGCTTTGGATTTATTACTTTCAGGATCCACATTTTGTGGGAAAGGCACCATCCAAAGAATTTTTGCATAAAAAAGGCTGGGTGAAATGGCAACCTTTAAATGAATTTTTGATTTCTTCCTTTTACAATTTGTGTCTGCCTCAAGTTAAAGCAAATATGCCACAATAAAACTAATAATAAGGTATCAGTCTTTAATGTAAACATTATTTGCAATAAATGTAATTCTTGATTATGTCTAGAAGTAAATGAAAAGTTTAAATTTGACCATAATAAAAAAATAGTTAATTTGGGGTTTTGTTGACGAAAATTGTAGTGCACTTACAATTGTTTATGTTCACAGTTAAGTAAAATTAAAAGCAAGATAAATAAAGTAAAGTTTTGCTTCAAAATTATACAATGTACATTGGAAATGATATTTTTGGGCTTACAGCCCAAAAATATAACAACTAATCAGTAAAATAAGATTGTATAGGAATTAAATATTTGCAATGCAATACAAGGCATATTATGTATTTCTTACATCCAATTACATTTTCCAGTGTCCTGATAAAAATCAGCTGTGGATGGTAATAAAATGAAAAAACTGGTATGCAAATAGCAAGAAACTGGAAATAAATAAATTGGAATGATTAATAACAAGTAACAACAAAGTTAAATATTTGGTTAATTGTGTTGATCCCTACCTACACCTTATCCAAAGATTTGGGGGTAGTATATAACAGCCATATTCATGACAAGAAGCATTTTCATGTTACATTGTCAGGTATATTCAGTCAGTGTTCATGATGAGACAGACACCTTGCAGAATCCAATGGCTGATGTGTTCTGTAGTCCAAAGGTCAGATTCAAACACCAAGCCCACACCCATTGCATTTCGTCGCTGCGATGTAGTGTACACAGGTGTTCTTAGAGTATTCTGTAATAAAATGATGCTCCACTAAAACACATATTTGTACTAAAACTTTTTTCTTGACAATATAATATTGCATATACTTAGGCTTTTGGTTTGTACCATGTGAGTAATTTTTCTATTGCATACAATTTAGTTTTTATGCAATACAACATTTAAGTTAGTAGTATAGTAGTATAGTACTTTAGTATATGTAAAAAATAAATTTAACATAAAGGTATGTTACCTTGGTCTAAGTTCTATTTTTATATTAATTCATTTATAGACATTTTATACTATTTATCCTGATTAAGAACCCCAACATATAATTTATTGTTGCTACATTGCTGGGAGGGTAAACTTGCCTTCGATTAATTATATGGTGGAAATTTATAAATATAGGTTCTTCCACAGTAGATTAAAATAGCATTTTATAGCACCTTTTATCTATTGTGCAGGGTCATATAAGATTGGTGCATAGTATAAGTTTTATGTTTGTGCTTTTCATTTCCTTTCCTAAAGAGTTTAAATGCATGGTCAGTAATCACTTAACATCGGCGAACCGCCTTCTTGTATGTCACTCTAATTTTATTCAAAACAAGGATTTATATCAACTAATTTTTAATTAGCTGTCATATAATTAAAAAATGCTAATCTTTCCTCAGAAAAATTATATTTTTCTTTTACATTTAGACAGATTTTAATCAGTTGCGCCATAAAGAGGACACGCTCTTCAATTTTAGTGAGAATATTGTACTAGAGACAGGGATTTCCCATCCACCAGATGAATTTTATTTGTTTTTTCATATATAATTTTGTAAGCTTAGGTTTATAAACCTTTAAAGGGAAAGAAATAATCTAAGCATCTGCAACCTATCCGTTGATAGGCAGCGGTTATCACTTAACATAAGGTGAACTGCCAGCTCGCTTGCTATCTTCTCACATAAAAAAAAACCTTTGGCAGTTCAATTTTATTAATTTCTAAGAATTATGTTCGAAATGAATGCAAGTCATGTTATTTAAGTGCTAATTGACATTGCGGCAGAGAGCAGTCACAAGTCATTGCCTTGTTACTAAAATATTTATTTATTGCTTATAGCAAGTCTCCATCGTGATACTTCAATATCATCAAGGAATTATTTATACATTTTGATTTGATTCTAGTTAGTTTCAAACAAAAGGACTTTCACCTGCAATTTCAGCTTGTGTGCCTCAATGGGTATGATGTGCATGATCGGGATCTCGGTCACGAGCACCTTAGGATGCGATCGCTTCAAGCATCCCTCCTCGAGATCCCAACGCGCCCCTTCCAGATACAGCCCGCGGATGTAGCAGCCCTAAGAGAAAGCTTAGTACCGAATAGTGTGCGTTATTAGGGACACGGCTCTCACCCCTGGTTGGAACATATGAGCTGCCGTGTGTTAGGGAAACGCAGCAGCTTCTGCTGTTGCAGAAATGATTAATGATGGTCATGACGAGGGCGAAGTAAGTATTATACACGCGTTTTTCGTCTAACCAATGAGGTAACTGGGACCATTCTTTACGGTGGGCAACACACTTCTTATAAAAATGAAAAGGCTAGTAGGAAATGGTTCGAAATGATAGTTCAAGTACTGGGCCATAATCATAATAGCACAGGAAAGTGGAGTGACGGAAAGAGAGGGACACTTGAGCCCAGCAGTGGGAAGGAGAAGGCTCGTAATAATGGCGCTGCTTACGGAGGCGGGCCGCTGCTCGATGTCGGCTGGCGCTGTGTACTCGGTGACGCGTGTGTACTGAGTGGAGCGGTCCAATGGCCAGGTGTTGGCACGGCAGGCGGTCTGCACGTGCGCGATCAGGTACGATTCGGGCACGTGCAGCCCCGAGAGCCACATCACCAGCGGCTCCTCCATGGTCGCCTGGGCCCAAACGGAGAACGTTCTAGAAATCTACCCTAGAGCGTATCAACATGGTCGCCTTATCCAAAACGGCGAACATTCTAGAGACTATATTAGAGGGACTCGTATCGACGTTGTCGTCCCTAACGCTCGATTCACAAACGGTGAACATTCTAGAGACTGCGTCCAAACAGTAAAAAAATAGTTTTTATCCATTGATGTATTCCGGAGAACTAGGTTCCGGCAGTGCGGCGTAGGTACCGATGGTGTGACAATTTAAGTAGCTACATTTTAACAAAGGTGTTGCGGTCTGAATCCACACTCTGCTCAAAAATTTGCCAGGTTATAGTTCATAGTCAGTTTCCTGTGTCCGTCATTTCTTGTTTGTGAAACAAAATAAATAGCACACAAAGGAAACTTAAAAATACAATCGCTTTCTATCAGGTGCGATTGCAATCAATGGCTAGTTAATAATTAAAAAAAGAAAGTCGACGACCCGATTAGCATGGGGAATAGTGAACCCGCTTCTTGCGCAGAGGGTGTGGGTTCGATCCGCACTAATAGAAAAATATTGTATGATGAACATAGTGTTTTTGTGTTTGTATAATTATGTACAATATTTATGTATTAACAAAAGAAAAGTATGTTTATCAGTTATCTAGTACCCACAGTACATTTGCGTACACAGTACATTTGGGACTAGAGAATGTAGTGTAAAAATGTGTTCGAAAATATGAAAAAAATAAATAAAAAGACAGCACTCCAACGGGCCATCCACAACATGTGGTTAATTTAATTTCCACCCCAATGCCATTAAATATATTCTCGAAGCTACCGGCTGCTTCTGTCTTCTGTCAAGAACTGTGTGATGCGATGGCGTACCCAGTTGCTGTACTGCTGGGTCCGCTCCATGAAGTGGTCCATCCAACCGCCGAGGCTCTTGCAAGTGGCCGGCGCCAGGTCCCGCCACACTTGGGGCAGCTGCCCGTTGAAGAGGCTCGACGACACGTTGTCCAGAACCGCGTCCATGCCAATCTCGCCCGCCAGCGCCTTGCGCAGAAGGGACAGGGTGCTCTGCATCTTCGAGATCAGGCGGTTGAACCTGTGTAAACGCAGAGGTTTAGTTCCCAAGGTTAAAATCAATCTTGTGTCTTAAATTTAGTAGCAACGTTATCTATTAGGCAAATGTGGGATTCGGTGCTTCACGGGAGTCAGTAGTGGAAGTTTCCTTTGCTGTTTCAAACAAGACGATAGGGTATTTATAAAGAATTACTTTGGAAGGGCCGAGAATATTTTACTTTCGTGTTTCGTCTGGTGAGTGAGGTAGCCGAGGGCCATTTATATAAACATTGGCAATGCATGGAGTTATAGTGGCGTGTAGGATTAGCTGTCTCGGTCTACCTTACTTGACTTAGAAAAAGTGTATATGATTATATAAGGAATAAAAGGAAACAAAACTGACTACGTGACTCCACTCAGCCAGAAAATGTGTCTGAATTTATAGGATTTCTTGCGACCAACTACGATACCTTCGCAGTAGTAAATATATTCAGAACGAATACTTTCTACATCACAACAATCGTCGTTCTATGTCACCTCTCGAGTTCCTGTAGTAGGACCACGAGCGCGGGCGTTATGTTCATCTCGAACTGTTTGCGGACGCGCCAAATCTCGTATAGGGGTGGCAACTTGGCCAGCACGTCCACGGCGATCGAGTCGATGAAGTCGTCGCGGCTCATCGCGCCGCCGACCTCGCCTGAGAAATGCAGCGTACGCACGTGACAAAATATCGAACTGTATGGATACTTTGTTCTCGTTATTTTGAAGTTGACCAACACATCGAACTGTATCTTATATCTTATCTTATATTAACTGATGTTTGTGCTTTCAGTCCCGAGACTATTAAAGCTTCATCTGATGCAGAACCGGTGGGCTAGTCAGAACCCACGGGTATGGGATATAATCGAACTGTATGGATACTTTGCTCTCGATATTTTGAAGTCGATTTCGATAAAATTAAAAATACTGCAAAATATAAAGTAAACTTTTTTAAATTAGTTTTCGATTGTAATTGATTAATAGTGTAATTATAATTTTTACATTATTCTTCGAGAATTTGTGTGTCTGTGGACTAAAAAATAAATGTACGGATATTGATGTATGCTGCTTAAATTGTAGCTGTTTACAGATTGACATATCTCGACAAGAGCCATAAGTTTTCATTGTTTAGTACCAGTTAATTTATCTTTTGCATGTCTTTTAATAGCGTTATTATAAAAGTTATCAAAAGAAAATATTTTTTTACCTTCCATTGTCACTAGCAGCATGAAAAAAATTTTGCTTTAAAACATTTAAAGTATTATAAACGTAAAGACTGAAATGTCCCAAGTACTTACATTCCGCTTTCCTAACTGGCAGCAAGGAGAAAACAAGATGCATTAGCGAGAGAATTAAAAACCAGAGGAAGAGTGCAATGGACTTATTTGGCTATGTTATAAAAAATAAATTGTCTTTGGCACAGCATAGATTGACCCTTTGCCTTTGTTTCTTAAAAATTACTCCCCCCCCACTCACTTGTCTGCGGTTGTAGGTCGATTAAATGCGTCCACATGTCGCGTACAGCCTGGCTGAAGTAGCCGATTTCAGCGTTCGGATGCAGCCCGAACACCTCCGGCGAGTTGGCCAGGGGTAGCTTGTCGATGTACTCTAGACATATAGCGTTCAGAAGCACCAATTAGCAAATTATTTTTAAGTTTGCGAAAACCGTTTACTCTTTATGCATTGTTTAGGTGGAGATTAAATAGTTTGTAAGTTTTACCTCATCTTTAAACAATTAACATTTGCTAGTTATTCTTTATGTTTTAGTAGAGCAACAAACACCATAAAGGTATATTGTGTTCCGAAAAGGTTCTTAATACGAATACGGGTTTATTAAAGTTTCGGCCGCCGTTTTTACGGTTCGCACGGCTGGAATTTTAATGTGCGTATGTGAGTTGTGACACTGCCTACGTAAGGTAGATCAAATTCGTCGAAACCTAGCTATCAATATTCTATGCCGATGAAGTAATAGGTTATACAACTCCAAGATCTGAGAGCGAAGCATTTTTCTCGATTGACTATTTAGAACTAAAACAGGAGTCAAGGCCAAATGTTTTTGTATTGCTCAGCAACTCACCAATGTACTGTTCCCGCTCACCGTCCGGCGGGATAACATAGTCGAACACCTCGTCTTTGTAGAAATGGAACGGCTGGAACTTGTCGAATAGAAACTCGCCCAAGTACTCGTCCATGTAGGTGCCGACCACGCGCCGGTCGAAGTCGTCTATTACTCGTCCGCCATACATAACCTAATAAGCACGCAATAAAAAGTGTTGTTTTAATTTCTTAAATTATTTAACCCTGACTAGTGAGGTCATTTAATATTAAGACATTTGTTCATTTCAGTTTCTCTTAATTTTTATCTGGCTCGAAGGGCCACTATTTGTGAATGAACAATAATAGTTTATATGAGTGCTTTTGATGATTGAATAAGCGTCAAAGCCTTTCGATTCGATTAATTTCCTTTAACAACGTCAAAATCTGGACACTAAAGGGTGTCCGGTCATTAACTATTTATATAATGGAATCGAAATGTTTCTGAAGAAGTCATATTAACCTATCACTACGTCCTATAAAAATTTAGAACAGAATTAAGGGTTAAAAAAATAAACAAACCTCTCCAAACAGATATTGAAGGGTGGCCCAAGGCACTGCGTCCGCGCTGCGGTCGAGGTAGCACTGCAGGATCTGCATACACACTAAGAAATCCGATTCGCTGAAATCGTACGATATGTTCCAACCGATCTTGTCGTATTTGCGACGCTCCTGGGAACGATGGATATGTGCATTACAATTTCGCTGTAATTTTTCAATGTCTAGAGAATTAAGTCTATAAAAATAGCAATTTGCTTTATTTAGAATTGGTATTATTTTAAGCTAAGCTTTTATATTCATCTTTTTTTTATTAATTATTAACATGTTCGACTTTGATTTCGTTCCCCCGCTTCTGTTTGCAGACACACTTGAACAGTTCCGTTTGTTTAGTTTTTATTTATTTTCTATTTTATTCTGTAGCTTTTAGTCTCAATCAATTATTAGTTAACAATGATTAGTTGTTTAACAATGAGCTCGCAGTTATATTTCCTCATAAGTTTATGGGCATGCTCACAAAATTAGTTTAAATAGTAATCACCTGAACGACAGCGTGGAAGAAAGCTAGTACGTAGACCAGTTTCTTGAATCGAGTGTGATTGCATTCCTCTAAAGCGTGCGGCCTCATCTTGAAGTAAGTGTTTCGAAGGTTCAACTTCAAGCCGTTGGGGGGCTCCGTCACCACTGGAAAGAAACATATTTTGTAATCATATTTATATTGCAATCATATCTTAATCGTTGTTCGATCGCCTCATACGTCTTCACTAACAGACGACGTTACAAACATCTGTGTAAATCAAATTATAGAGGTATAACGTTGTGCGTGCATAAAAAAAACTGCTATATCGATTTCAATGATTTCTCGCAATTTTTATTTACTCTGAGACACATGGTCCTTATATAACAAACAAATTAATACGTTACCTTCATTTGATATAAAATAATTAAAGTTTTAAGACGATTTTGACGTTTTACAAGATGACGGCGGTAGTTACGATTTCGACCACGTGCCAAAAGTTTTCGTCGAACTGTAGCATTAGGTTAGACCTCTACGACGCTATACGCCACCCTTAAGAAGTAATAGAAATACCGTGACGGGGCAGTTTTAAATATAATAAGCAACGCAAACGAAATCGCAGGTACTAGTACTGTATAAATAAAATTAGCACCGTCCAGAGCTTTTGTCGCTTCGTAATAATGTTAATTTAGTAAATATTAACTCACCCTTAAGCGATCTCTGCAATATCCCTATTGGAAAAGTCGGCGTGGGGTCTGTCGTGAGCCACAGTCTATATTCGGGGTGCGGTTTCGTCATCATTTCCAATTGCTTCTCAAGCTCGCGCAGAAACGAGATCAGTAGGTGACAGTTTTGCAGGATGAGCCACTGGCCGTGGGATATAGCACCTTCTAGAAGGGACAGCGCCGCCTACGGAAAATACAAAAAACATGCCACATGCCACATGCCCTATACATTCTCTCGTTTTTAAATTTAATGTTAGAATGTAATCAAAAAATCTTTTTTCTTAACTAGATTTTTTTTTCTTTTAAGTAGAATTTGTAATAAACTTTCCAAAGATATTTGATTCGTAAATTAAATAAATTGCCTTTACCTTTATGATATCTTGAACGTATCGACAGGTAAAGATGCGTAATGTAAGACTAAATTTAAATAAAATTATCAACTACATGACAACCATTGCTGTTTTCGTAAATACATATGTATAAAGGGAATTTTAAACGATGTTTTTTTCTATCTGGCCTTAAATAATTTGTTTTCTGTTTTCAACTCACGCTTTCTTGGCCCTGTCCGAGTGACAGATACTTAAATTTCCCCCCGCCGAAGCCGCATCGGTCCGCGAGCTTCATCAGGTCAGCGGTGGGGTCCGAGCCTGGGCTCAGTATGAACACCACGGGCGTGAACGGTGTTGTTTGCTCGAATATCATGTCCAAACTACCGAATTTTGAACCAGCTTTAGGATTGATAAAGAATATAGAAGATAGAATTGAGGCGTGATAGCTCAGTGTCCGGGCGCTCGCCTTTAATTCAATATACTCGAGCAGCCTGAGTTCGATCCCCGGTGCCGGCACCAATGAAGTTTTTTAACTTTAAGTGCTGACTTATCACGTGCTCCGCGGTGAAGGAAAACATCGTGAGGAAACCTGCATATTTTCGAAATAATAACAAACAAAAAATATTCCGAACATATGTGAAGTCCGCCAATCCGCAGTGGGGCCGCGTGGTGGACTATGCCCTGATACCCTCTGTATAGAGGAGGCCTTTACCCAGCAGTGGGACACGTATAGGCTGTTACTTTACTTTTTAGGATTGATATTAATTCAGTGCTAGTCTCTGCACTCGAGATAATATTTAAGGGTTATTTTTTAGGCCCCTTGTAGGTAGCTTCTGCTGTGTAGATCTGTCCGGGGAAGTACCGGGACCTCACAGAGGACCGGCGTGAAGTGGAAGTGTTACACTTCTGCGCTTCGTCCGGTGAGTGAGGTATCCGGGGCCCACTTTATTAAATAAAGTGGGCCCCGGAGCAAAGCATTAGGTCCAGGTGGCAAAGCATTTTCAACCCTAATGGTTGTCTGTAAATGTCCACGGGCGGCAGTTATCATTTAACATCAGCTAAAGCATCGTTTTCCACCTTCTCAAATAAATCGATAAATGAAACAAAACAATTTTGTCGCTGCTGGGATCGAACCAGCGTCGTCTGACTAAACGTAAGCCATATAAAATTATTTCCAGCACCAGTCAAACTGTTAAACTAAACCTATAGCTATAATAATTTTGTATAACACTATAATTTAACGCGATAAAATCTAGAATAATAAATAATAATAGTAATTCTCCAAGTAGTAAGTTGGCGCACTTTGGGGGAGGCTTACGTTCAGCAGTGGACGGCAATAGGCTGATGTTGTATTGTTGTTGTTGTTGTAATCCCTCATCATTTTTCCAATGCCCCAAAAGAAGTGTAACCTAAAAAAAAACAGTCAAGTGCGAGTTGGACTCGCGCACGAAGGGTTCCGTACGTTATCTATAAAAACGGCAAAAAAAAATACTGTTGTATGGGAGTCCCGCTTAGAAAGTAAATGTGATAGGGTCACGCAGCAGCCTCGGCTGTTACACGAACGGGCAGGCCCGTCCGGGTAAGTACCACGACCTCACAGAAGACCAGCGTAAAGTGGAAGTATGACAAATACTTTCGCGTTTCGTCTGGTGAGTGAGGTAGCCGGAGCCCAATTTTCAAAACGTTGTCAACGCATCTGTAACCCTCGAGTGTAGCAGATGTCCATGAGCGGCGGTATTCACTTAACATCAGGTGACCCGTCTGCTCGTTTGGCAACTTTTCACATTAAAAAAAAAAAAAAAAAAAAAAGTTTTATTCCGTTTCTTAGTATTTTTTGTTATGGCGGCAACAGAAATACATCATCTGTGAAAGTTTCAACTTTCAAACTATGGTGACAGACCGACAGCGGAGTCTTAGTAATAGGGTCCCGTTGGGGTGCGGAACCCCAAAACGGAACCCGTAGACATGGACGCCTCGGCCGTACCTGATGACGGGCGGCGTGATGTACTCCTCGCCGAGGGTCACCGTGATGTAGTCGGTGAGGGCGCGGTAGATGCGGTCCACGCGGAAGCAGCGCAGCAGCATCAGCAGCTCGAAGGGCTTCAACCTCTCCCGGTAACCGTTCGGTATCTCGTTCGATTCCGGCGTGTCGCTGTCGAACCACTGAGGGCGGTGTCATAAATTGCTTTGCTTTAATTTGGCCGACAGCTCTAGACCCTAGCAATACCCACTGTATCGTTGACTCCGTGAGCCAAGGTGTTGGCGTCAGCGTTGGGGGTCGCGGGTTTGATTCCCACACTGGATAACTATTTGTGTGATCCACAGATAATTGTATCGGATGTCAGTGTTTGTCATATCATTTGACATATCCATCTGCTCTCTAAACCTCTCACGTGCGTCTGGCCTCCTTTTACAGTTAACCGGAGCCTAGATTTATGATGGTAGGAAAGCTGGTACGACGCTGGTAAATCCAACCTCATGGGTGGTAAACTGATATCAATCAGATAAACCATCAGAGGAACCACCCGATCGTAATTCAACAAACAACGCACCTCTCGCCAGTTTTCCAGCTTCGCGCTTATGTGATCGGGGAGCATTTCGAAAGAGTCCGGAAAGTCGACACTCAGCTTCATTACATCTTGCCAACCCTAAAAATAAACCGTTTTTAATCTCTAGGCTGTGTTCAAAGTTGTCGTTTCAAATACCAGTTTTGAGCTTAAAAACTAAAGAGTCTTTGGAACGTTTGTGAATCATTTGTGATAGTTAACTTTGTTTTAATAAAAATTAAATGTAAATATAGTAAAGCAATACCTATCTTAATTTAAAAATTAAAAAAGTAAAGCAATGTCCAACTACATCAAAGCCCGATTTTCAAAAGGTTGTCAATGCATTTGCAAACCCTCGGGTGCAGCAGATGTCCATGGGTGGTATTCACTTAACATCAGGTGACCGCATGCTCGCTTGGCAACTTTTCACAAAAAAAAAAAAAACATCAGATGCGGATGTGATTATTGCTCTTTTTATTATATAATGTTATATATTATACTTTATTGGCTATACTGGTTTTTCTTTTATTTATCATGTTACAAATACGAAACTTCTTTATATAAAAATTGATCGGAAACAGATGTCAGGTACAACTAACCCAATTATGGTCAAGGGTGGTGTTAAATATAAATAACCATCCGTTTGAAATTAATACATGCACTAAAATAGTTTTTGAACCATATACCTGTCCAGGTATCCAAGTGGCGGGGGAGGCTCTAGATGACTTCTCCAAGGAGACGTTCCCCTTTATGAAGAAATCTAATTGGGTCTGACTTATGTTCCCCTCGCTCTGCTCCAGTTTTACGTTCATTTGGAACGAGTACAACAGCTTATGACGCTCGAAAATCCCTGAGAACGAACCATCTTCTATTAATAGAAATTCTTTGTCCCGCGCCTATCTCATTTAGGTGGGGTCAGCTAATCCTGTAAATTATGTTTTCCTTTGTGTTGTGAATTATGTTCCTGTGAATTGTGTTTAATTCCTGAAAACCAGTATCGGGATCAGAACGAATTTTAGTTTCTGTATCTCGACTTTCACTGAGTCCCGTCCGTTTCACGGACTTATGCTCCTAAACAGACCTTTGCTTATTTATTTTTTTTTCATTTTTTTCGTTATCTTCACATTTGTGAAGATAACGAAAATAAATATTTTAAATTTTTCCAATATTGTTTTATATACTGTGTAGTTACATTATTTTCAAATTTTTTCTAAGTTAGACCGTGAATAAACGTTTCCTCTTTCTTTCTTTGTATGTTTTTAATCCTGAGCCACCAGCATCCATCGACCCGCACATTTGCACAGGTCGTCACTACATGTAGTGGGGGGTCGTCCTAAACTGCGATGGTCAGTACGAGGCTTGAGAACCTTTCTTCCCCAATGCGTGTCGATGGATGCTCAGGATCGTACTTCGTAGCAGTCTATAGGGGAGGCCTATGTTCAACAGTGGACTCAAACAGGCTGAAATGATGATGATGATGATGATGTTTCGATTGTATTAGCTAGGTTTTCTTTGAAGATCTATATTGGGGACCATATATTACTAGATGACACAATCTGTAGTGATAGTTGTGTCATCTATTACTAGATATTCATTGACAATTGTTAAAATTGATTGTTAAATAAAACTATTTTACGGATTTCATCGAGTTTCATTTTGATTTTAACTCTCGACATTCCGAACACACAAGACCATTGTTATCGGACTGCGGAGTCCTATTGTCATCTTAATCGTCTATTGTTTCTTAATCGTTTATTTTGTCCGCAGTACGAGCTTACTCAATATAAAACGCATTAATATCCGTGAAATTCTGTTTCTATTAAAATGAGTACTATTAGCGATCATCATTTCGTTAAAGTTTTTCTGAATTAATCAATAGAACAAAAATGTTCTTTTACCAATGCAGCAGGCAATGGTTACTTCTGACTGCTTTTAAAGCTAAAATGCAAACTGTTAAACCGTTTTCAATATTTTATCCGCAAAAACGGTATTTCATGTAACGACTTATTGTCAACCGATTTTATTGCTTTCCATGCACTATAACAGCTTAATCTAATGCACATGTATGCATGGATTGCTTTGGCAATATTACAAATATATTTCATTATTTTTAATCTTTCACACAATTTTTAGGGTTTATTTTGCCTTTTAAGTGACATACCAGTGCATCCGTAGTCATACACGTTCTTCGTTAGCATGTCTATGATGTTCTTCAGACGCTTCGCCAATATCACGTTCGGCATCGCTTTGCGCAGCGAGAATGAGAAAACCTGCAGATCCAAGAAATTCTAATTATTTGAGGGAGATACCACGCTGTAAATGCATTATTTTATATTTACTTGCTTGTTACATTACATGCGTAAACGCAACGTCGTCAAAGCGATATGAAAAATATCTATATAACACAATCTGTGTCATATAATTCATATTTATATTGAACTTTAGAATAAGTTTCTACATAAGAAACATAAGAAACTACATCCAATACCGTATATCATAAGATATTCATTGTTATTGCACGAATGGGAAGGTCCGTCTGGGTAAGTATCACAACCTCCTAAACCGGCGTGAAGTAGTAGTGTTACACTTCTGCGTTTCGTCTGTTGAGTGAGGTAGTCGGGGCCCACTATTAATTTTTTTTGTGCCATTCCCTGCAGTCATTATGAAATATAAAAAGTGATTTTTTGTAGACAAATGAACAAAAACTGCCCAGTGGGCGTCTACAACACACGAGCTATCACAGGTGCAGTGTCAGTCTTTAAAATAACACTATTTCTGTCATTCTTTAGCTTTATTACGAAATTATTTTGAACAGTTTTTGAAGTTAAATATTTAGGGCAACGTCATGTCAACGTCATATTTAGTCCTCAATATAAAGCTATTTCAGAAATCAATAAAAATAGAATAATCACGAATACTCACATCGAGGTAAGAAGATAGAGAATATTGGTACATCGAGTTGACGACTGCCATGTCCGATAGGACGAAGAAAAGAATGGAGCCGCGTTTCGCCACTGGCCTGTAGCCATCGCGCAGCACCTCTATGTCCCTCGTAGTTGTCTCGGCTAGTTCTAACTTCTCCATCACCTGATATGCAAGTATATTTCCGTGGTTAGTTTTAACTAATAAAAAATCAGCCAAGTGCGAGTCCGGCTCGCTCACGAAGGGTTCCGTGTCATTATCTACAAAAATAGCACAAAAAATCATGTCTGTTGTATGGGAGCCCCACTTAAATATTTTTTTTATTATACATTAATTATTTGTTGTTATAGCGACAAAATAAACACGGCATCTGTACAAAAATAGCAAAAAAAAATGTCTGTTGTATGGGACCGACACTTAATTTTTTATTCTGATTTTTAGTATTTGTTGTTATAGCGGCAACTGAAATACATCATCTGTCAAACAACTGTCTAACTATCACGGTTCATGAGATACAGCCTGGCCTGGATACGCCATGGATACAGACGGACGGACAGACAGACAGCGGAGTCTTAGTAATAGGGTCCCGTTTTATCTCTTGGGTACGGCACCCTTAAAACACACTCGTCACAAGTTTATGATTACCTCTGCCGCCTTCGACTTGGTGTTCTCCAGCGTGTCCACCAGCTCTACGTTGTCCAGCATGTTGCCGGTGGACGTGGCCAGCTCGCGGAGCAACGAGTCCTCGAGGCCGGAGAGGAGACTCTTGTTCGCGCTCGTCTCCATTATCAGACTCTCGCGCTGCTCCTCCAGGTCGGACCTCTCCGCGCGGACCACCACGCTGAGGAGCTGGTCTTCCAAGCCCTGGAGTCACAGTGGAGTGATAGTCGTATATTAGTTCCACCGACCGAGGTGTAACTGGAGGAATAGTCTATACTAGTAGGCGTCGGGTGGTCGAATTTCGACCATGATTAATTTAAAATTATAATTTTGAACATTGACCGAAGTGTAACTGGAGGAATAGTCTATACTGGTGGACGTCGGGTGGTCGAAATTCAACCATAGTTAATTTAAATTATAAGTTTGAACAATATTAATTTATTCTCAAATACACAATAAACAAAAGAGTATACATGCGTGTGTATTTCAAATACATGGTAGTGTGTGTAATGTCTTCTAAATTGATTTAATGTATTTTTTATGATATAATGTACTTATTACTTCATAATTTAAAAAAATATATTAGCCTCCGTCAGCGCAATTTTCGTAAAAAGAGGGACAAAGTTTTTGCTTCACGTATTAATATCATAATCTATACACATAAAAGAGAACGTATATGTGTGTGTATGTTCACCTAAAACTCGGCAACCGTTAGCCTAATCGATATGAAACTTAGGACATAATGTGTATAGGTCGACATGACCCCACCGATGTGTGATAGGTGGCGTTAGTTGCAGTGATTTTTATCATTTCATTTTTGGCGAGTGAGGTAGCCGGGGCCCACTTTACTAAAAGGTCAGGACAGCGCATCTGCAACCCTGCGTCTATTGCAAATATCCAAAGGCGGCGGTTATCACTCAACATCAGGTGAGCCGGGAGCTCGTTTGGCATTTTGTCACATGAAAAAAAAAAGATTTTTATCATTTTATCAGACTGCCAATTGCAGAGGTGCGCGAGCGATGGCCTCACCTGCACTGTGACGGTGTAGTTGATGACGACCGCCTTGGCGTAGGCGGCCGGATTGAACTGCGGGTTGGCGAGCTTCGTGGTGAGGTAGAGGCGGAAGTTGGGGTCGTAGTCCACTTCAGAGCTGCCGAGCAGCACGAATGTGCGTCCGCCCTCAACTGTTTACGAAGAGCTTACTTCACTTTACACACGCAATGCATTCTGAACAAAACCGACGTGGGAAATTTCGATTGGGAACATGCTCTAACTGGGGAATGAATGCAAGTCTGTCTCCTTTTACAACATTTAACACTGTGTAGTAAAGAGTAACAGCCTAATACATGTCCCAATGCTGGGCAAAAGCTTCCTCTGTACAGATTGTATTATTGTACTGCGGATTGACGGACTTCGAATATCTTCGAAATATCTTTTTGTCATTATTTCAAAAACATGCACGATTCCTGACGATGTTTTCCTTCACCGCTGACCACGTGATAAGTCAGCACTTAAAATTAACAATTTCATTGGTGCTGGCACCTGGATTTGAACTCAGGTTGCTCGAGTATACTGAATTGAAAGCGAGCGCCCGAACGCCGAGCTATCACGGCTCTTCTTACGAAATTCAAATAAATTCGCAATACACGCAATATCGTGCATTTGTCTAAGATGTATCTTCATTGTGATACCACCACGCAGCAGTCTGCTGTTGCACGAATAGGGACACGCGTCCGGGGCAGTACCACGACCTTACTATTACGCTTCTGCGTTTCTTCTGTTCAGAACCAGGGCCCACTTTATTTAAAAGGTTGCCAACTCATCTACAATCCCTCTGGTGTTGCAGATGTCCATTGGCGACGGTTATGATTTATCATCACCCACCGCTTACTCGCCTGACTGTTCACAATTTAAAAAAAATCGTCTCATTTTAATATACGGAATAATAAACTATGTGTAGCTACTTTTTAACGATACATCAATTAAAATATTGTATAATATCAAATCTCAAGGTACGTTACATATGAAATCATCATTAAGACATCTGCATGTATGGCGTTGTGAAGAAAATAACAATAATATGCGATGATTAACATTAGTTATATCATCAAATACCTTTAACATTCTTTTCGAGGACGTTGTCCACAACGGGGTCTATGTATTCGTTGACGTCTTGGAACAGCACCGGTATGCCGTATTTAATTGCCATCTCTAGGTGTCTCACAAACTGCGGGTCATTGAACGACAGCACCTAAGGCAAAAACGAGAAGCATAAAATCTAAGTAACGTATAAACTTAATTATTGAAGGTCATTCTGAAGTTGTCTTTTTGTGTAAGTTTTATTAATTCATATCCATATTCTAACACTGCATTAAAGCTTGACATGGAAGTTTTTACTCATATTACTATAACGCGAAGTTCTCAATACCAGTTATTCCTTTCTAGCAGTCCTCTTATCGCATTACCAACGACTCGTCGAATTGCAAAATGTTTGGCGCACCTTGAGGTTGTTCTTGGCCTCCTTCCTCTTGATCCAGGTGAGCGCCTGGGTTTGCGGGTCGATGCAGAGCGGGAAGCGGGACGCCCGCGTGGTCAGTATCCCGTTCTGCACGGACAGCTCGTCCGGCGGGAGGCCCTCGGAGTTCCAGCTGGAAGACATAAGCCCATAAACCCTTAAGGCGATATGCGCACGGCAACATCGCCTCTACCGACACAAATTGAAATAATACACATTCTTTATGAATTTTGAGTGATCTAAATCTCTACCCTCCCCACACCCTATCAACTGGCTACTGTCAAGAATACAAGAAAATACCAGCCAAGTGCGAGTCGGACTCGCGCGCGAATTTTGCGTTTCATTTAGTGTAAAAGGCAACATGCTGCTCGTTATGTTACAGACCGGCAAAACAACTACAATCACCATAAAATGATTTCACCATAAATTAGATTGCAATTTGTCATCATATAGAAAAAAGTTTTGATCTCCTTATAAAGGGCAATCTATATTCTGAGCTTGCACGGCTTTCGTACCGCATTTGGATGGTTAAGGTAAACCACGCACCCGCTGATCTCCACCTCGTTGGTGAGATTCCTCTCGACGGTGAACGGCTCCGTCAAAGGTATGCCCTTCTCCTTGACGTCACCGAGCCAGTCCTCGTATATCATCGCCTCGCGGAAGGAGAAGGAGAACGGCCCCGCGTAGCTGAGGAACGACGCGGCCAGCAGGCAGTTGCCGATGAGCCTCGACTGCTCCACGTGCAGCGCCTTCAGGTCTTCGGTCCATCGCTTCTGCTCGCTGGAGAGGCCCGACATCAGCTTGTCGGCGGCGACCAGCCTCCGCATCATGATGTCCGTCTCCTCCTGCAGCTCCTGCCTTTGGTTTTGTTTTTTGAGTGAAAGTAAAAGGCCACAGAGGGAGACTACTAGGATTCTTCGGAGGAGGCCTTCACCCTCAAATGCTAAATTTTATTAGACGTGAAATAAAAAGCTCTTTTAGAAATAAAGTTAAAAATTTCATTTTAGTTATTTATTTTAAGTAAAAAAAGTGGCAAACGGGCCGGCGGTTCACCCGATGCTGAGTGACAACCGCCGCCAATTGTTGTCGTTCACAGCACCCGTTGGGTTGCAGATGCGTTGCCACCTTTTAACAAAGTGGTTCCCGGCTACCTCACTCGCCAGACGGAACGCAGAAGTGTAACACTTCCACTTTCGGTCTTATGTGAGGTCGTGGTACTTACCCGGACGGACCTGCCCATTTTTGCAACCGCCGTAGCTGATGCGTGGCCCTACCTCCTCAGCATCGCCGTCTCGTAGCGGCTGTTCAGCCCGTCCAGGGTGCTCTGCAGCCGCTCGATCTCCCTGTTCAGCGACGCCAGATAGTTCACCGCCTCCGTGTACTCCTTCTCGAGCGCTTCCACCTTGTCCTTCTTCGGTTTGACCTCCTTGTACACCGCGCAGTAGCCGAGCACGGCGATCACAAATTTCAGTAGACCGTACCTAAGCGGTTTTCGAAAGCAATTGGTTAATGAGGTGACGGTAACTGTGAATGTGTTAAAATACATGCTCATGGTGATTATTTAACATGTCAATCGCTGCGGTAAGTAAGCCTGTTTCACGTTTGTTTGTTGCAAATTTTTACTGAACAAATTATAACATTATCTACTCCTATTCTAGTTGAACCAGCTTAAGTTTTTAGCTTACTTCAAATGTTTCGAGAAAGAAAATTAAAGTATGAAAACTAAAACATATTTTAAAAATAGTTTTACCATATCAACTGGATATCGTTGATCCATTGCCTGTTTAAATACGTTCTCAAAAATTTTATAGCAATAGGTAGCAACGCTAAGGTTAACAAGCGTTAAAACTTATGCAGCGTAACAGTTGACTATAGCTGTGTATGATTGATATGTTTTGATTCTTGCCAATCAAAATAACTCACCCAGCTTTGCTAATCTGCTGCATAGTGTCAAGCTTCTTGCTCTTCTTCATGTGCGCCTTGACCGCCTTCACTTGGGCCTGGGTTATCAGGTCGCAGTTCATCTCCTGCAGATTGCGCAGGAAGTTCGGATCGGCCATCATGCCCTTGGCGCCTTTCCAGCTGACGTCCTTTATGCCGCGGATGATCACCACGCACTCGCAAACAACCTAATAACAAACGTGGACTTCTACGAATAATGAATAATCGTAATGTGTCTGATAAACCATGGATGAGTAGTAGTAGTAGTAATAAGTATTGGATGAGTAGTGGCGCAGTTGTTAGGCTGTTGACAGGATTTGCCGGGGGAAGTATTAAATATGTTATGAGGATGATGAACAATTCATACTTGTTGGGGTTGGCACAACATGTGAATTTTTACGATCGGCCGCCTGTCTGTCTGACGTCAACACTCCTTGGGGAAAACACCTAGATCCGGAATATATATAATATTATTTACTCGACACGAGTGTTTACTCGTCCCGTGTGGATGTCGAACCCACGACCGGTCGCTGAAGCCGATAGCTGAGCAACTGCCCCACCGAGCCACACGACAGACGCCCTGCAATTGTCATGGGGCGCCACCCACCTGGACAGCTTCAGGAGGCGTCGCGAACGAGCGGATCTCGGTGATGTCGTTCTTGTCCAAGTCCGAGAGGGCTAAGCGGGCCGCCTCGAGCGCTGGCAGCGCTGCCGAAAGCGCCTCCTCCGCTTCGGACTTCTCTTCGGCGATCACGTAGCTCTGCTCGGTGATCTCCTGGCTCTTCTCGGCTGCCACCTGCTGCTTCGCCACGGCCGCATCCGTAGCTGTGATTTTATTTACGCGTGAGAAGGTGGCAATCGAGCTGACGGTCCACTGATATTATGTGATAACCGCCGCATTGGTTGCAAATGCTTGTCACTGTTATGTGATACCTGCTTAAAAAGCGGACTTCGATTACCCAACTCATATGACGAAATACAGAGGTATAATACTCCTGTTTTACGCCGGTAAGCTGTGAGGCTGCGGTACTTTTCCGGACAAGCTGCCCATTCGCGCAATAGCAGAAGCTGCAGCAAGGTCTTAACACGGCAGAATTCAGTACAGTAAATCACAGTCTTGGCTAATCAAAATGTATCAGTAACAGTTCGTGTCTCTTAAAGTAGGCAATATTTCGGAGAGTTCGAAAATAAGTGGCCCTGCGACAGTGGTTAATATGTGAAATGATTAACATAAACATGTTGAATTACTAACTTACCCGTCGATATCTCCTTTAGTAGAATCTCGCATTCCTTCGTCTGCTCGGCCACGATGACTTTCTGAACGGCCAGTTTGGCGTTCAGGTCCTCTAGTTGAACGTTGGCCTCTGCTATCTTGGCCAGGCCCCCTTTCAAACGTTCGCACTGTAAATTGTTGTGTTCTAATTATAGTTCACTTAGGAGCGAAAACATGTGAAGTCCGCCAATCCGCAGTGGGGCCGCCTCATACAATCTGCACAGAGGAGGCCTATGCCCAGCTGTGGGACATGTACAGGGTGTAACTTAAACACTTAGAGTAAGGTAGATGGAATATTGAAACCGGCCGTAAGACGGCTGAGTAAATAACGATGCAAACACCGAGGAGAGCCCACTCGCCTGCGCCACGATGAAGGCGTCCTTCTCGCCGAGGAGCGCGATGTAGCTGGTGAGGAAGTCCATGTAGTGCTTCGGCGTGACGTAGTTGTTCCTGCGCAGTCGCGCGAGGAACTCCGCCGAGTAGACCGCCACGGACATGTGCACGTGCACCACGTGCTCCACTATGATGCCGCGGAACTCGTCCGGGATCTTCTCCACCTGCGGGCATGCGCATGTTGCGACATTACACGTTACAGTCTTTGATTTAACAGCGTCGAAAAGAGCGACGTGTACAAGTGATTAAATGATGCAAAAAATCAACTAAAATCGACAGTGAGGCCGCGTGGACTATGCAATAATACCCTTTTAAGAGGCCTTTGCTTAGTAGTAGGATATGTATAGGCTGCTACCTTACTTTTTTATTATATAATTATTCAGTGCAGAGCAAGAGTAATTTCCACACATCCTTCTCCCCATTAGGTACATACATCGGCCAAGAAGACATTCGCTACCGCCAGAAGCGCCTGTTTGGGCCACGGGAACTGCCAGTCAATCGTCGTGTTGTTCACCAAGCCGGGGAAGCTCCGGCACCTGTTCAATTCATACATTTGCATTATCCATAAGTATGACTTTTTTTATTATACTTAATTATTCATACTGGGTTTAATTGGTTTCATAGAACTAGCTAGTTAGCTTTTATTTTTTACTAGCTGCTGCCCGCAACTACGTCTGCGTAGAATAGGCTGAAGGCGTAACATTCAGACAGAAACACAGATATACATAAAAATATGAATGTAAATAGCCTAAGTGTTATTCTTGTGTATAAACTATATTATTGTAAAGTTTCATTAGAATCCATTCAGTATTATTTGCGTGAAAGAGTAACAAACATCCATCCATCCATACATACAAACTTTCACGTTTATAATATTAGTAAGGATTTTTTTGTGTCTACTGTTTTATAATTTTTAGCTACACCATCGTATTGGGCAAGTCTGTAATGATAGTTGTGTGCGTGTGTGTAATAAAATAAGTAAATAAAAAAAATAGATCTCACGAGGCTATACAGCCGCATGGTACATCTAACTGGGCAGGGCCACGCAACAGATCTCGTTGTCGCTCTAATGGGCAGGTGCGTCCGGGTAAAAACCTCATAGACAGAAGACCGGCTTGAAGTGGAAGTGTTATAGTTCCGCGTTTCGTCTAGGGAGTGAGGTTGTCTGTGCTGTTTATTAAAAGTTGGGAACGCATCGGCAACACTAAGAGTGTTCGGGTGTACGGGTTTTCACTAAGCATCAGATGAACCGCCAGCTCATTAGCCACCTTCTCACATAAAAAAAAATAGAAAAAGTAAAATCAGCCGCTGTTGGAGTAAGTGGAGTATTATCACCGTCATCATCCTGAGCTTGTATTTTGTGTGGAAGGGGCTGGGTCCCAACAAAGTTATGTAAGGATCCCACAAATCCATTTTATTAACTGCATTGACTAGAGGTTTTTCACGAACGCCTGACGTCAGCTCTCCATGAGAAAACGGGAAGGTAGACTTTTGAAAACTCAGGAAGTAGAGGATTTTGAAAAGTCAGGATTTTGTGTCGTAAAACGCTCGAAATTTCAACCCTTTACGGAAGCCACGATCATGGGAGTTGGTCTCTTGTTGTTAGTTGGTGCGGTAGTTTGAAAGCTAAGTAAATATTAAATATATATGATATTACTAAATGAAACTGTGTTTACGGATTTATCGCGTCTATTCTAGTTTTTATATCCGTACGCGATAAATGCGTAAACATAGTTTCATTTAGTATATATATGATGTAAATAAATAATTAAATAGACGCCATTATTAGAAAAGTCGCATTTGTCCAGTTCCACATTGAGTTTTAATCAGCATTCATACACTCGTACCTGTTTCTGAGGACGTCACCACTCGGCGACATGGACAGCACTACGTGTAGATTTTCCGCGCACTTGTTGCAGAAATAATTCCAAACTGCGTCTCTGTAATTTTTTTCAATGAGATTTTATATATTCTTATCAATAAAATTAACATCAAAGATATTTAGAATGAACGAAATATCGTTTACAATCGTAAGTGGTTTGATAGAATATTTGGTGCTTAAAGCAAGTGACAACCGGGTTTTGAAGAATTCTATAAAGAACCGACACATAGCAAAGATAAAAGATGCTTTTCTAATGTAGAGATTTCAGTCTTATACCTGAAAAAAAGACTGCGTAAAATTAAGCAAGTATTAAAGAGTGACAGTAAAAAAGAGTACAAATATTTTGACTTTTGACTAAATTACCCAAACTAAATTCGTTCCATGTTATAGATATGACATTATCGCATCAAAACTGGGGCACGCAATTTGCTGCAATTAAATTGCAATTCTATAGACTGCTATGCCATTTCCGTATCGCACGTTCTATAACATCTTTCACATTCACTTTAATATGTCATATAATGTAAAGCGGAACAAATTTTAAACGCCGCGAAATATGGACATGCGTCATCTATATTATTAAAACATAATTTGAATGTTGTATGTTATCGTGTAGGTAATATTTTGAATATTTCTGGCACGTACTTGCCGACTCCATATCCAGCCTCGTTGCTCTCGTTGCGCACGGCGTTGATGATGGCATCCTTCTCGTCGTCGCTGAATAGGGCGGGGATCATTCCGATCATCAGGATGTTGTTGATCAGCTCCAGGAAGCCCTCCTCGACTATCTGAAGGCAGAAGACATCATGCCAATACGTTGGCCGGACAGATTTCCCCCTCATGAAATAGCAACTGCCATGTCATGAATATAGTAAGTTTTTACCCGTCAATGAAGAACTTAGGATAAAGAGTTTAAAGACAGTGTTATTGGAATTAACTCACAAGGGTCACTAATGACAAAAAATATGGCAAACAGATTTTTCTACCCCTTTCAAAAGATACAGCCTGTGATGTATAATAGAAGCGGAAGGTGTTTAAGATTCGTGGAAAGAGGAACATCATTACCTCTATCTTCCTGGCCAAGAGAGAGACATTATGTATTATATGTATATATAAATCACAATCTTCTGTGGGTGTAATAAATATATAGAAGTGGCTAAGCAATGTAAGTCCTTCGATTTGTTTTTTCAAATGTTAATAAACCAATCCTTTCCTCGTGCACAGATGACACGAATACAAGTGAATTAGAGACGTGAGTTCTCGCTTAATGAATTTAATTACTTTTTCGTTTAGAAATTAATTTGGGAGAGTTGAGTACCTGCGCAGCGGTGAAGAGGAAAACCGTCCGTTTCCCGTCGACGCCGAGCTGGTTGTAGAGGCGCTTCATGTCGTCCTTGAACGTGTTCTCGTTGTAGTTGCGCGTTATCACGATCTCAAACATTTCGCAGCCTGAATTAGAGCCGAGAAATAATCTAATAAGTACTTTTGTAGTAGGGCCTTCTCTAATGTAAATATACTCAATAACAACTTTATATGCAGCACAAACCTCCAAATACCGTCCACATTTTAGATAACTTCACCTCCCTTGTTACATTTTCTTTTTTATGTATATTTTACCACAGTTTAAGAAGTAAGAAAAACGCCTTCCTTTGGCTTTAAGTGACAAGAAATTGTTGACTTGTGACAAAGTGAAAAAAGTAAAGTAAAGTAACAGCCTATACATGTTCCACTGCTGGGCAAAGGCCTCCTCTACACAGAGCGTATCAGGGCATAGTCCACCACGCGGCCCCACTGCGAATTGGCGGACTTCACATATCTTAGAAAAATATTTTTTTTTTATTTTCGAAAATATGCCAGGTTTCCTCACGATGTTTTCCTTCACCGCGGAGCACGTGATAAGTCAGCACTTAAAGTTTAAAACTTTTTATTCAACTTATTGGTGCCGGCTCCGGGGATCGAACTCAGGTTGCTTGAGTATATTGAATTAAAGGCGAGCGCCCGGACAATAGGCTATCACGGCTCTTTTGACAAAGTGACAAAAGATTATATTTACACACGGGTCATACAGGAATAATACACATAGGAATTAAAAAAATCAATAAATGCAAGCTTAGTTGATGACTCCCTCAATCACCATCTAATTTAATTTCATTGTGACCACGCAACAGTTTTCGCTGTTGCTCGAATGGCCGGGTCCGCCCGGGTGCAACGACCCCACAGAAGACTGGCGTGACGTGTGTCGCTGTCGCTTGTGTCGTGCATCAAGAAAGTTCACCCTCATCGTTTATTCACTATAATCGCACCGAGAGAAGTATAAGTACAAAAAACTATAAGGACATTTGGCGGCAATAAAAGAGGATCTTTCTGCGGAGTTTCTTTCAGCTGTTTCTTCTCCGTAACCTCATAACGATACGGTGGTAGATTTAAAACAAAACAAACCGGGCAAGTGCGAGTTGGACTCGCGCACCATGTTCGTTGTATGAGAGACCCACTTTAATAATTTTTTTTATTTTTGTTTTTTAGTATATGTTTTAGCGGCAAAAGAAACACATCATCTGTGAAAATTTCAACTGTCCAACTATAACGGTTCATGGGAAACAGCCTGGTGGCAGACGGACAGACAGTCAGACAGACAGCGGAGTCTTAGTAACACGGTCTCGTTTTACCCTTTGGGCACGGAGCCCTAAAAAAGACTATCGATAGATGAAATGTAATATGTTTCTTATGTCGATTAATAATTATATGAGTTTGATTTTGACCTGCCGCGAAGGCCGCCAGGCGGCAGATGGACTTCTTGCCGGAGCCGCCGACGCCCACCAGCATCACGTTGCCTCGCTCCATCCGCAGCACGCGGTGGGTCCGCGTCAGATGCTCCAGGCAGTCCTCGAACAGCACCACGGACATTTTCCCGATGCGCTCGCTGTACTCCTCCAGTATCTGGAAGCGCGCGAAGACAAGAAGACAAGAAGATATACAAGACTTTTATTTTTTTTTATGTGAGAAATTAGCAAACGAGCTGGTGAACGATGAACCATCATCCGATGTTAAGTGATAACCACCGCCCATGAACACTTACAAAACCCTGAGCTCGTTCACCAGACGAAGCGCAGAAGTGTAACACTTCTACTTTACGCCGTTGTTCAGTGAGGTCGCCGAGGGGACGGACATGCCCATTCGCGCAACAGTGAATACTGTTGCGTGGTTCTACCACACACAAACTGACAGACACCTTTATGAAGTGGGCCACGGTTACTTCACACACCAGACGAAACTCAAAGTACTTTAAATTCTCGCCCGTCTTTTGTGAGGCCGTGGTTTTTCCCCGGACGAGGCTGTCCATTCGTGAAACAGCAGATATTAACACCCAAAAATACTCAAGCACTTTCACTTAATTGAGCTACTGAAAAATTAAGCGATATATGTATACATACTAGCTCAACACAGCTACATCTTCCAAGGCTTTTTTTTCGTTTCCATTGAAGCTTCGGACTAAAAACCATATAAAACACTCCTGTTCACAAAAGCTATGTTACGAACAAATTTGTGCACACAAACATACGGAAGCTGAATTTTTATGTATTATAAAATTCTTAATGTCTCCAAAACGAATCATTGGAAGAAGTGGTCACCTCTTGGAATAGAAAGTAGACGGCTTCGTAGTCGAGCAGGTCTTCGTAATAGCGCACCTCCTCCTCGTCCAGGGCATTGCGGTAGTCCCCGAAGAGCAGGGGATCTCTCAGCACGTACTCCTCCATCTAAGCACACACATTTTATTATTGATCTCAACCAGACTCGGCCTCAAATAATTGACGACTTTTTTCGTATCGATTTTGGTTTACACACACACTTATTGCTAATCGTTAGTGGAAAAATTTCCGAATTGTGAACCCGTTTTTGATCAATTTTGAGAAATCGTTCAATGTCAATAAACATCGAAATAAAGATTCGCTAATTTGTTTGTATCGCTAGACTAAGTTGAACCTCCCCATTGAAAAAGACCCTAGAACAAATAGTATAAAAATGGACACTGATAATTCGTTCACCGTTATCACACGCTCCTCCTCTCCTGCCTCTTCTTCCTCAACAATTTCCGATTCCTCGACCGTCGACGTTCGCTTCTGCTCGGCAGCCATGAACTCTGCGATAGAACACAATTTATGAACACAAGGATCTTTTTTATGTGAAAAGTTTCACTTAAAATCGTGTAAACCATTTGGTTTACCTCATTTTAAGTGAATACCGCCGCTCACTGGAATCTATACGACCCGAAAACTTGCAGATGCCTTGACAACCTTTAAGAAAGTGCTCGATAACTCGGTCAGTACGTTTAAAGGACATTATACATACAGTATTGCAACTCGAGTTTCAATGCGGGTTTCTTAACGCGCCAAGGCGAAAGTGTCGCTTCGATAGAGAAATTCCCGTTGCGACTACGATGACAATTATCGTGCAATTTAAACCATTATTATTATTCCCAACTCACAAATGACAACTTATAAATAACCTTACACTCCATTATTTATGACGTAACTATGGTAGGGGCACGCAACAGTCTTCGCTGTTGCACGGATGGGCAGGTCCGTCCGGGGAAGTACCGCGACCTCGCAGAACACTGGCGTGAAGTGGAAGTGTTACACTTCCGCGTTTCGTCTGGTGAGTGAGGTACCCGGGGCCCACTTTATTAAAAGGTGGCAACGTATCTGCAGCGCTATGGGTGTAGTTAATGGGCGGCAGTTATCACTTAACATCAGGTGAACCGCCAGCTTGATTGCCACCTTTTCACATAAACAAATTATTTCCTATTTCCAGGTACAAGTCGAATGACATGCGTGTTAGACCATAACCTGAGGTCATACGTTTAGCAATCCTACCAGGACTCCTTATACTTTGCATCGTATGGCAAGCATTTTGAGAAGAAGTCTATTACAAATTTCCGGCTATTGAAAAATGGACCTTAATGTCAACGAGATAGATACCTTCGTCCTCTTCCTCCTCGTGCCTTTCCTCTTCCTCGGGCACTACAATCTCCTCGAGCACCACTGGCTCCGCCTCAGGGAAGAACTTCACAAGGTGCTCTTGTATGTGTCCACGCATTAGTTCGTTGTCCTGACATTTAATATTAGTTATTGTCTCTGCTAACAGTTAGCCGACGTCGTGTACAATTTAAATACGTCTCAGTGAAGTGGGTTGGGTTTGTGTGTGTACCATTGTGTGTAATGTGTTACTAAGTGCGAAAAATAAAAAAAATGAAAACAAACCGTTTGTACAAATAGTACGGAAGGGTTCCGTACCATTATCTATAAAAAGGGACGGTTGAACATGAGCTCCACTTAAATATTTTTTAGTATTTGTTGTTATAGCGGCAACAGAAATAAATCATCTGTGAAAATTTCAACTAACTATCACGCTATTCATGCGATACATCCTGGTAACGGACAGACAGCGGAGTCTTAGCAATAGGGTCCCGTTACCCCTTGGGTACGGAAGCCCAAAAGCGAGCAGCGTTCGAACAGCGCGTCGCACCTGCGCGCTGATGAGGCGGTCGCAGATGACGCGCGTGAACTCGTTGCGCCAGCAGCGGAGCGCGGCGCGCGGCTCGGCGAAGAGGCGCGGGTGCGTGAGGCAGAGGCCGGCCGCGATGCGCGACAGGTCGCGCAGGTTGAAGATGTAGTGGAACTTGGCCGGCGTGGGCGGCAGCTCCACTATTATGATCTGCGGACGGATATTGACAGCGCGTGGTGGATTTCTGAACGTTACGACCAGGGAACCTTCGAGAGGAGAGCGTTCTCTTTCATAGAAGGCCGGCAACTCCCTCAAGCCAGTGCCGGATTAGCCGTGGTTAATGCTAAGTGTAGCAAGAGTAGCAATCGCTACGGGCCCCGCGCCAAATGGGACCCCGCATATTTAAATCCCCATCATCTCTGCCTGAGCCTGTTTTGTGACTGAAACTTACATATATTAAATAAGAGTATTGAATTGTTTTTGCCACTTTAAACTTAAGAACTCATAGCAGATCAAAGACTCTGGTGTAGCAGGTGTTCATGTGCGGCGGTGATCACTTACCATAAGGTGAGCCTCCTGCTGGTTTGCCCCTTTTTTCCATAAAAAAAAAGAAAAAGATTTGTAGTACCTGTGGGCGGATATTTAAATAGCGCGTCAACGGTTCTAGATTCTTATCATCTGTGGCCAATATATGAAGATCGGGTGAACGATACAAGACTATTATAATCTGAGAGAAAATGGCGGTATAACTTTCTTTTTATTAATTCGAACGATTCGAGGTGTGACGTTTGGGGGCCAAATGTAGAATTTATCAGTGCTTTTATTGTTAATTGGATAATGCGTCAAATTGCCTTGAGTGAATAATTTAAAGTATAACATGAAAGTCTTTCATTTATTATTACTAAAACTATGCTACTAGTATTTATATGGAAGCTCGGTGTCCGAGCGCTGGCTTTTAATTCAGTACACTCGAGAAACCTGAGTTTAAATCCCGGTGCCGCTGGCACCAATAAAGTTGTGAATTTTATATTCACGTGCTTATCGGCGAAGGAAAATATCGTAAAGGAAACCTGCATATTTTCGAAATAATAACAAAAAAAAAAGAATATTTGGAAGATATGCAAAATCAGCCAATCCGGAGTTGGGAAGCGTGGTGGACTATGCTCTTATACCCTTTTACAGAGTAGGCCTTTACTCAGCAGTGGACTTGTAAAGGCTGTTATTTTACTTTTCCATTTATTCCTCTTTCTCATCAGGCTACAATACAATCTCCAGCATCACCTTATACAGGTCCAGGGTCATCTGCACGATCTTCTCGACGATGTCCTGCACTTCCTCTGGAAATATGGAGAAGTGCCCGCGGAGTATGGACACGTAGATGTGCTGCAGGGTGGCCTCCGTCGGGAATTGCAGGTTGTACACGGAGAACATCGAGATGAAACGCGGATCCACCTTTGTATTGACAGTATTGAAATTGAACCGCACAATGTTCTTGTACTGAAACTAGTATTATGCGGTGTTAAATGTTTTAAGGGGAGACAGATATAATCCCCTTCTATTGTAACAGAATTTACTTATTCAGTGTTAAATGTTATAAAGGGAGACAGACATGCATTTATTCCCTAGTAGGAGGATATTCCCAACCGAAATTTCCCACGTGGGTATTGTTCTGAATGTATTATGTATCTTTTTGGCTATTATGTTACTTTAGACTATTGTTCCAAAAAGTAGCAGCCTGTAACGCTATGTATACATATAAACTGTCATCTTTCTCATGTTACAATTTCAGTGATTCCCATTCCAATAAACAATAAATTGATGAGCGAATCACTGAAATAGTGTTAGTCTTTTTTTAATAAGTTATGGGGGTGTGGGTTTGCGAGTTAGACTATGCCCTAATACCCTCTGTACAGAGTAGGCCTTAGCCCAGCAGTGAGAGACATTATGTTGTCACTTTATTTTACTTTATTAATACTTACATCGTTCCTGCCACCGCCAGCTTTCCCCATGGCGGCGATGAATCCGACATCCTTTATGTTCTTCCAGTTGAGGTCCTTGCCGCGGTCGTAGAAGCCCTTCCGCTCAAAGAGCAGCTTTAAAAGGGCGATCGGCTGCTGGGTTCCGTAAGTATCCACCTTTAAAAAGTTTCAAAACTTTTTTATTGTACACCATTACTGTGGTACAGCTACGAGAGTCGCTATTGCACGAACAGGCAGTTCCGTTCGCGGAGTAACACGGCCGAGTACAGTATATTGGTCTAAGTGGCGTCAATGTCTAAATAACAGTATATTGGTCTGTGACCACGACCTCACAGACGACCGGCGTGAAGTGTTATACTTCTGTTTCGTCCCGTGAGTGAGGTAACAAACAGGTGCCCATATTATCAAAAGGTGGCAACGCATCTGCAGCCCTACGGTTGTTGCAAATGTCTATGGGCGGCTGACATCTCTTAAGATCAGGTGAACCCCAGCTCGCTTGCAATCTTCTTACATGAACCAATGGTTGCTCGTATCAGATTCGCTTGGGAAGACGAGTTGAGTAAAAATTGATAATTTATTCATAGTAATACAATCTGTATTTTTTGTATACATTTAGCAAACATTTGAAAAGTAAGCAAATCAGCAAATATTTTAACAAACACAATTGTTTGTTTTATTCGTTAAAGGGAGCGTGTACAGTGTTCATTAAAGATTTTCCTAAAATATTTTAAGTAGTTTCGAAGGTCAGTCGATTTTCGACCAAAAAGCGACTTCTAGTATAAGTAGAATTAAAAAAAAAGAATTAAAAAAATATTTATAATTTTATTATTTACTTCATACTGCATATACTAAGGATGAGAAATTTCAATACCTAATATATAATTTGGTATTGAAGATGCTCTGAGAAGTTGATTGTGTGTCTATATGGTTGTTATCCAAGTTAAAGCCATGGTCGATCAATTGCATTAAATAATATTTCATAAATATAAAAACGATTTTAACACAATAACACTGCGATTCTAGTTTGAATCCTAATATATCGTATGTTTAATTTACCGAATGGATTATACGCCTTCAGGCATTTTGAAAATCTGAAACAGTTTCCATATGAAATCAAAAATATAAGCTCAGAATGACGTACAATTGGCATGTTCATGTCGTCTATGAAGACGAGCATTTTCTTGCCGACGGGCGGACCAAAAGTATCTTTGGTCCGTTTCTCCACAACAGACTCCAAGTTTCTTTGCACGTCCATCGACGAAGTGCGAGACGAGAAGTTCATTTGTTGTATTATCTGAAATGAACACGATAAAAAAGAGATATGTTACTTAATGAATTAAGATATTAATATGTAATAAATATCATTGGATACCATTTTTTTAATTTGTTTTGTGTAATTAAAAGAAAAGTGACCGTTGCATGTTATCACGCTATATTTTTTCATTTAGAATTAAACATTTCGGTTTATTTCTTTACAAAAAAGACGCTTTGGAGGCGCCGGGTATCGATCCCGGTACCTCTCGCATGCTAAGCGAGCGCTCTACCATCTGAGCTACGCCCCCGTTGTAAACTCACAACGAAAATAACTAACATATCTGTAAACAGACGTCATTCAAGGTCTTTTTTAAATTGTAAAAATGGTAGCAATTAGGAAAGTATTATTTATTTCGACGACAATGTAAAAACAAAAGTGGAATATAAGAACAAACGAGATATTTTAAATGTTTATTTATATATTACATGACGGTATAAGTTTAACATATGAATATACATAAATTACAAAATTTCCCACAGATCTTATTTGATAAATATATTAGTAGCATGCACAGGACTAGGGTTACATATTAATTTATGTACTTAATATCGGTCATATATTGTAAAGATTGCGTATCAAATTATCATCATAATCTAATGCGTACGATGTGGATTATTCAATAAACTCACGTATTTATCTGCCGGCAGTCCGTGCAAATAGTTCGAGATGATAGCGGTCTTAGACGTTCCAGTGTCGCCCACTAACAGCACCGGGCGGTCCACCTGAAAAGTGGAAACATTAAGGTGGTTGAATGGGAGAGCAATGAAATGTGACGAATTTTTATTCATCGTTTGGGAAAAATGATGATAGGGAATTTTAAGATGCGTGACATTTAAAGCGTCACCAACTTCATGGTGTTACCATGGGAACCTATTACAACTTCTTGATATATACTTAAAATTCCAAGTTATTTAATTAAACCGTTATCAATTGCATTTCATTGATGTCTTTGTCTCAGGCACATGTGCTAAAAATTATAGTTATATTTCTTTTGTTACGCTGAAGAAGTATAACTTCTTGCGTTCGTACATAAGCACACACACACACACACACACACACACACACACACACACACACACACACGTTTTTTTTTTTTAGGAAAGTGGCAAACGAGTAGCCCTGCAAAATAAAAACTTTCAGTGATACTAACTACGTATAAAGGTCAGCGCCAACGGCTGGATTAGTAGCGAAGCGGTCAATTTAGTGACAATTTAAATTCAACCTAAATCCCTTCAGCACACGGCTGTCATTGCAACAGCGAAACAAAATCACGACAGGAGACCTAAGGGCGATCGAGAGGGGCACGGCGAAGCGATGACAGTCGTATTCAAAAGAGTTTTAGGTTGAATTTAGTTTGTCACTAAATGGGTGGCTTCGCGATCACTCCAAAAATTATTCCTACTTTATATCGATCTTCTTCGAGGCTGTGGCACTTGCCCGTCAGTGAAACTGTCGGCCAGTAAAATTGTACATATCCCACTCACGCCCTCCATGATCTTGATGAGCCAAGTGAGCCGCAGCGTGTCGACGGTGGGCACCAAAATGGAGGGGAACTTCATATCGCGGTCGTGGACGTACTCGGGCACGAGCCAGTCCCACGCCTCCCACGTCTTCGTCGTCAGCTCTAGGCAGTAGTCGTATAGAGACGGGAAACCCATGGGGAAGTGTTCTGTGGAAGAAGCACACATTGATTCCACTTATAGTAGACCATTTCATCCGCCTAATGTAACTATGACGACCCGTGTGGGTTAGGGTGTGGTGTGGGTTCGATCTCCACCATTGGAAAAATATTGTGTGATGAGCATAGTGTTTTTCTAGTGTTCGGGTGTTTATATTTGTTTAATACGTATGTATTTATGTACAAAAAAAGTATGTTTATCAGTGATCAAGTACCCATAGTACCAGCGTTGCTTAGTTTGGGACTAGAGAACGTTTTGTAAAAAATGTGTCCTAAAATATTTATTTATTTATATGATAGCTAATACCAGATTTACTACGTTGCATTTGTACGCCATAAACAAAGTGGTGGTGGATATTTAGAGCTTAATCTTAATCCATCTAAACCCGAAATGCATTGTTTTCTCTTTATATTTGTCATGAAATTATTTTTCATTTCATGGCATACGGAAAATATCACATCACATAAGTTCAATGCAATGTGGTCAATGGTACCTATATAATATGATATAATCAAACATATTATAAAGAGATTTTTAACCTTACGATATGTATAATTTAAACAATTTTCTTACTGGTGGTGGCTTTCTTTTCTAAGTTATCTTCCACAAGCATCATCGGACACGCTTTTTTTATGTAGCCGTCGAAATCGAAGCGTCCATCGTCAACAATGGCCGCACCCAAGCTGTTGTACATTGACTGTGAAGAAATAATAACATTCAAAAAATTATTTATAAATTGATTAGAAATATTTCTAGACGAATTTTTTGGGAAATGTAATTACTTGTTCTAAACTTTAATTTATTTCTTCTTTTAAAATTAAAAAAAGCTGGAGGCGCCGGGTATCGATCCCGGTACCTCTCGCATGCTAAGCGAGCGCTCTACCATCTGAGCTACGCCCCCGTACAACTTTTGAGTCCAAATTTTAATTCATAATGTATTAAGTTTATAAAAGAGAAATGAACACGGCGATAAAGATAAATGTAATTAATAGGGGAATCACTACAATTTTGATGCATAAGTTTTATTATATCCCAGGTCAGTTTACTCTAATCCAAAAACTCATTTGCGAAATTAACTTCTACTCTTGTTGTCAAGAAATATTTGTAAAAGTACCAAGATTCCAATCTTATTGCTCCAGCAAAAAATAATTACTAGGAACTCGTAAAGTTTACACAGCTACGGTGCCTGCATCGTATTTCTTTTCTTTTCTAATCTACACGATTTATATATAAAAAAATATAAAAAATAATAATTCATATAATTGTCTACTAATGGTGACGTTCAAGATATCATTCATCATCATCATCATCATTTCAGCCTGTTTGAGTCCACTGCTGAACACAGGACTGCCCCACAGATTGCCACGATCTAGTGGGGGGTCGTCCAATGCGATGGCCAGATATCATCACGAAAAGGAAACTATGATGTCTGATACACCGTTAAAAAAAATCGACCATTGCGCTGTGATTAAATTCCTTACCAAACAAGGAAAGTGTCAAAAACTTATTCACGAATTAAATGGTGGCTATTTACCAAGATTGTGCTCTTTTATTATATACTATTCAGAAGCGGTCTAGTCCATTCAAACGGGGTACAGAGATTATTGAACACGAACCCCGTGCCAGTGGGCCGGCTACTGAAGAAAACATCAAAATCGTTGAGAAACTTTAAGAAGTGAAGATGGCCGTGTAAGAGTGAAACCACTAGCAGAAAGTACCATTCACCCTACCCTTCATGAACATCTGAATCTGTCAAAGGTCAGTGCCAGATGGGTGCCGCGAATGCTCACATTATTTTCAACTAAATCGTTACCGGTGATGAAACGTTGGTTCATCACTATGATCTTGAGCGCAAAGTGAGAGTCAAGATCCACCAAAGAAGTTTAAAGTCACCCGATCCGCCGGAAAACTCATGGCCACGGTGTTTTGGGATTGCAAGGGAATCTAATTGATTGAGTACCCAAAAACATGTCAGTGTTACTGCCGCATCTTACGCAAACACTACGTAAAATTTAAAGGTCGCAATAAAATAAAAAAAGTGGAATATGAACCCCATTACTCCATTATTCCCCATCCTCAAAAGAGACGATGAAGAAGAATAGAAGAATATTTTAAGAGGGTATTGAAAAGTCACTTTCGTGTAATTAGGTGATGGGGGACTACATTGAAAAGTGATTTTTTTTCAGAACACAGCGTATTATTATAGTTTTATTGGCGCTGACACCGGAATTCGAACTCAGGTTGCTCGAGCATATTGAATTTAAAGCGAGCGTCCGGACACTGAGCTATCACGGCTTAGTGTCCTCCAAAGACCCATATCTGGGACAATCAGTGGAAGTCAACTAGCTGGCCATAAAGCTGGGTCTGAAGTGGTATCTCTTAGTATAATAATTATTTTATTATTCAAGATCATCATCATCATCATCTCCTGCCCTTATCCCACCTAGGTGGGGTCGGCACAACATGTGAATCATGTTGTAAGCGTGGCTATGACTTTCTACGACCGGCCGCCTGCCCGACGGCACTTCTCCTTGGGAAACAAACACCCGGATCTGGAACAACTATCTGTGGGTCAAACAAATACTTGTCCCGTGTGGGAATCGAACCCGCGACCCCTGACGCCGAAGGCAATAGTTTAGAAACTGCGCCACCGAATCTATTATCCAAGATCAAGGATATGCATTCGCATGGATTTTCGGCAACCGTTCTAAAACATACGTAACGAATTGCTTTTAAAAACCGGTTCAGATTTAGTACAACCGGAGCACGAAGCCAACAGCCGTGCAGTTTAAAGTAAGCGGCGCGGGCGCCTACATCGCATTCTGAATGTCAACACAGCAATGCCCTAGTTAAGTTACGCACTGTTGTTTCTCCACGTTACATAGTTTCATTTATATTAACACTAAGCATTTGGCACGACTTTCCGCGTGGTTTTTGAGCACGTTTTAATTGGAATTAGGTTATTTTTTTATAACATGTTAGAGAATTGGTTTAGGAACGAACAGTGTTTAGGTTAAACACTGTTCGTTCGGTGGAGTTTTGTGCCAATACCATGGTCTACCATAAATAGGGTTCTTCAGGATAATGTAGCTGAACCGACTTTGAACAAACTTTATAATCGTTTTAGAGGATCAATCCCTTATTCGTTACAAATATACCACCAAATATCACGTCTTTATAATATCAATATAGATTAATACGTAAGCGAGTTCAATTAAAGTACTGAAGCAATTTATTTTGAGTTGATTAATAAAACTAAAACAGCCAATGAATTAAATTTATAAAATTAGTATTATTATTAAGTATTATTTTTTCTGAACCGCCTACCGTAGAATATGACAATAACAGTGACGTATTTAACAAACGTTAATCTTGCACCGAGAGATAAATGGGAAGATTACTTGGAAACTGCTGGAAGGATATAGCTAAAGGAGCGCTAAAAATCAAATGCAAAAAACAATTTTCACAAAAAATAAATTTTGGTGGCGCCTTTTGAAAACAGGGCAGTTTTAGTTTGCGAGAAAACAGATTTTATTATTTAATGGCTGCTTGAAAATAACATTAAATACTAATTTAATTACATTAGTAAATTTTAATAAAATTTAAAGTAGGTAACAAAATTTCAATTTAATTACGTACCAGTGGAAACTTTCATCAATCTTAAAGAAGCAGATTTATAATAGCTACAGCTAATTTTATTCCATTATAATTCAGTAAGTATTGATGTTTGCAATAAATTGGTTTGAAAAATTTGGTTATTACTTTTTATTTACACAAGGCCAAATAGTAAAATTTGTGCAAAGCGAAACCACCGACTAAAAGGGCGCTGCAAGAAGCTCTGTCCTGGTACTTGACCACTGGGAACCAGATGCTCAGACAACATTTTCATTTGACGACATTCGAACGGTGGTTGCCGAAAAATTATTTGAATTATATTGACGCAGTTATTGCCTAACTAGGGTAGGATTTATTTACCTTACGCTGTATGATTAATTCTGTGAAGTATCCTTGAAAGTTGGAAGTTAGTAACGAACGTCGGGACATAGTTGCTTAACATTTGTGTTGTTATCTTTTAAACAAGTCCTATAGAGCAATTTTCCTTACTATATCTTTTACGTAATAATATCGAATTGTCCCAATATAAAGGTGAATTTCAACAGCAATGACACAGGGGGCGTAGCTCAGATGGTAGAGCGCTCGCTTAGCATGCGAGAGGTACCGGGATCGATACCCGGCGCCTCCAGATCTGTTTTTGCTTTTTAAATCATAGTAAACCAGGTAATATATACCTAATGTTATGAAATTAATGTTTATTTTAATAAATATACTTCACGCATTTTATCGCTTATTTTAGCATTAGCTTATTTTTTGCACAACTCAACGCTCAACGCACAGCGTGTTTTGCTCTCGATATGTGGTATTCTCCAGTATAGCTACATAAAATCGTTCTTATACTCTAAGCTTGATGTCAAATCCATATTAATTTAAATATTATCAATGTTTAAATAAGAAGAGACCTTTAATTATAAAGATCATTTTTTTCCAATTGATTTACTTTAGATTACGTAACAAAAAATTTGATTTCAAAAAATTTTGTACCGTCGACATTGGACTGCGCGTCTGTGGGCCTTTACGTTTTAGAGGAATATAAGCAATGAAGATAAATTGTATTAAATAAGTTCCCATTTGTTCGTTATTGAATGCATAACCATTTAAAAGTTATTAAAGAAAGTCGATCGACTCCAGAGATTTTTCTATTGTAAAAATTGTTGTCACTATTTTCAACCCTTTCTTTTTACATGCTTAGGCATGTAGAATAAACACATAAATACATCATCTATCATGGTTCATGAGGTACAGCCTGGTGACAGGCGGACACACAGGTAGGCAGACAGACAGCGGAGTCTGCTTTTAGGTAGGGAACCCCAAAAAGTTACGTGTAGTTTTAAGTTTCTTAAGAAAACGCTCTAGAAACGCGGTGGTATAAAAAGAGCATTGAGAGGCCTTTAATCCTAACCTGATTAAGCGACCACCACCAGTCAAAGAATAACAACGGAGAAAAATCACTCAAGTCAAACTAGAAGAAAAAGGACAAATCTGTATTGTTGCTTGGACATTTAAATAAAAAATCAGATTTTCTTAAACAAATTTAAAGCATTGATTCAGAATGTAATATTAGAGTTCTAAATGTAATATTTGATTTTAATTACCAAAAAATTAAGTTATTGGAGGCGCCGGGTATCGATCCCGGTACCTCTCGCATGCTAAGCGAGCGCTCTACCATCTGAGCTACGCCCCCGTTGCAAACATTGGCCAAAATTCTTATGCCAACCAAAAAAGGTGCTTTATCATAAATAAAATAAAATACCGTAAATTGCAACACATTCTTAGCGGAAGAACATTTTTGCTGTCACTTACGCGATATTGAATTTACGGTCAGAAATCATGTTAAAATCCGAATGTGACTATGTGCTTAATTGTCAAATGAGCTGCGGTCTTAGCCCCACCACGTGGTAGACGTTAATCCAAAATTCTGCTTTAGTAGAGATGTTAGACGGAAAGGATGAAGGCACATTTCTCGCCGTTCATCTACGATTTTAGAACAACGGATTAGAGCAGTGGTCATCATCGCCCAGTGATCATTTCTATTGCAATCCATTGTGGTAGGGCCACGCAGCAGCCTCGGCTGTTGCACGA